TGATGATGATGATGATGATGATGATGATGATGATGATGATGACGATGTTATATGGTGACGATGGCTTTAATAATAATGATCTTGATAATGTCGATGATGATGACGAGCAGGAGGAGGAGGAGAAGGAGGAGGAGATATGACGTCTTAAATGATGAGGATGATGAGGAGGAGGATAAAAATGACAATGACGATGATTATGAAGATGACAAGTATGATAATAATGATGATGACCATGACGACGACGATTATGAAGCTGATAAAGAGGAGGAGGAGGATGATGGTGGCGATTTCGATAATGAGGAGAAGAATTGGATGACAATGTTTTTTGATGGGATTTCAGATAGACTGAAAAGAGAACGAACGATCTCAGAGCACATGATCATTGATATGCGTGTAAGTGTCAGTATTGGGACGACGGTAACGGTGATGATTTAGTTGTTGTTGATGATGATGAAAGTTATAGATGTCTATGATTATGGTCAGGGGCGTACGCAGGATTTTTTCAAGGGGGGGGGGGGGGTTTGTGGTAAGAGGACACTTTTTTTTTTGGTCTCGAAATTTGAAAATTTGAATTTTTTTTTTCGTTAGTGGGGGGGGGGGGGGTAAGGTCACTTTTTTTAGGTCAACCATGGGCATATTTTTTTAAAAATAATTAAATAAAATTAATAATTTAGAGAGGTTTACACACATCAATATACCTCCCCTGCGTACGCGCCTGATTATGGTAGTATGGTAGAAGCGATTTTCTTTCTTTTTTGTATGGGGGGGGGGGGGGGGGGAGTGACGATCAAGTACTGGGAACTAGGTAATAATGAGAATGACTTTGAATTGTGTTGTTATAGAAGCTGCAATCTCGTGGCGTTGGTGGTTGTGATGGTAATTGCGGTCGTAGTCCTGCAAATTTGGCAGAGCTATGCATTCGTAAGTAAGGCAGAATATGACAAGTGTGTATACGTAGAGCGACTACAACAACATCAAGAAAAAAAGGGGAATTTTTTTTTTAAAGGAGGGTGAACGGATTGACAGTTAGTCATAAGAATGGAAAAAGGAGTGTTAGCAAAATAACTACAATAAAGAAACATTTTTTAATAAATAAGAATCTCTGTATAAACAGAAGCAAAGAGGCAGTTTAAGATAACCACAGAGAATGGTTTTGTTGTTGAAAATATTGGCTGCCATCAAAGCTGGATCACGTGATATTCTCGCACTTACCATCCTCGATATTTCACACACTGAGCTTAAATGTGTTAAAGGTAAAGACCAGTATTGGAAACGCCCCAATTTCAAAAAATAAAATGGAAGCTCTCATTACCAATCAAGTGAAAGAATATGTTTTGACTAATACACGATGATAACAAATTTGCCGGGAAACCGTCTACTAATTCATATATTTGGTAAATTTGTTTCTCTCATGGTCTGTGAAAGATATAGGGTAGTCCCATATACATCTTTCTGTGTATAGTGCTTGTAACTTTACGAAGAATGGGCCAAAGTTCTTGTCATTTTGATGATTCCAGAACCTTGCAGATGCTAGATGCTAGATGATCAACCTTTTCTGATCGATTTCACAACGTTTCTTTCACAATGCAATCGCATGACCATAACTGGTCTTTACCTTTAAATGTGTTAAGTATTACTTTGATATATTTCTTTTTACAAATTCATATTCTCTGACTGTTTCTCCTCTTGCTACAGAGACATACGGCATGTACAGGCCATGTTAAGAGAGGTCGATCAGAATGAGTTACTTCCAAGACTACGAACTCCAGGTAAGTGAGACTCAGTCTTTTGAAATTCGTTTAAAGGGAACCAAAACAGTCATACTAAGTCACTTTTATTGTAAAGTTTAAGATATTTGAATAAAATCAGTGAAAGTTTGAACAAAGTCAGGCAGGGAATAAGGAAGTTATAGCTTTTTGAAATAAATTCTTTTCTTTATATAAATGTTTTGGTTCACTTTAAACGATTGTTGTGAACCCTTTTACTCTGTAAATATAATATGAGTGGAAATCCACTTTTCCTAAGACAAGTTACGGATCACTTTGTCTCGAGTGGAAAACCACGCTAAAAATAGTGAAATCCTCTTCAACCACTTCTTATAAGTGGATTCAATCATAAATTATTGCTTGCGAAAAGAAAAAAACATTGGAAAGAACGCTGTATTGTCGTGTATTATCAAACGTTTCACCAATCCCCTCCAAATGTGATGTTGAATCTATTTCACATGCAAGCTTCTAGATATCAGATATGCCTTGAAATCATGCTTGTGTGGATTTTTGTCTTAAACAAGCTTAAAATACGAACAATTCTCACCCGACTTCTTCTAAATATTTCCAGAAATGTCGATTATTCTGTTGTAAATATGTATTATTCAATATTTCAAGGAGAGATGTGGAGTGGCAAAAATTGCACTTGAGCCGAGGGAAAAAAGACAGAGATAGTGTCCAAAGTGATTAAAAACCCCATTAATACACATTTTAAAGGAGAACTGTAACCCTGAAAAAATGCATTAAAAACTCCCTAAGTGTTTTAGAAGAGAAGGGATTGTATCGGGAAATATTTCTATACCTAGGATTAACAAAAACATCCCGAACATCATAGGTTCAATCCCCTATTTTGCAATCACTGATTTTAATATTGGCGCTATACAGTAAACCATAAATTTAATGGGAATGTAACTGTGTACGAGAAAGGTGGAGAAAAACAGTATTAAAAATGGAATCAGTATTAATGCTCTAACAAAATGGTAATACTTTCATACACTCATCCTAAGAAATATTGTGTTTTCAAAATGAAGATTTTGGGGAGCTATCGGTCTATGAATATGGTATGATAACAATAAAAATGAACACTGCCCATTTTCTAATTTTGTTCCTGCTATTCTCAAAAGGTATTTTAAAACCACATATTTTTTCTGTTTTTGAGTGTGGCTGAGTATAACATTTTTGGAGACTGAACTAAATTTTGATGCACGTCTATGTTAATTAAGGAAATGAGTTACGTGTGGAGAATAGGTAACTTGTTTACTCTCTGCACAAGAGCTCTTATGTCCGGACATTGAAGCTGCGAGAATCAGGAATGCCGGTGCGGTGAGAAGGAAATATTATAAGAGGTGGAGGAGAGAAAGAGAGAGGGAGAGAGAGAGGGAGAGAGAGAGAGAGATTGAAAGAGAGAGAGAGGAGTGAAGAGAAGAGAAGATAAGAGAATAGGAGAGAATAAGAAAGAAGAGAAGAAATTTTGAGAGAATAAGAGAGAAAAGAAGAGAAGGAGAAGGAGAAAGAAATTAGAGACTGAAGAGAGAGAGAAAGAGAGAGAGAGAGAGAGAGAGGATAATAAAAGAGACCGAACAAGATGTAAAGAAGGGAGGAAAGGAGTAAACCGCAACGAAAGAAATTCGCTAGGGAGATATAAAGACAGTACAACACTCACAGATTGGAAGATGGAAGGAGATAGGTAGAGAGAGAGAGAGAGAGAGAGAGATGGCTTTGGGGAGGGGGGGGGGGGGGGGGAGGGCGGTAAGTGGTAAGTGGTTTTTTTATCCCTAAAATAGTGCTTCGGAATTGGTTTAGGAAATGGAATAACGGGAGAAAATTTAACATCTAAATTTCTGTAATTGCCCGAAAGTTTTTTCAAATGAAACATCATAAGGATTAAAGAGCAATTATCACGCTCACACAGATATCGACATCAAGCACTTACAAGGAAAGAAAGAAATAATCTTAGTCAAACATATACAGCCATTATCTCTGGCAATGTTTGTGACATTTAATGACCAGACACAAACTTTTTTATCTACTCAAAATTTCCAACCATAAGCAGCAAATCAAGTTGAAAAGAAAACAATGAACATCTTTTAGTTCACGGGTATTTTGATGGAAAGCTGTACCTTTAAAAGGCGATTTCACGGGTTTGTAAGAATGCGCATTGGCGCTTAAACCCAATGCCCTAATACAGTGCATTTATGGGTCGTTAATGGAATACTCCTGTTTGTGCAGAACATATAACTGCAGGAAGCGATGAGCAAATACAAATGTATGTCACCGGGGATTAATGTTATTGAGGGCGGCATGGCGCCCTTTTATCTTCATCTCTTTCTCTCTCTCTCTCTCTCTCTCTCTCTCTCTCTCTCTCTCTCTCTCTCTGATTCTCTCCCTCAACCTCTCCCTGAACTTATTAACGGTTATGCTACGTACGTGTAATTCTATGGATAGATGATTTGTTAATATCATTTGCCGTTGGCAATGCCTTAAAAGCTCTCCGTAAATTGCATGGCAGTCGCAGAAAATAGACGACCCAATTTAAACGGAATGAATTTCGTGCCCAAATGAACTAATAGTAACTAGCCTAAATTACCATGCTATTCAAACTACGCCTTCAAAACAAAAGTGGTCTGTATGGGTATCTGGATTTGATGGGAAAGCCTGAAATTTGCCCGTTAAAGTTCTATTTCATTTGAACAGGCAATATGCCAATTGGAAATTGAACCGCACCATTTAAATTCAAATTGCCTATTGAGTTGATTATCCCCGCCTATTTTTACCGTTTTCCCCTAATGGTATCGAATGTCAAATTTATGTATCAACTGCAATTTTCAATTTACTGAATGCGGAGGCGTATATAATACGTATCTCTGGACAGTTGTTATGTCTAAATGTCATTGTTTTAAATCAACAAAAGGCTAGAGGCTATTTTGGAATATTTTTCTTTTGAAAAGTTGAATGGATTCTTTATTCAGACTCATTGGAAAATTCAGATAATAATTATATCAGATGCTAAATGTTCATACAATCATAGATTACCAACCAACATTACAATTCATCAGGTGTATTTTTGTTTCTTAATCGAAGGTGACGTTTTGTGAAATAAAACAATTCTATCATGTCTATTCCTAGTGTTCCAATAAAGCTGGAGAAAAAAAAAAGGCTTCGATAGTGTCTCGAAAACCAAACTCGTAGTATTAATTGGATTTTCTCTCTCAATTACATGGCAGATGATCCTTTGATATGATTCGGAATTAAATTCGTTAGGGATATGTGAGAATCATATTTCAAGTTATTTATAGATACAAGTACACCGTTAATGGCTTAAAAACAAAAGCACTCAAAAGCGTAAACACAATGATGGAATGCAAGACTATATCAGACATTAGACCCACGAGAATTCTCGTAGGTGCTTGATCAGACTTACTTTCTTTTACTTTTAGCACTCAGAGCAAAACCTCAATCGAATACGTAATCATGAATTAAAGCCGTGTAATGAAATAGCTCCCGAGATCACGATTTTGTCTTTCAAACCAGTTAGCGATAGAGATAGAAGATAAGTCACAGAGAGAGAGAGAGAAGGGGAGAGAGGGAGAGGAGAGAGGGAGAGAGAGAGAGAGAGAGAGAGAGAGAGAGAGAGAGAGAGAGAGAGAGAGAGAGAGAGAGAGAGAGAGAGAGAGAGAGAGAGAGAGAGAGAGAGAGAGAGAGGGAGTGAGAGAGAGAACGAGAAGTGTAGACGGAGAGATGTACTCGCATCGCTCGTTATTAAATGCATTAATGTAGCGAATATGCAGTAAGCAATTCCGGCGCTTTTTCAATTGCCTAGTATATTGATTATTCATGAGGAATAAGAAGAAAAGGGAGGGGCTGGAAATAGAAGGATGCAGAATTAGCTACAACTTAATGATTGAACCTTGGTTGAACTACGTGCATTTTATGATAATATACTCCTATTTGAATTTCTCGGAAAACTATAGTATTGTTATACCAATTAGTAATACCTTTCTTCCTGAATATTAGTAATCGTCTCGAAAAATACAATGCACATTTAATTATCATTCCTATGATTATAAATGAATTTCCCCCAAAGACGTAAACAAAGGTGCGGCCTTCTTTCTGCTTCATATTTCATCTCGGTACTTTGTTCTTATTTTCCTCTTTGGGTCACTTAATACCTTAAAACTACATGTCTTTCTTCAGGGGCGGATCGACGATTTTACAGCCGGGAGCAAATTATGAAGGGGGGGGGGGGGTGAGGGGATATATATTTCCCCTACTTAAGATTGCGTTTTTTCGGAGGAGGGGATAAAACAAAATAGGTACGTACTCTCGTGCCCCGGATCCGCCAATGTTCTTTTTAACATGATGTTTGGCCAACATAATAGTGTCTCTGTTATAATCTCATAGTGTATACAAAACTTTCAAATTTACTCGATTTGCTAATAATTATGTTTCTTGTTATTTTGTCCTTACTGTACTTTCTTTCTCTTTCTCTCACCCCCTCTCTCTCTCTCTCTCTCTCTCTATCATCCCCCTCTATCTCTTCCTTTCTTTTCCCCCCTCTCTCTCTTTCTTTCTTTGCCCCTCGCTCCCTCTCTTACCCTCTCTCTCCCTGTCTCTCTCCTCACACACAGATGGTAGTGCATTCATCTCCGAAGTTCTTCCTGTGAGCGGCGTGGGCAAGATGAGACGAAGGCTTATATGGTGTTGCTGTTCTAAACAATTATAAAGACATAATCAGCTAATCCAACGTCAACTATCTGGGGTTCCTAAAGAAGCCCTTTGCTAAAAATATTCGACCAAAAAGAACACATGATTATAACATTAAAATGGACGATCTGGGACATCCAAGTAGACTGCCCGCCCGCGAGACCAAAAGTCCAAGAGACTGAAAACCTATACGACTGCTAGCCTTCGAGACTGACAGCCTTTGAGACAAGACATCCTTCGAGACAGACAACGCCGTTAACCTACAAAAAGTTGTCAGAAGACCCACGAGACAAGCCATTGCACATCTGGCGGGTTATCAGTCTCTTTAGCCCTCCTCGTGGACACCAGAAATCTTACAGAAGTCTTGAGACCAATACTATCGGTCTCATCGGCTTTTGATCTCATGGGCTGTCTCTCTTATGGCTTGATCATCTTGTGATCCGTCGGTCTCATCCCAAAATCAACGGGTGCTTAACGATAGCAAGCACGGGACAATGAACACTGTTTAACACGACAATGACAACGAAGGGATGCCTCCACCAACGTAAATTCTAAGTATACCTTCTCTAACACAGCTCAATAAGTCAAGAAGAGACTACCGACACGTCGCTATCAAATAAGCGAAGTTTTCCGTTGGAAGACTGAACAGTATAAGGTCGATAGTTCTGGTGCTGAGGAATCATAATCATCATTACTTCATCATCATGTTAATATTATTCTCTGTCTTACACGAGATAAAGATGCTTACTAGCAGAATTGTACCCAACAAAAGACTTAAACAAAATGAAAGTCATTATTGATGAACACAACGCAGCTCTCGGGAGGTACAGAATTATTTTTGCGAGACTCAAAAGCTATTTGATATTTTGTGATGTAACATTAGGTTGCCTCCTCTAAAGAGAGAAGAAAGTGCATTAAGTGAAAATCAATAATCATATCGTTTTAATTTTTTTCAACGGATTAGCAACGATTTGGTAACGTTATGAAATGTAAATAAATTGAATGTTAAAGCAAGATGTAAATATTTCAGCAATAACGCGTTTCCACGCATGTGCATCACTCCATTTATATGTATGTTCTATTCATGTTGTTGTGTAGCTAGTGTGGTAATATTGGTTTATTAAGTTAGCTATAGGAGAATAATGTTCTTGCGCTCTATTGTCTAAAGTTTCAATTGAAAGAAGAAATTTATACCGGTGTGGATGACTACCACATTGCCAGACTGGCAATGCCAGTGATTGTTTAGTAAACTTAGCAGACAGGAAAATGAAATTCACACTCATTGTAGAAACATAGACAATTGGGAAAATAATACAGTGACTATATTAAACATTGTTTGCACATGGGGTTTGTTTAAAAGAATGTGTAACCACTGATGCAAACTTTGGTCTCTTTAAAAGGAACGGTAATAGTGCATCAGTGCGACCACTGAATGAATTTAGAATCGTTTCAATGCGTCGAAATCTTGTGATAACATCATTTACATATTTTTGTCATTGTGTGGTACACTGTGGTCATATTCACAGTTCAATCACATAGGTATCTCAGTGTAAACACAGAATAGATTTGGAATTGTTTATTTGCGTCTCCCATGTGAAAATGCTGTTTACATCGTTTTTACATAGTGTGACACAGTGTGGTAAAAACTGTGGTAATCATCACAAATTAAGTCAGATATTATGTTCCGGCTACCTATCACAGTGTGACCAAAGTATGGACTGGAACAGGCTCATCGTGTTGGCATTGTGAAAACAATTTGTTCACACCGTTTTGACACTTGTGAAACACAGTGGTAAACTGTGGTTATGATCACACAGGGAATCACATACATATGTATGTATCTTAGTGTGAACACGATAAAGATTTGGAAACATTTTTTTTGCGTTGACTATGTGAAAACACTGTTTACACCGTTTCAAAATTGTGTGACACTGTTTGGTAAACTATGCTCATGATCACAGATTAATACATATAACAGTGTGACCAAAGTGTGCACTGGAATAGGTTCATAATGTTTGCATCGTGTAAATACTGTGCTCACAAATTTTTTACACTTGTGAAACAGTGTGGTAAACTGTGGTCATGTTCACTGAAGAAAAAAACGCCATTACAGTGTGACAAAATACCGACTTGACATCAGACTAGGAAAGACTTCTTTTTGTATTATAATTATCCCTTATATTTCTCTTCACGTTGACACTGATTAACATGTTTGAATCTCCATTTGATAGCTGGCAAATGTAAATCTCACAAATCAAAGCTACAGTAACTGTTTCTGTGATCTCTACAAACAAATTTCGTTAAACAAAATTTGTACTGGGGAAAAAACGCGCATTATACAAGATACATGGCTGTCAACAAGATGCCCAAACACTGAATATGGTTATTAAACGTGAAATAGTCTGTTTCAGCTGGTCTGATATTAAAACGGTATTCACAATGGAACAGACAGAGCATATCAATAGCTGAACATAGTATTTTCAACAGCGGGGTCCTTGTACCAAGTTACGTTTCGATGTACATGTATATAGTATTTTGGATAATAATGTGCATATATATTTATCATGGTCATAAACTTCTATCGTTAAGGACCAAATGTACAAGTAAAACATTTAAGCATAGATATTTTCACTCGTCATAAATCATATTGTCAGAGAAATAGTTTTGTGGATTGAATATTACTGAAAATTCTTTGACAGTAATGAATGTGGTAATGTTTTGGCTTGCTGGTTGTTAAGACTAATGATTTTTATATCAATACAAAGAAGACGAAATAGGATAAGGGAAATACAGAAGCCAGAAGATGAACTAGATGAAGATGAAGTAGAAAAAACTCATTAATAAAATCGGTTAATTTCCTAAAGATCTTTGTTTGTTTATTCTTCATATCAATATACTCGGATAAATAAATGGTAAAAAATGTAGGGTCAACTAAAAGTAAAATGGTCAAGCTAAATTGCTTTGTAACAAATCTTCATGAGCAGTATCCAGATGAGTAGTTTTTTTGACACGTGCCTTTTAAACTACAAAGATTGTTAGTGATAATTTATGAAATCAGTCAATGTAAAAGCAGCAGGCCATGTACTCAAATCAGTGGAATAAAACTTTTATTACAAAAAGCATTTAGATGAAATGCGTTTAAAAGCAAGTGAGTGGAAATGAAGTGCAAGACATATTCTTTATGGACATGAACAAGAATAAAAATCAATGTTTTATTAAATGAGATACTATAAGGCTGAAAACACCAATCTTTCTTTTATTATTTCATTATGCTGCTTAAAAAGGAGGTAGCAACATCAGTTCACTGGATCATTACTGCATGTGGACAAACATTTGGTAACAAAGACAAGCACGATATTTCCAACTGCTGACTATCAATGTTTGTAAAGTCAATGAATTATCCTTGGTAAGACAACAAATAATGTTTGTAAAAGAGGAAAATATTTTGGTCGGGAACTATATTGTATTTATGTCAACCCGTCTCATCTGTATATCTAGATTTACAATTAATAACTAAATTATTCATACCCTTAGAAAGTTTTGTAATATTTTAAGTACCAGTATGTGAAAAGTTGATTTGTCTTGTTTTTGTTTATTGAGAATATGACATATTAAAGCTTACGTCTAAAAATGTTCAACAAAGGTCCTGATTCAACCATTCCTCATTTTTTTTTGAGTTAAGGAAAACACACAAAAAACATTAATTTACAGGAGGTATGAATAATTCACTTAACTGTATGTTATGGTCGTGCTATGCAATTCAAGAAGGAAAATGAAATCATCGCAAGAATAATCCCATTTGATTATATTCCTACTTAGATTGACATTCCCAAATCATATATCATCTAATTTTGTAGAAGCATCAGTGATATGACCATATCGTCTGTTTGGAGCCAGTAGGGTGTTAACTGGTATACTTTAACAGAGAGTTAATGCCCTTCTGGCGACAAACATACCATATATCCCCTTACTAAGGAGAACAACTGCATTTGCAAAGATTCAAAGAGATATGTATGCATTCACATCTCTATCTGTAATTTGAGGGAAAGACAATATGTTGTAATTTGGTAATGTTAGCGACCTAACCTGCAGTGATCCGTTTCAAATGCGTATAAATAATGATGAAGTGTACGGAGGTGATACGCAAAGAAGGAAACTTGAACTTTGTTTATGTACATTATATTCTTTAACTTTAATTACATGACAATTCTAGATGATAAGAGCTTGTGCTCTTTCTGTAGAAAAGATATCAGTAATAGACATGATGCACTGACTGAATAAAGTAATAAAATGAAAAGAATAAAATGAAATCCCATTCTGCTTATGACTTCTTTTTTATGTTTTTTCTTTGCGTAATTCAATTATTTCATATCAATGTGGTGGAACTAGTGAAAAGCAAGTGAGTAAAGTAAGGTATGAACATATAGTTATCTGGTATCCCAGTTTGCTGCACAAAGATGGCAAGAGCTTAACTACTGACAACTATACAATTAGACAGAAAGCTTCTGTCTCTGATATCGATGGTTGTTCCGCTGAGATTGCATCTGGCTCCTCTGACCGTCTCTCAACAAATGTCAGTTTTATTCAAGAAATGACCCATATCAGACGGTTATTTCTGTCTACTATAAAATGTGCTTTAAAAACAAATTTCATTCACGATATAAATAAATATCATTCTTTAGAAAAAGTGCTCTGCAAAGTTCAAGAGTTCTTGTTTAGTCCAAATCATAAATTATAACATACCTAGAAATATGTTATCATAAAGTTTCATAAATTGTTTCTGAAGAAAGCTTTAATAAATTTTCCAGAACTGAAGCATTTTTGTCAAAGCAATCTGCAAACATTTTGCTTTAAAAAAAAGAGAACATTTTGAGATTGTCAAGACAGAACATTATGCAACTTATGCAAGTCCCACACATCGACATCAAATGTATGTTACAGGGGTTCTATGTTTTAAAAGTGTGTATTATACGTAACTAAACTGGCAAATCAAATACTTTATCCCGTAAGCATCTAGGAAAAACCCTACATGAATTTAAATTTATGCTTGTCTGTTGTCTGTCATATTGAATCATAAAAGATTTGAACTTACAGTTTATCTGGGAATAAAAAATACCCCTCTTAAATTTATAATATGAGTCTTATTGGACTATGATAACGGCACCAAAGAAAAAGAGCATGCTTGAAGTGTCTTGGATGAAACATGAATTTATTTAAAAATAACGAATGGTTGGCAAATTTTGCAATTGCTACGTATAAACAGAAATAGTCTGCTGAATGCCAGAATGGCAATTCTAATACACTTTTCATACAGATTTAATGCCCTTCTTGCTCCCAGAAGATGAAGTTATAATGGAGATATTCTTTGTTAATGCAGTTGAAGCTCTTTGTCAATCCAATAATGCATGAGTTGGTTGTTCACATACATGTACTTTATTTGGGGAAAACATATACTTGTTGAGGCTTTTCACCTGCCAAATAATATTCTAACATTATTTGACGAATGTGATATTGCACTGACATTAGCATCAAGAGAATCTACTGATCTCTAGAAAGACACTTACATCTTTATAATCTTCCTTGGAAAAATGAACTCACCTAAACTTCAGCAAGTATAAATATGATGTGTCAAGCAATAAAAACGCATGATATTAACCAGGGATATTGCAATAAATGTCTCAAAGTTGTGTACTTAAATACAGGGTGGTTAAGCAATTAATTTGACCAGTAGTGCATTGATAAAGGCCAAACATATCATAACTTTCAACAAGGCTTTAAAGTAACAATCATTTTAAACTGATTACAAAATGGAACTTCTTAAAAGAAACACAGATGTCTTTAACAAGCTTTCTTTAAAATGGTTAAAAAGCATTTCACATGAGCTGTCATTACTCTTCAGCTGCAGAAGTACAGTACTCCTTTAGGCCATACCACTCACCACTGATCTGTTTCTTAATGTTTTCTTCTCACATCTTTGACTTCCATTGCATCTGTAGCTTTTGAACCCTTAGGGATCTGTTCTTATTTATCTCACTTGGAAAATATGGAAGATTGAACAGGGTCTCAACTCTCAAAACTTATCTGTTAATGACTTCCTGCCTTTGAGAGATACAAACCACTTCACATCTATAATAGTTACTCTCCTCGGATGACTTTAAAAAATGATTGAAGCACAACATATTTGGTATCTTCGGCTGCAGAAGTACTTCCTGATAAAGCAAATCATTAAACCAGTGATTTAAAAAAAAATGAAGTGTCCCTCCTCTGCAAAAAGTCTGGATTAACCTCATCTCTGATTTGCTTCAGCTTGCATCTTCCGTTACTGCAGTTGCGTCCATAGCCTCTACTTTTGAATCTCCTTCCCCAGCCTTAGGATTCTGCCCCTTTTTATCTACCTTAGCTGCAGTTGCGTCCATAGCCTCTACCTTCGAATCTCCTTCTCCACCCTTTGGGTTCCGCGGCTTCCGCCCCTTTTTATCTGGCTTAGCTGAAGTTGCTTCCATAGCTTCTACTTTGGAATCTCCTTTCCCATCCTTTGGATTCTGTCCCTTTTTATCTGGCTTAGCCGGTGAGGGGGTGGAGGAAGGGGGTCTCAGCTCCGCCCCTGGGGGTCTCTTTGCCATCAGAGCGTCCGGTATGGGTACACCAAGGATCTCTGGAAGCATCCAGGGTTTCAGCCAACCAACGAGAGGGGTCACGCCGGGGGTGTAGTGAAGAGCCTTGTGGTAGAAGAGCAGCCCATCTAGCTCATCCTATACAAGATAATTGTAAATTCATATTTGACTTTATTACTAAATATTTTTAGACAGAGTACTACATATCGAGGGGTCAGTGACACAAAGACGTAACTCCATTTTGGCTATTTTGAGAAAAGGTGGTTTATAAGTCACTGAGCACTTAGGTCTTAAGGAGTTAAGTCTATGTTTTACTAGCCATTGACTTCAATCGGGTCGTGGGTGGAGTTAAGTCTTTGTGTTTCCTGGAAAGCACACATTTTTCTGAACATTTTGTTATCAAATACTAATTTTGGCAAAATATGGAGTTACGTCTCTGTGTCACTGAACCCTCGATATGTCTTCTTAAAAAGAAAAAAGAAATGAAAAGAAAAGAAAAGCAAGAAAGGCAGAAAAAACTCTTTTAAAGACTATACTATAGCAACTTCAGAATGACGCGGTACATTCATTTCCTTTGCCGCAAAAGAATATGCTAACAGTATCTGAAGAATCAACGTGTGTAGTTTGCCAGGACAATATGGTATGTATCACTATTGAATGAGCAAACAATTTTAATATAGCTACAATCAAATGATATGAAGATGATAAATAATGAGATAGACATGAGGGTACCTGCTATATTTTAATGTACATGTACATACATATGTAAATTATCTAAATACAGAGATTATAAATGAATCAATCCTTGCAAAAATATGAACCATGTATGGTTGTCTTGTCAACTGCTGTCGTTATGCACAATCTGGGGGAGGGGGCGGTGGTGGAGTCAATTATGTCAACTATCAGACAAGTATTAAAGTTCAATATATCGCTATTCATGCACTGATAACAACAAGTCTTTTAAAGGGGGAAGCCGCTCACTCATACATTCTTAGTCCCGTATATATCATTTTTTTTCTGTCTCTGTCGTTCACAACACGACGACGGCTAATTTCGTTCCGACTCCCCTCCCCCTTCTCTACCCCTCCCCACTCAAAAACTACTCTATCAAAATAAGGGCAAACTCTCACCGGGAATGGCATAGGTTTTGCCATGGCATCTTGCAATACCTGCTTCTCACATTTGAAGGCCGGAAGGGGAAGAAATTTCATCTAGTATACACAAAGGGTAAAAATAAATGATAAATTAATTATTGCAATGTTACAACAGAAATATATGCATGATATGAATCCATCCAAAAAGAACAGAAATATAATTTTAAAAAAAATACTGGTAGGTAGAATAAAATTAATGGTGTTGGTCAGAAATAATATACTCTTATGTTGGTGCTAATAAAAAAAAAAACATTATAAGGGGAAAATGTAAACAGGGAAGGGGATCATGTAGCTGTATAACTATATGTTTAAGTCCTCTTCAAAATATTACACAGAGGATATTGCAGATTACACTAATTTTCATTAATTTTGCATCATGTTCAGCAAGGACAAAATCAAAACCACATAAAATATTTATCAATCCAGAAGACTTCTAACAAAAAATGTGTGGTTGACAGAAGCATTCATAAAAATAATTAATGAGCCAGCACTTGTGCAACTGAAAAAGCAAAAAACATGTAAAATATCTCACCATGAAATTAGAATTTTATATAAAGTGAGCACTGGCACAACTGGTAGGCTACTGTGCAGGAACTTAGTATATGTTCACTACTGGTATATTCTTTTCCACTACAGCTACAAAATACACCTCCTCAAAATTTGAAATAGATAATAACACAATAATCACATTTTCCCCTGCGAGTTAGGATATTTTCACAATTCCTCAGAGACAACTTTCTACAAAATCTTTGAATCTCTTTAAGCTTACGGGATGTTTCTTGAAACCGGTCGCTAGTTCCGGGTTCTCTGCTAGCTTGGACTGGAGCCAGAAGAACCTGAACTCCGTCTCGCTGTCGTACACAGGATGACCATGCCAGCACATACAGTCTAACACCCAGTACGTTCTGTGGATCTCACTGTAGATGCAATCGAGGATAGAATAATCTGAAATCATACAAACAGAAAGAAGATGCAGTGGTTCAGGTGGTGTTTCACAAAGACTAAGATCGACTTTAAGTTGGACTTAACAATGCCACTAGGTCCTCTAACCATTCATGGCATTGGTTTATCAAGGGATGTATAAATCTACAATTCACATATTTTCCTTCATTATTGAAGGAAAAGATATATTATCTAAAGATCATGATTGAGAGACTAATAGTGAGAGCAACCAGTGGCATGAATGGCCTGCCATAGTAAAGTCCAACTTAAAGTCGATCTTCTTTGTGAAACACTACCCCGGGTTCAAACCCTGTAAATCTGCCAGGGTCCCTTGCGTAAAGCAATAGCTTTCAAAGACCTCCTTTGAATCTTAAGGCATTATTTTAAGAAGAGGAAATAGACAGATTTTGTAATAGTTTATCCAGAATCTGGACATTTTTGTTTGCATTGATAGGGATCTTATCAAAAATTGTGTGCTACGAGTTGCAAAAATAAATTTGCCAGAAAATACTACATGATCAGAGCGAGAAGACATACCCAGGTACTAGATATCATTACAGTACATTTATAACTGATAAAATAAAAGAGATATAAAATCCTAAGGGATGAACAACGTACCTACAATGTATATAGACAAGTACAGTCAAACCTGCTTTAGTGATCACTGTTCTACAAAGACCACATTTTTTGTTTCCCTTGAAAAGGGTTTCTCATTGAAACATGTACTAAAGGAACCTGTCTACAAAGACCACTTTTTTGTGTTTCCCTTGGGCGGTCGCTGTATACAGGTTTGACTGTATTATGTATATAACAACGGCTTCTTCACATTTTCGATAAAGAAGGGTTCTACTCACTATGTTGATTCCTACTCTGCCCACTTGATCCACCCGGCAGGGCACTCTGAAACCGATTCACACAATGCCCGCTCTTTGTGTAGTGACATGTTGCTCCCTGGATAAATAAGGGGGAAAAAAGGAAAAAAAAAAAAAAATCAGCCATCAAAGATTCTGTATCCAGCTTCATTTGCTCCTTGAGATTCAAACATGATTAATGAAGGTTGATACCATGGAATCCTGTTAAATTCAAAATTTGAAAAACTTGAAAAAGAGGAATGCTGAGTGTAAATTTGTCTCATAGAAGGGTACTGGGGGCAGTTTGTGGACATCCCATAGAAATGTGTGTTTATTCTATAACACACGTTTCAACGGGATGTCCAAGAAGTTAGACTTACGACGGTTTTCGAGTAACAGCCCCCTGGTAGACAAGTATGGCAGCACAGTAATATCATTTGCCCACTTTGATCATGTTGCTATACATTGTGTATATCACAAGCACCGGCCTGCCACTGGTTTAGAATGTGGAATCAATCAACTTGGGCAGTGCCAATTCTTGAGAAGGCCAATTGATAGGGATCTTATCAAAAATTGTGTGCTACGAGTTGCAAAAATAAATTTGCCAGAAAATACTAAGGGAAGAACAACGTTCCTACAATGTATATACACAAGTTGTTGTACAATTTAAGGCCATATGATTTATTTTTTTGCTGATCTTAAATGTATAGTTTAAAACAATTATTTTTCATTGTTTCCTTTCTATTTTATTCTTTTTATATCACAGAAATGAAAACAAACAAACAATTCAACGTCATACCACTCACTCACAAAGTAAGAACACAATATTATAGTGTGAACTCTGAAGCTATATCCCATTTCCAGGTGGAGTAGGTTTTCCCTAGAAGAAGAAGAAGAAGACGAAGAAGAAGAAGAAGAAGAGGAAGAAGGAGAAGAAGAAGAAGAAGAAGAAGAAGAAGAAGAAGAAGAAGAAGAAGAGAGGGAAGAAATAGTATTAACAGTCTTATAGATTAAAAAATAAAATTGAACTAACTCTGCTGGTTATGATGAATGTTCTTCTTCCAACCGGACAAGGAACCATCAGCCAATTCTCTGCCAAGTCTGATGGAACATCATCTAACCATTCAGATAACATCAACTGTATGGAAAATAAATTGGACGAGGTGTAAATAATAGTCACATTTGTATAGTGCTTAATAATATGTTTCTAAGAACTAAACGTTTAATTCTTTATATGAAAACCTATTCATTGGATTCAGGTAAACAAACATTCTTAATGTGATCCTACATAAATTTGTAACATCTGAATAATCTGATGTTATAAAGATACATGTATGAAACATATTCAACATGTCTCGTGTTTGTGTCACAGGGTCTTCTTCCTGATCTAGTGTACACTTCAACACAAGCAAGTCTTGTTTTGTTTTAAAGTACAAGCTTAATTTCATTGTTGAACACTACAGAACTGTTTTTAAAAGTGAATTTATATTATGTTTAGTCTCAGCCCCCCCCCCCCCTTCCAGCCAAAAATCTCTATTAATTTTTTATAATTTGATACCTGGTCAAGAAATGCATAATGGTATGACAGATGTACTAATTTTACCTTTAAGCTTTAAAAGCAAAACTCTCTGTCTTGTCAGAGTCCAATAATTTTCACTAGACAAAGAGGGAAATCAACATTTCCTGGATGGGTATGTTAAAAAAAAAAAATTTTCTTTCTTTTTATGTTTGTAAAAGCAATGTTAATTGTCCTAACAAATTCAGAAGAAGAAAAGAAAAGAAAAACAAAAACAAATTTAAGACGAATCCTTGGTTAATGTCTGCACAAAGTATTTGCCTAAAGTTAAAACAAACATCTCTGGAAGCATTTGTTATTAATCATGCACACTTGTTATGATAGTTAACATTACAGCCCCTGATTTGTTTGATCAAAGTCAAATAATTTGTGTACCATTAAAAGGCTTTCAAGGACCATTTCATAATAAAAAAGAACATTTAGAATAATGTATACCTGATTGCTGTAATATCGCTCCTTCTTCTTTCCCCTTCCCTTGCCCTTGCTTCTCCTCCTCTTCCCAGATGTCGGCGAAGTCTGATCCATCGTCTCCTCCTCTTCCTCATCGTCACTGAGAGTGATATTTGCATAATCTTCTTCAGCAAGCTTCCTTCCTACATCAGCATAGTTTCTCCGCTGCCTGAACAGATATATATGTAATCAATAAGAATTAAAAACTGTTGAATATCATAATCATCAACATCAATGCATCATCATCATCATCATCACCATCACCATCACCATCACTACCACCATCCATCATCATCATCATCATTATCATCATCATTGTCAGGAAAGAAATTTATTTGTTTAGCTCTCTGGTCTGGAGTGTTCTTTGTTAAGGTCAGGTGAAGATGTTAAGGTCAGATGTTTTCTTTTCAGGCCAAGATGTATTGTTCCTTATGAATAGGCCTGGGGAAGTCATTAATTCAGTGTACATGTTTTATCTGTTGTTTGGCACACATTTAGGAAGCCTCTTTAGAAGACAAGTATTTTCCTTTGTAAGATGATTTCCTCTCCAAATATTTGTAGTCATGTTTTTAGAATTTACTTAGTAACCGTAGAGTATTTTAAGAGGTGGATTTTCTGCAATCGAGGAGAACCACCTAAGCTATAATAGACTGAACGTCATGTTAGAAGTCGGCAATTAAAGTCAATATCTGAGGGTAATTCCACGTCGGGACGAGAGGCTAGCTCAACTGCCACCCGGTTCTCCATAGCTTTCGTCGGGGGCTAGCTCTTGTCTAGGATCGGGACGCACACCATCGTATCTCAGTCTGCGGAGGTCAAGAATCCGGGGTGACTACCGGGGCCAAGTGGAGCAAAGACGCCGTCTGCGGAGGCCAGGGCCAAGTGGACGAGACGAGCTGTGACCGGCATCGATGTCAGACGGGAAACTACCCATCCAGAATTATTTTGTTAAAGATAAGTTTAATTACCTACTGTATTTTTACTTAAGCCAAAACAAAGTGTGTGAAACAGGAAAAATGATTGGAAATTAAACGTTACAATTTAACTTTATTTTAATAAGCTTTATTTCCCTTTATTCTGTGTGTCCGTAGCAGTAATAAAAAAAAAAAAAAAGTCACTTACGTGACAATCATCACAATCATCATCATCATCATCATCATCATCATCATCACCATCATCAATTCATCATCGTCGTCGTCGTCGTCGTCGTCATCATCATCGTTTTATTATTTATGTGAACATGAAAATAAATAAATCTGTGATGGTAAATACACATACCCAAAACATTATTACTAGAAACGTTACCATACCATCATATTACATCCCTTGCATTTCAACACACAACTATTTAATTTGCTTGGATAATTTTCTAGAGTATATGTTTTCTTGTGAAAATAAGTTGACTGTGTGCCAAATGATTGTCATTGCGTGCATGATATTTAAATGCATATAAAAACAATATCAATTTTTAAAGATATAAGAACCTTTTCATTTCACTTTAAATTCTTTGTAAGCAATTAACAATTTGTTTTCATACTGGATCTGTCAAACATGCCACAGCACAAAAACAGCCTAACTTGAGTTGATTATTATATTTTATGGAAATATTAAAGCGTAAGTTTTATTTGTTTTCTCATTATTCTGGCATAGACATACATTTGTAGTTACCAGCTGCAACTTGGAATTGACATATCACACCACATACAGTCATTGATGATTATGTAACAAGGGTGGGGCAAATCTCCTTGCTAACACTCTTTTCCAATTTCCACCATCCCATTCAGCATCATTATCAATCATCATCGCCAATTCAATTAGCCATTCTTTCAAATTCAACGAGTTCAAAGACAAAGCAAAGGTTGAAAAACGACTAGTGTTATCCTAATAAATTTCAAAAAACAATTATTATCATTATTAATATCTTAATATGACAGTAATCATGCTCTGTACATACTCTCTCTGCAGTCGCAATTTCTCTTTTCGTCTCTCCCATTGACTTTGCTTGCTCTCCCGCGTCTTGTACATGCACATCCTGGGATGCTGCGTAGCCGAACTTTCGGCGGAGAAAGAGACTCCTACCGCCCCAGAAAATGCTGCTGCTAAATTGTCTAAATTTGGTTCGGTTGACATAGTGTATATATAATTTCGTCTTTACGACGGTGAGTGTTTATACAAAAGGAATCAACGCCCCAGTTGCGAAGAATGAGAAAGTGATAAAGAGGAAAATAAAGCAGAAAACATAAATTATCACATCCAACTCCCGACGAAAGGTCGTGTAACTATGAAGTGCTTAACGGTAGCACGCGGATTGGAGTACGGAATGCCACTGGGGAAAATAATTAAAACTCCTTTTTTGTGAAGAAAATAATAACAACAACGACAACGACAAGTCGACAACAACAACACTAACAATAACAACAACAACAACATCAATGATAATAACAATAGTAATAATGGTAATGATGATGATGATGATGATGATGACGCTACTACTTCTACAACCATTTAACTTTCAGCACCATTTATAAATATATAGTACTGATATATATGTATCGAAGAAGAAAAAAAAATACTTTATTCATCGGAATGGAAATTTCTATTCTACTGCATGAAAAAAATAAAATATGGAATTGTACTTAGACCAAAAACTTCAGTCTCTCTATATCGTCGGTTGTTCCACTGAGACTACGTCTGGCTCCACTAGACCTCCGATTATGTATTGGGGAATGTCAACAAATGTCAGTTTTATTAAAGAAATGACCCATATCAGAAGGTTATTTCTGTCTAAGTCAAACTTAGCTAGCAACAAATTGATTTTTTTTTTTTTTTTTAAACTGTATGTCATTACATTATTGTGACCAAATAGTCATGAAATTTCCTGTATTATTGGTAATCAGGTTTGAAAACAACTGTGTTTTTTGGATTAAGAAAAAAAAAATCCTTTTGATTCTTTGATATCACCTTTTCCTCTCATGCCAGTTTTCTGTGTCAGGCTTCATTTCACTTTAAATGATGAAGGTGCACGCTTCTGCGACCTTACAAGATTTCAATAGGCCAACCCAGATAAATAATGATTAACTAAAATATCATAGAAATATAGGAAATTATCAAGGTTGAAGCGAATCAAAATGATGGTACATGTAATTAATGTATAAGTTATTACTTGATAGGTAAAGGGCCTAAAACCTTTAAAAAAATACCCCAAGTGCAATTTGGTATTTAAAAAATGCTAATTACTAGACTAAAGGTGAGAATGAAAAAAAAAAGTAAAAGAGAAAGAAAAGTTGTTGATGTAATACCTTATCATTTTGATTAAGTTTTCACACACTATATTCAATTCTTTCACTTTCCAATTTCTCATGAAACTGAATCCATGGACCACTCATATAAGCTCTCGATCATTTAAAGCCCCACTGCACTACTTGCACCCTCTATATAGCAAACAATGCCTTAGCAGTACCCGTTGGTCCCCCATGGTCCCTTTTTCTTCTGTTAATTGAGAGCTGATTTGATGAGATAACCTGTCAGTGACCACACAGGGAGGTCTAATCCCTCCTGGCCAAACTAGTGCAGATATGCTTTAAGACTTCAAACTATGCACTCATCCTCTCTTCCACTTTCGTCAACATACTTCAGTGTTCTCAGCCAGAGGGACCTTGATCGTCTTCAGAGACTCCAAAACTCAGCGACAAGGCTTGTCTTCTCTGCTCCTCTTTGGACTCACATAACACCACTTCGACTTGAACTCCATTGGCTGCCTGTACGACAGAGAATAGCTTTTAAGATCCTACTATTGGTCTACAAGTCTCTCAACCACCGATGTCCCCCGTACATAGCTGACTGCTTGGTTCGTCGTCCTCGAGTCCGAAATACCCGCTCATCATCATCCATCTGGCTCACTCAGTGTCTCTCTAAGAAACGCGCTGGTGAATTGTCTTTTCCATCGGTTGCTGCAAAACTGTGGAACCAACTACCTACTGCTGTGCAGACGGCCTCATCTGTTGACCAGTTCAAGAAACTACTCAAGTCACATCTTTTCTGCTAGAAATTACTTTATTACCAGCCTACATATACTTTGCTGATCTCTGAGAAGTGTCTAACTTTTTTTTTTAAGTGGCCCAAACATTGTCGAGCATGTGTGCAGCGCTTTGTAACTGCAAGGAAAAGGCGCTATATCAAATATCTTTTGGATTGGATTAGATTGGATACTGTCAAATTCATCAAGCTAGGATAAAGAAATCACAAACATATAGCAAACCAAAATCCTATAACAAAAACAGCCAGGCAATGCTATGGTAAGGTTATCATATTTTGCAGTTTTTATTTATCATCCAAATAGACCAATTTGTTGTATATAAGAGAGCAAAACATATTTGTATACATATTATTCCAATTGTTATGCAAACTAAAGTAGACTTCACCATTGCACATTTTTCTTTACACTACATATATGTACTGTTACAGAGGAAAATATTGGTGACAATATGTCAGTCAGACTCTGAGGAAAGAGCATCATATATCTATACAGTATATTTATGCTTCATTATCTGATCGAGTATTGATGTCATAAAATAAACAAGTGTTAAACGTTGCATATAAGAAAACATATATGAGGTATACAAACATTACCGTCGTAAAGATACATTCCTAATATCATTTGGTGATGCTGAATAGAAATGCAAATGGAACAGAGAAAAAACAGGTATAAGAAAAGAGAAACTAAAAAATTGGATACAAGATTCATAATGGTTTACTTATCCTGCATGGAACATATAGAATGTCATAATCTGCCTATACTAGAAAATTTTAAAAACAGTGAATTTCTAACCTTGTATCCAACAAAAATTGGATACAAGATTCATAATGGTATAATTATCCTGCATGGAACATATAGAACATCATAATCTGCCTATACTAGAAAATTGTAAAAACAGTGAATTTCTAACCTTGTACTTAGTCATTCGGAACACATGTTTTGCACAGCTGATAAGGCACTGTGGCATATTGTGCAAAACATCAAATCTACCAATTTTTAAAGTTGCATATCTAACAATCTCTTTGAAAGGTTGTACAAGGTGCACATTAGCTTTGGGGAGGACAAATTAAAACAAAAATGACAACGATGGAAAAGATGATGATAATGATGGCGGTGGTAGTGCCGATGATGACAAGAGAGTAACAAAACCACTAAAAGCAGCGAGAAAGGCAAAAAACACAAAAATATTTGAGGCGTCAAAAACATTTCAGGGAAACAAAGAGAGCAATGGTTCTAATGGATGTTTTGGGGGTCTTTTTCATGAGGAAACTACAAATTGGCTAATGAAAGAATAATACATGTGTATACATAAGGTGATCACACACAAAGATATGAAGAACTTTAAAGGCCCACTGCACTACTTGTAGCTAATTGCGCCCTCTATATAACAAACAATGCCTAAATGGTGACCATTGGTCCCCCATGATCCTCTTTTTCTTATGTTAACTGAGAGTTGAGTTGATGAGATAAACATCTGTCCAGTGACCTTGCAGGGCAGTCAAATTCCTCCTGCAAACTACGGCAGATAAGCTTTAAAAGAATCTTACTTTACTCACCTACTCTGTTAGAGGTTATCTTTTGCCCAGCATAACATTGACTACAAAGAAAATAGCATACAACTATTTATAATTTAAATCACTGCACGCTGATAACATTCAATTCAACAGAAACTTCATAAACTATGATCCGTGCATATGAATGCATTTGAATCTTTTTGTAGCAAAACTAGTCTTCCACAAGTTTGATTGATCACTTTTTCTACTAAGTTATCTACATGCTAGTAGTTACTGTGAAAGTAATGTTAATTCTCATAACCTTAAAGGTAATACAAAGTTTTGGTAATATTGCAACAGGATAGGATTATTAAATTTAAAATTTGCATTACCATTGTGAAACCAAGTGTAAGATAAGCAACTTTGGAAAAAAATGGGCTCCAAAACGTTAAGGATTTCGAGAAATTAAAATATCACATTTATTGGTGCTCCCGATAAAATTTCAAAGAGGGCCTATGGCCATACAATAGTAACTGCAACTATGAAAATCTTTGAATGTGCAGTTCTGTATATAATTTCCAAACAGGAATAGAAAATCAGTCGATTTTAGTCAAGGAACATGGTTTTGAAGCTAAAGTAATATCAATCTTGAGAGGGAGCTATACAACATAAGGAGTTTATTATTCACAATTTCATCACTTTAGACTTGATTTTAAACCGTGACAACGATCATTGAATATTGAAGGATCTCATATGCTTTCAATATGTTCATTTGAACCAAATTCATGACCCCATACCAAAACTTTGTATTACCTTTAAGACTTCTTGTGCTTGTGTATCACTGACAGTATTGCTTCTTTTCTTAAATTGACAATATCCATTTATATATAATCAGAATCATTTGAATACACAGCAATGTTCATACACAGGAAAGGAGAGAGAGAGAGAGAGATAGAGAGAACAAGAAAAAGAGGTCAAAAAGGGAGAGGAATTTCAAATTCAACAATAAAAATAGCCACCTTATCTTTAAAACAAATAATGCCTGTAGATAACACCTGCCCTTATACCCCTCTTAAAGTTATCCCATGCTACGCAAATTTCAATACCATTCAATCATTTGCATTACATAAGAAAGGAGTATATATCTTTGTACAGATCTTTCAACAATTTACAGTCAAGATTTTATTGCAAAATATTTGTAATTAATTACACACGGCACACATCAATATTCTCTAATTTACTCCATATGAAACCTTTTCACTATGATTATTTTTGGTAAATGTTTTCAAGCAATTTTGTATTCTACCTGTATATGTTGATAGCTGTAACTGTAGCGCAGTTCTTTGCACATGAAACATGCATTGCAGTAAAATATTGCCCTACTTCCTATTTTTACTTATTCTTTTCCCTCTAATGGATCGAAATTCCAACCATGTTTCATATTTTAGTGTTGGTGGTTTGTTAATATGAATGACAACAAGACGAGTGCACATGCATCAATGTTATTTCCATTTAAGTTTGCTTCAGGAAAACTTCTACTTTACTTTACAGACAGGCACAAGCATTTTATAGAAAAAGTGGCAGTTTATGATTTGTGATACATTCAAATAATCATCAAAAACTATGACTATACATTAAAAAATATATATATCATTTATTAAAAGTTCTATAAAAATCTACAAACTTTACACACATCAATTTATTTTTTCGTGATTATCACACAATCCCGCAACATGGCATTGGTCTATAGGAATGACTATATATAGAATGGAATCATTGAGAGCTCCAAACACACATCTTGTTCATTTATTTGAAAAAAATCACAATAAAAACACATCAGTAGTAATTACGGTAAGGAATTTAAAAAAAAAGCGTTAAATGTGAAAGTCTAAGTATTTGTTCATCCTGTGTTCCATATATGTTTAAATACCAAGAGCATTAATTGTATAATGAACATGCCTGGACATTAAATGTGTCATTTTACTTGAGAAAAACAATTACATTTTGGCAGATTTACACTTCAGGTCTGTCAATACAATGTATGTTCATGTACTAGGTCTTTACACAAAAATGTGTTAATTTTAAATGTAAATGGTACTGCATGGGGCAATTATGAACTAAAATATATTATACTAGCTCAAAAGAACCTGAAAGTACCTGAAATTCACCACAATTTGTATAATCATGTACCAGTAGTCTATTTTGTATATCTTCTTTTTTACTTTCTTAATTTCATAACGTGCCTTGAAATAGTTTTACTAGATAGAAAGCGCAATTTAAGTGTTATATATCATTACTATCATTATTTCGATGAATATGTGAAAATCCTTTAAATAATTCAGTCCTCTTTGTAATGACCTTCTATAAGACAAACAACATACAAATTACAAAATCTGTAAATCTGTATTATATGGTATACAGGATTTGTGTGGTCATGTTGGACTACTTTTTAGAATAACTAACACATAATAATAGAAAGAGCTACCCATACATCTTATATAATTTGCATTAAACTATAACTAATACTAGAACTAAGTATGAAATAAGATACATATATATACAATATAAAAATGAACACATTTCATATCTCCAAAAGAAATATATACAGATTCTTTCTTCTTACCTCTTTGTAAATAATAGTCTTTTTCTATTCAGATATAAATAAACAATATACTTGAAGAAAGAAATTGCAATGATGATGAATAGTAAATGAAGTGAAAAGACTTGCAAAACTTATCACCAATACCGCTTTCCTTTAAATTGCTCCATTATTATTACTATAATTATAATTATTATTTATAATAGCTGTAACCCCATGTGTACGCTGATAGTCATTATACGTTCATAACATCAAAAGTTATGATATGCGCAAGCACATATTCCTTATTTGAGTGATGATGCAGTCGTAAGAGCACAATTCGTTTAAACATTTACGCATTATCTGATATCTCTGCTAAACTTACACAGCTGATATAGTCGTGAGGAATTATAGACTGTGTTTTGAAGTAGCAAGTTTACTGAAATCTCCTTTTTGGTCTCGACTCAGGGACCTTAACACAAATCAAGTGTAATCAAGTCTTTCCTCCTGGTTTTGGTCATGGGACTCTAGTTTTCTACAAAATATTGGTAATGATTGCTAAACACACTTTAGCTTCATTAGTTATATCTAATTCTAAACTGGCCTCCCTTTTACCCTGTATGTGAGGTATGATATACAAGTATAAAGCATAATATATATTCAAAACATTAGATATGTGTCAACAATGAAAAGAAGAGAACCGGAAGTATATTTCTAACAAGGCTCTGGAATAATGCCTCTGGTAACACTTCAGGTTATGGAGGCTTACAAACCAAATATATTTAATAGCTCGTACAGAAACAAGGTCGTGATTGGTCCACAGCTTGTCACGTGATATCTGTTGCTAAGATCGTAATTAGCATATCTTGCTCCTGGTCATTTTTTGATGTTATATTGGCAACCCAGTCAAATGAGTTTATTTTGTGTATCATAACCTATCCAAGCAACCCTGTGTGCACTAGAATGTACCCTTCATCTGTCATTTTTTTTTTTATACAACACATTCTACCATTCAATGCCTTTATAATAATGATGAAAACAAAGCAGTCTATTTCTTCTTCATCTGTTAGATAGAAAAGTTAGATAAGGTGTATTCATACTACCCAAGATGAAAGCATGTACTATCAGTACGCACTCTAATTTGGTTGCCTCTCAGGAGCATGATGTATTACATATGGGTGGGTTCAGTCTGCCTGAGATGAACTTTCGTTCTATTGAAGCTTGTACTTTGAGTAGAAGGAGAGCTACAGGGCTGTGTGCCTCTCATATAAAGCATGATGTATTACATTGGGTGTATTCAGCCTGCCTAAGATGACCGTTCTACTGAAGCGTATACTACGAATAGTAGGTGAGAACACTGGTTTGGTTGCCTCTCATGAGCAGCATAGGAGGGAGGTCACCAGAAAGCACTTCTAACCAGCACATGTACATGATGGGGGGGGGGGGGGGGGGGGTTCGGTCTGCGTAAGATGAACGTTCTATTGAAGCGTATACTATGAGTAGTAGGTGAGAACACTGGTTTGATTGCCTCTCATGAGCAGCATAGGAGGGAGGTCACCAGAAAGCACTTCTAACCAGCACATGTACATGATGGGTGGACAGAGGCTCTTCCTGGGCATCGGTAGAGACCTGGTAGAAAAAAAACAAGAAAATGTAAGAATAGGGTTTAGGGTTTAGTGTCTACTTCGATGACAACTCTGTCTTAATGGTCGTTGCTCTTTATGCAAAGCTTCTGCTGAACTTTGGAACAAACTACCTGTACATGTCAAAAACTGTCAGACTGTCAACCAATTCAAAACTTGTCTGAAGACAAATTTATTCAAAATTGCTTTTGATGATTAACTTACTCTGTTCACACTGATGTATATTTCATATGTATTGTAATTTATAGGTTTATTTGTAACTTCTTGTTTTGTTTAATATGTAATTATTTATCATTGTATTTTGTTTGTTATAGTGCTTAGAGACTTTGGTGGTAAGCTCTTTATAAGCACCGTTTTTATTATTATTCATATTACCAGTATTTAGTCTGGTTTGATGGTTTTGTTTTACCTGACTGCTAAGGAAGGATGTGTATGCTTGTGAGTAAGCAATCAGAGGACCAACGGCTTCAAGTCCTCTCAGAGGGACTTGGTAATGAGGATTAATGCCTTGCCAAAGAGCACTAGCGCATCAACTTGATTTTTCAAACCCAGTGCTAATTAAGAGTGAACGTTGAGGCGTAGTGAATGGGTTAAAAAGAAGAAGAAATGTATCTGAAGATGTATGATGAAAATAAATTTCATACAATGATCAACTTACATGACAATAAGGCTGGCATCTTTGGAGTGCTCTTGAAGAAGTTCTCTTAGGCGGATTTGTCTCATTGTCTGGGAAGAGATACAAATATTTAAAAAATCTGAAAATTGACTGGGTAATTGAAATATATTTTAGAGGAAAAGACACATAATATTTATGTTCAGCACTGCTGCTCTTATTCAATTTCAATTTCAATTTTAGTTCTTTTTCATCCAACAAGTGAAAAAACATACAACAGCCATACATAAATTGGTGAAAACTTAGATAGGATAGCTTACAAAAAGCTCAAGGCTTGTAAACAGCTTCTAAACATATCCTATGATGATGATGAAAATAAATACACATATTTCTATTAGGACTATCAACATCAATATCATCATCTTTAATATTGTGATCAACATCAACTTCAAGATTGCAATCAATACATTATCAATACCATTATCACTGTCGATATCATGATTGAAATTTGAAAATCATCAATGTTATTGTCATTAGTGTCATTATCGTCTTTGTAGTCATCGTCGTCATCATCATCACACATGTGCATGTACATGAATCATCAATTTTGGCATCAACATCATCGTCACAATCAAAGAGCATCTTGTCTCATCTTGTAGTGATTCCACAACATCCAAGGATACATCTTAGGAATTTCCTCCTCCTCCTTCTTCATCACCATTCTCATCATCATCCATCATTCTCATCATCATACCATTAACATCATCAACATAAGCACTATTATCACCATCATCATCATCATCACCATTGTAATCATCACCACCACCACCATCAGCAGCAGCAGCATCATCATCACCATCATCATCACCACCATCATCATCACCACCATCATCATCACCACCATCATCATCACCACCATCATTGTTGCCATCATCATCACCAACACCATTGCCATCGCCATCATCATCACCATCACCATCATCATCATCATCATCATCATCATCAACATAAGCACTGTCATCACCATCACCATCATCTTCACCATAATCATCCCTACTATCATCATAATCATCATAATCACCGTCGTTGTCATCGTCATCATCATCATCATCATCATCATCATCACCATCGTCGTCGTCGTCGTCGCCATGATCATCTCATCTCACCTTATCATTGAGCGATTCCACGTCCTGTTCTGAGATCTTCCATGGATACGCCTTGGGGTCTTCGCCCTCCTTCAGTAACCATGGCTCGATGATCTTGTTGAATTTCTCTATACTGTAAGGTCAAACAAAAGCAAATTAGGGGCCAATAAAACACTTCACAGTGGAACAAAAACTTGTAATTAATCCAGTAAAAATTATTTAATTCGTGTCCCACAAAATATGACAAAATTGCACCGGGAAAGGTCATTTTCATTTGCAGTCACTGTTTAAAGTGACTCAGTAACATTGTTGAAGGTTGATTAAAAAAAATTGCGTAATTTTTGTATGAAATGTTACTTATTATCTGCCTTCTACTGTACTAACCCTCTAACACGCAAAAAATCCATAAAAAAATTCTCATATAGAAACATACGAAAAGTCCAGAAGTAATTTGAAAACATATATTTAGCACTTGTTATCAACAACTAGTGTTACATTTCTATGACAAATTTGCTCACAGCGAATCGACTGATTTCAGAGGCTTACGACAGTTATTGCAACTTGCTTTTGGTTTGTCTGATGATTGTCTTACCCGACTGTATATGCTTGTAAGTAAACAACCAGGGGGCCAATGGCATTAAGTCCTTTCCGTAGGACAGGGTTTCTATAATTAAAACCAGTGACACCATGTTACACACGGTTAGGAGACCACTGCTCTACCACCGAGCCAGCGCGCCTTGTTTTTGGTAAACAGTTTAATGAAACAGGGCCATGAACCATGATGACTTTAAACCCACCTTGCTGCAGATGGCAACTTGCCGATGTTTGGAATGATGTTCACACTGTCGTGAGGGATACGGAACTTGCTCAGCAAGTTAGCCATCCTGCAAAGAAGTAAAAAAAAAACAAACATAAACAGCATTAGTATGAAGTAATCGTTGATGCATCAAAGATTTGGCTCATTAACTTTTGACTCAAAGTCTTAAAGCAGGACTGCACTACTTGTAGCTACTTGTGCCCTCTATAGAGCAAACAATGCCTAAAGGGTACCTGTTGGTCCCCCATGGTCCCCTTTTTCTTATGTTAATTGAAAGCTGATTTGATGAGATAACCACCTGCTAGTGACCATGCAGGGAAGTATGATCCATCCTGGCCAAACTAGTGCAGATAGGCTTTAAAGGGGAAGTACACAATGATATTTTATTTTCATAAACTTTTAGTTTCTTAGTTATTGATAACAGAGTACATTTTAATCATACAGGGGTTGCATAAAAACACATTTGCAATAATTATATTAAAAATTTTGTAGTTTTTGTACAGGGAAAATGCTGCTATACAGCTCTCATTTAAATAATACAAATCTAAAGGAAGGACTCACTTTCTCTTCTCATCATCGACTCTTTCCTTCTTGCCGCTAGCAAAGACCCTCAGTTTGCACTTCTGCCAGTTGGTCTTCTGGGTGAGCAGATGGGGAATCAGCAGCGTCAGACCTAGCAAGCGAAAAGATGAAAAGAAACAATATAAATAATAATAATAATCAAATGTTTTTGAAAAATGCAAAACGCATGGGCATAATTGCATGTCTCTGAACAGAATACAGAAGGAGTGGAATGGTGCACTGGGTTCATAATCATGAGATTTAACAAAGTGCTAACTAAATATTTCAGTATGTTTACAGAATACTTCTGAACTTTTTGTATGCTTCTGTATCTAAGGTATTCAGGCAAGTTATTTCATAAATAGTGGCTGCGAATGAAATGAACTTTGCCAGTAAAATTTTATTCAGAGTCTGTGGGATAAAAAGTATTTACTGGAATGCAGTGTTTAATGACTTTCTCTATTGGAGCAAAGCTATCTCTTTGGTGTTATCTAGCATTGAACATTTTATGGGCAATTTTCACTCACAAGGTTAAGAATGGTACCACACAGTTGCTCTAACTCAATGAATACAACATTTTTAGAAAAAGCATTTCTAATAGACTCCAGCCCGATTGATCATAGGGCCAATATTCTAAGATTGAGATTTAATTCAAAGATTGAGATTTAATTCAATTTTTCTTTCAGATTTGAATATAAGATATCTTTCCTACACTTTTCTTTAAAAATACAACAGATAACAAACTACCCTCCTGATCTCGCATGGTAAAAACACTTGTAGGCTGATCTGAACACTTTCTCTATGTAGGTTGCTATCATTAAAAATCAATGATAAATGGCACTACTATAAATAGTTTAACCATGGACTTCAGACATCTTAATATTTTGTTATCCTTCCAACTTTAAGAATAGCTTCAAAATCAAAGCAAGTGTAGTACGGATATGATAAAAAAAAAAAATATTCTTAAACCTTAACACCAACCAAGTAAAAAAGTAATAAACCATCTTCTTAAAAAATTGTTGCCATGAGCAGTTTACAAGCACTATAACTGCAGAGGCAAAATTTTGCAGTTTACAAAGTCATCTTGGAATCAGCAACTGAAAATTTTAATAGTCCATCTTCATATTGTCTACTGAGAGCAGCCAGAAAGGCCTTATCTTAATGTACAGAATTATGCAGAGTTCAAACCCTTAATGCTGTCAGATGATGTGTGAAAGAGACCCAATTTTGATCTACTTACCTCCATCATCAAACAGCCACCAGACGTCGATAGTTCCCTTGGGCTGTTTGCCCTGGAACTTCTGTGTGGTCTTGATGACGGAGCCGATCGGCATGTTGCGTACCAGCTTCTCGCTGGTCAATAGAGGGCGTGATTGATTGTTTGTCTGATTGTCCGAGTTATGGACCAACGCTGTGGATTCCTTGGCATTCTCCTTCTCTTTCTCCTCCTCCTCTTCCTCTTCGTCTTCTTCATCTATATTGTCTTTCATCGCATTGTCCTTTTGCGTAGTTCCCGTGATCGTGATGGTTGGCGTGGTAATGCTGTTGCATGCTTTCTCATCTGATGGGGTGGAATGAAGAAGCATAAAAATGGCATCTCCCTCTTGGAAACTTAACAAGGGAGTGGGAGGCTTGTATTCTGTTAGCCTTGACAAATAATACATGAAAATGTTTTCATATCATGGACTATTTCTTCCCTGATAATCGCTTGATTATTAATTTAACAGCTGCCCACATTCAAATGATACTTTCTCTTTTTTAATGGAAATTTGAACAAACCAGTCTCTGCTATGTCAGAAATATCACCAGGGAAGAGAAAAGAAGAAGAAGAAGAAAAATAGAAGAAGGACAAGAAAGAAAAAAAAGGGAGAAGAAGAAAAGGAAGGAAAAGAATGGAAAAGAAGAAAAAGAGAAAAAGAGAAAAAGAGGAAAAAAAGAAAAAGAGGGAAAAAAAAAAAAGAAGACAAAAATGAAGAAGAAAAAGAAGCAAAAGAAGAAGAAAAAGAAGGAGAAGAAGAAGAAAAAAAAGTAAAAGAAAAGAGGAAGAAGGGAAAGAGAGAAGAAGAAGAAGAAGCAGAAGTTTAAAAAAATACTTTAAAAAAAGGATAGATAGAAGAAAGAGAAAACAGATGAGGTAAAAGAAGAAATTTGAGAAAAAAAATTGACAAAAGACAATGAAAATAAATTGAATACAAAACAGATGTCCCCAGGCCATGGAAAAGAAGACTATATATACTTTCCGGCTGAAGATCTTCCTTCTGGTTATAAGGCTCCTCCTTCTCAAAGTCTAAAGCTGCTGATACATCAGAACCCTCTTGCAACCTCAGGATACACACACCCAGCTGTAGATCAAAGGCATCGCTGGAAGATAAACAAAGACAGTTACATCATAAATAGAACAAATGTACATGTACTACAGACACTCCCATAAAACGTTATAGATACATATTCTTTTGAGTAACCTTACTGTATTGTTGTTTTATAATAAAGAATGCTGTGAATTACACATAATCCATGTGTAAAAAAAAAGTGTGAGAATCCCTAGAAATTGAATCTTTCTCTAAAATACAACATGTACATGTTAAGAAATCAAATCATTTTACAGATACATGACTGTTAAAGCCACACTGTAGCTACTTGCTCCCTCTACATAGAAAACAATGCCTATTCGATGACCATTGGTCCCCCATGATCCTCTTTTTCTTATGTTAATTGAGAGCTGAGTTGATGAGATAACCACCTGTTTAGTGACCTTACAGGGTGGTTTAATCCCTCCTATAAACTAGTACAGATAAGCCTTAAAATTCTTTATGTTGGTGACAGAAAATGTAAGTAAAATCACTATTTGCAATTACAAAAAGTCATATTCTTTTTAGTATCATTATGCAATCTCTATTAATAAATATAGATTTAATATACACTGTATTTTGTCACAAGATTCTACGAGGGAAATAAGAAACTCAGTTTACAAGGAAGCAAAACTGATGGGAAAAAGGCTAATTGCCAGTTTAAAGATGAAGTTGAGTTCTGGTCATGCCATTGCATTGTGAAAGAAACGGTGTGGAAATGACCAGAAAAGGTTGATCATCTAGCATATAAGAATTTGTGTGTATTGCAAGGTTCTGGAATCATCAAAATGATAAGAAATTTGTCCAAGTCTTGGTAAAGTAACAAACACTGTACACAGAAAGATGTATATGGGACTACACAAACATGTGGCGTAAAAATACTACCCTGGATTTTTACGATGTTACATGACATATTTAGAATATGAAGGCATTTGAAGAGCCATGCTTTTCAGGGAACATGTCTTATCTGATGTTCTTCCACACTTGCATAATAATGAATGATAACGCTCACAAATTATTTTTCATCTCTTCCCAGAACACAACTTTCTCTTTAAGGAGGAGACAAGACTTTGGAAACTTACTGTATGATGCCAACGTAATCTAAGAGGTCTTCAGGTTTGCAGGCACTCCAGTTTCTCTTGAATCCCATAAACATGGTGTTAGGACGGATCTTACCCAATCCTCCAAGCTACAAGATAAAAACAGATCAAATGAAATCACTTTAAATAGAGAGAATTAGAAAAGATGTATTGTTGAAGATAAGGGCAAGATAATATCACAGTGTAGGAAGGGTAAAAACCCAAAGCTTCCTGAATATAGGAGAGAATGAGAGGGAAACAGAGATTGGCAGAGACAAAAACATAGTGGAAGTGACAAAAGAGAGATCAATGAGAGAGAGAGAGAGAGAGAGAGAGAGAGAGAGAGAGAGAGAGAGAGAGAGAGAGTATGGAAGAAGTGAGAGAAAGAGAGAGAGAGAGAAGGAGGATAAAGACGACTACAAAGAGTACAAATGGACAGTACGAACAATATTAAGAGACAGAGATAGATAGAGAATGAAAGAGTCCTGTAAAATAAAGAAAATACAGAGAAGAGAGAGAGAGGAAGAGAGAGAGATGAAGGGGGAGAGAGAGGGGGAGAGAGAGAAACAGAGACAGAGGAAGAAAGAGATTGAGGGGGAGAGATAGAGAAAGAGTAAGAGAAGGAGGGAGAGAGAGAGAGAGAGAGAGAGAGAGAGAGAGAGAGAGAGAGAGTGTGTGTAAATATGAGAGAGTAAAAGAGAGAGGTACCTGCATGAGTTGTTGTGCTCCTTTCCTGAGTGTTGGTGCTGTAGTGAAGGCAAGGAAAGCCTTGAGTTTCTTGTAGTTTAGCCATTGCTCATATTCTGTTGTTCTGAGTTGTCTGAAAACCTCTGGTTGTTCACCCTAAAAAAGGAGAGGGAAAATACAAACATGATAAATAAGTCAAAGAAGAAACTTTGGCGATTCACCATATCTCTGAAGATAAAATCATCTAAAAATCATTTTATTAAAGAAAAAGAAAATTCACTATATCTTCACCTATAAATGTACATACTTGTAATTTGAATAATTCCAGCACTGAATTCCGACTCCTGTATAGTTGGTTCATACCCATCCCCATTCCACAGGCTTTTTGAGATATCAAAACACATTAATAATACATGGAAACAAGATATCTGTACACAAGTTTTATGAACCTAAAAATCTCATCATACTGAATGTTAATCGAATACATCTACTGATAATAATATTTCTATGACAGCTCTCATTGTTTAATACCAACTATGAAAATTTAAATTACAAATCTTAAGCTTCAGCTCATTTTCAATATCCAGAAAGCATTGAATCAATTAGAAGGACAGAATAGATGTAAAACAAAATCATTCCCCCAATGCTAACCTTTTCTAAATATTGGTCAATAACATCCCAATTTCGAGGATCAGGACCAGGAAAAGGACGAGGAACAGAACAGATTCAGATGTTAAATATGGAGGGATAAAGCTGTGTAGACAGTACACTAAAGACTAATCAGGGCTATCCACCAAATATTATGATACACATGTTAAACTTTATCAAGCAAACTTTCTTTAAAAATAAAAACAAACACAACAATGACAAAAACAAACAAACAAACAAACAAACAAACATACATACAAAAACATTAGTTATTAAAGTACATAAAGATACCTCCTGTACTAGCAAAAAAAATTGACATGGAGCCAGACAAGAGTGAAGTCATTTTAGCTGTCGAACTTACTATAATAACGTTTCCACACAGTAGCAAGCTGGTATTTTTGGTGATATGTGAACATAGATGAAGCATGGCTGGACGGCAGTTAGGGGGCCCAGTCAGAAGTAAGATTTGAGGTCTGTAACAAGTAATAATAATTCAAACAATAATCAGTATTGATATGGCCTTGATTGAAGAGAATTAACCTTCATACAAAGTGGGTGCAGAACAATCAGAGGGAAAGAGATCTGAAAGTGTGTTAGCACAACACATGAGCGTAATAATCCATCCAACACCTAACCTCAAATTACTTGTATAATTCCATGTACTACTTTAGCACTTAAAGGGACTTTGTAACATTGTTCAGATGAGAGATAGTGGTGCTAAGGTAGTGACTTCAATGCTAGATGTACAATTAAAGATAATCTGAAAATTTGAGTGAAAACGGATCATTATTCATGGTACAAATTGGGAAAAACTGATCTTATCGATTCCTTAAATCTCCCAACTATATTATTCTACTTCTATTCTGCTACTTGTCAAAGCCTGTTCAGCATAAAGACAAGGACAATTTAATTACATTTTAGGTGAATGTAAATCGTCATAAAGCAATAAAATGGCTCTACATTCCATTCCAGCTAGTTAAGTGTTGACAGATTTTTATAGCCTGTTTTATGTATTTTTATCATTGTAAAAACAGTTGGGAAAATTCAAAAATGGTTGGGAGAATTTATTGTTAATCACTGTTAGAGGGTGCCTCACATCGACGCCTTCAAAGAAAACCATAGATATCTTTGTGGTTTGAGAATTTGTTCAGGATTTTTTGCATGTCAGAGGGTTAGTATAGTACAAGGAATATAGTAAGTAACATTTTATACAAAAATTAAGCAATTTTTTTCATCAACCTTCAACAATGTTACCGAGTCACTTTAAAGTTTTAGGGTCTTCCATGATAAACTACTGTACTTCTTCTCATAAACAGATGGCTACAGTGCAAAAAATATGTATGTGTAATGACGATGAGCTGCAATGATAAAATATTCAACCAAAAGGCATTATGCCAGAATTTTGGTATCTTTTACTCAGCAATCATTGAAACATATCCTGGAATCTTTGTACATGTATGTTTATCGACATAAAAAGATCCTCAAATACAACTGAATTTTTACTGTTAAAAAGTTAATTCATGGTTCAATGACAATTTCGGCTTCTTGGAGGTGTCAGAATTCAGAATATTTTGCAGTTTCTAATTTTCGAACAGTTTTTCTTCATATTTTGTACACATTAGTAGCTAACATGAACCTGATAATGATGATAACTATTTGAGAAGCAAGCTAAATATTAGAGTATGAACAGGGCATGACCTTTGACCTACCTGAATGTCTTGACATGCTCTGGTACGTTGCCTAGCTTGATAGTTGTCTGGATTGCTCTCTTGTACAAGAATGCTTGGTTGGAGTCTCCCCAATTTACCTCTGTTACAAAACATGAACAAAGATATAAAGAGATGTTTACCTTTAATATGAAGTGGGCAGGGTAGCCAAGTACATGTACATGTACATTGTAATTTTCATAAATTGCGAATATCGTCTCTTTAAAAAAACAATCCATAAAAGAAAACTATTCTGCTAGAAGATAAATCCTACATTTGTTTCACACTTGCAATGCCATGAATTCTAAAAACATGCGTTACGCATAAATTATGCACATCACGATTATAATCACGTTCCTTTTCATTCCTTGATCATTTTATTATGACAACAGAGTTTCATCATACTGGTTCTTCTTTATAGGTGGTGGCTACATGAAAACCCTGTTTAACTGTAACAGGTAATTCTATTGAATAATTTCTCTTGTTAGTCAGGGCTGCTTGCAAACAGAGTTGTCATTAAACGCAACTCCAAACATCGAAGGTAAGTTTAATTTTAACCAAAGACAATCAAGTATGTAGGGCTCGCATTAGAATTTTGGACTCGTGTTGAGTAGCGCTTCTTTAAAGTTGGTCTGGTGCAGGTTTCCATTCTCAATGGGTCGCATTTTGCTTGGTTACAGAACCTGGCAGGGATCAATTCCTTGAAATGCTAGAGCGCCGTAATGGCAGCCATGCTAAAGCCAGGGTAATAATCGGGAGCGCCAGGAGTGTCAAGTCTGACAGATATCAGTGCTATACAAGAACTCAATGTTATTATTTCATTTTATTATTATTACAGTCCCACGTACCTGGTTTTGTGCTGTGGACGTACATGTAGAGACCGGAGATGATGGCGATGGTGAGAAGAGCTGCCCACCAGTTGATGAGGAACATGACTCCTACGCAGATGACCGAGGCCACAAGGGCTACCCACATGTTGTAATACTTAAAGGCAGGTCTCCAGCCTATGTTGGGAAGGGGAAGGATAAATAACATTGACAAGAATACAAACCAGGGGGGTGTTTCATAAAGCTGTGCGTAAAGTTATGCACAACTTTACGAATGACTTGAATATGAACAGCTAAAATGGGAATCTCTATTTCCTTTTAATTGCATAAGCTAAAGTTGAAATATGCAGATGTAGATTTAACCTTTTCATTATTAACAAAACATTGTGTATTTTTGGCTACAATTTAATTGAGATTATGGGAAATACAGTAACACTTTATTACAATGCCAGGAAAAAATTGGGGCATCCCATTTGGCTCTTCATATTCAAATCATTTGTAAAGTCATTCTTAACTTTATGCACAGCTTTATGAAACACCCCCCCCCCCCCCCTGTATAGATAGAAAATATTCACACAATAACAAACAAACAAAATCTAAAACAAACTGTTGTTTGATGCTGCTTATAAGTATCGGCTTGCATGGTGAAGTAGATATACAGTAGCCTTACGGTAGCACCATGTCAGAAAGGGGGGGGGGGGAGGGATTGGGGAGTCCTGAAAAGGACTGTCTGTAATCTTTCTTTCTTGAGTGTGTGTGTAGTCATGAAAAGGACCGTTTCTTAATCTTTCTTGAGCTTATTATTATAGTTCTAAAGAGAACTATAGTGCCGGTTGGAGAGGATGGGTAGTAGGAGTGGCTCGACGTTTCGAACAGTTTGATTATCCGTCGCCAGGAGTGGGGGATAGCTGGCGTGCGTGGGCTTCAGACACCGGGTTACAATGTGGGCTATCATCTTATGTACATAATATGAACTTACCTGGTGACTTTGCTAGGGATGCAGAAAAGCAAGAGAAGTTGATGAGAGCATAGGAAGCCAAGAAAAAGTTTGAGATGAGAGGAGCAATCGTGTTCAGATCACCTGTAGTGGAAATAAAAGAAGAAAACAAAGTTATTCAATGTCCAATCTCTAGGCAGGTGCCCTTTTCTCTGTACTATACTTTATGACTGCATCACAGTCAAATATGCTGCATACAATAACTTTCCATATTCATTAAAGAAAACAATGTTTACAACATGCCTAATTTTAATAGATAATCTTGAGTTCCTGTAACAGCAGAATATCAAGTCTCACAGAATTACAGAAATAATAATAATAATAATAATAATAATAGCCTAATAGTCCACTCCAAATTTTATTAAACCGAAACGGAAATTCTTTTTGCCCAATTGATCGTGAGCCCGGCAGCCACTGAGCAGCGCCAGATCGACGTTGCTCTATCCCTTATTGTTGAACGCCAAACAAGGTAGCAACAACTCCCATCTTTTAACGTCTTTTGGTATGACGCGGCCGGGGTTCGAACCCACGACCTCCCGGTTGTGAGGCGGACGCTCTACTGACTGAGCCAACACTCCGGTACAAATCAAAGAAATAAAGAGATAAAGAAAGAAAGACACAACAAACTAAATTTTCAAGATACAAATAATATGGTATCTGAATAATCCTTTGAGTACACATGGAATAGATAATTGTAATGAGCATTAACAAATGTCTACCCTCAAAGCAAAAATAGGACCTAGTTTTGCATCCACACAAGCCATGGAAAAGAAAGAATGAGATTTTGTTTTTTTCTCTGGGTCCGTCCAGAAAGTTGGGGCAGTTTTTGTGACATACCAGAAGTGAGAAACTATGTCTCCTATCAACTGTAACAATGTTTGCTCAAATTGAGTTTTGGATAAAAAGCATTGCCAACTATCTTCAGAAGTACTCAAGCTTTATGGTGAATCAATATTATTGACCCAAAGTTTATGTAATGTTATATGAATATGGTGTCCATGTAACGCTGGTAAAAAGAGAAATGTGTATTAAGCAAATATTTTGAAAAAAAGCAACTGAAACAGGAACGATTCTGGCAGGGCACTACTATAGATATATCCATTGCATACAAATCTTCAACAGATAATTTCATTCTGTGCGTTAAGATTATCAGGTTATTAAATGAACGTTTTTAAAAATTGGATTTAATTTCTATTGGATAAATTGGATAAAATTCTATTCACCTATTTCTTGTAAATGATCAAGGATGATTCGTGAATGATCAGTTATTTAATGGGGATACCAATTAATTTGTATTTTACCTGTTTATATGCTTGTGTATTTATCTATTTTGCTTTTGATGCTATTATTTGTTTTTTATTATAACTAAACAGGGCCTCATGGAAAACCACAAAATTGGTGATATGTGCCACCCTGTATAAATATCAGAAATAAATAAATCTTCCATGTGTAGTAGAAGATCTCATACTTTATGTTACATGGACACCGTCATATTTTTTGCCCCAACTTTATGGAATGACCCCTGTATCTCTCAACTCACCTATAGCAATGAATGCCGCAGCGATGAAGAAGGTGAGAACATATGCCCTCTTGGGTTCATCACCCGCTCCTACACCATGAGCAAAGTATTCAATCTTAGGGAAGATCTTGTCCTTGCACACAGCCTGTGTCAAAAGTAAAACAAAGTAATGTCCATACAGACTTAAAGTGACTCGGTAACATTGCCTCAGATTCTAAAACAAAAGCCTGGATTTAACTCATGCTGCAATGATAATTATAAACCTTTAGGTCATTCAGGAATCCCATGACTTTTACAAGCCGATCGCCGGTTTGATTATCAAGATATTTATGATTGGAAATCGAAATTTCATTTTTATAACACTACAGTCTATTGGGGAAAATGATTATGGTAAAACATGTGACTCAAAGATTTTTATTTTTTGAGGCACTTCATGATAATTTTGAAGCGCAGTTTTTATTAGGGCTTCAATATTACACCATATTACAGAAACTGATAACATGTAGGGCCATGCATCTCAGATTTAACATTATTAAACTTTGCCTTTAAAAGATAATCTGAAGATATGAATTAGACTTTTAAAAGCAATGCCTTCTTACCTGGAACACCTTTGGTGCACTGACCAAGCTGGCCAGAGCCGAGGAGAGAGATGCAGCAAAGATTCCAGCCAGAACCAACGGCACCCATCCAGAGATGACCTTGGCTGCCTGGAGTGGGATAAAGGGATGAGATAAGGATTAGATAATCCATCAACCTTTACAGGGGAAGTCCACCCGAATTAATCTTTGTTTTTAATAAAAGCAGAAAAATGATAGACACAAATTTATGAAAGTCTGAGCAATATCCGATTAATGAGCAACATCCAATTAAAAATCAGAAAATTATGAATTTTTGAAGTTGTTTTTATTTCATGTCATGCACTGTCCTTTGATAATGACTGCCAGATCTACAGCCAATATTGATTACAAATATTTATATTAATATATATTGTTACTAAAAGGGAAAATACAGTCAAACCTGGTTTAGTGACCACCTGTCTACAAAGACCACATTTTATGTTTCCCTTGAAAATGGTTTCTCATTGAAACATGTACCAAAGGCACCTGTCTACAAAGACCACTCTTTGTGTTTCCCTTGGGCGGTCGCTATAGACAGGTTCGGCTGTATCATACATTCAGAATGTGATCACTGGAGTCCACTTACAGCCAGGTCATTGACGAGCCCATATTCACACTCCAAGGTCCCATTGAGACATGCCGTGGTGACGTTCCCGGCTATCACGTCGACGATGCTCCCTGTGGCCTCCCTGATCATGCAGCCTCCTATGAGCCAGGAGAGACCCACGTAGATGACGGTGGAGATCAGGATGGCCCACAGGGTCCCCTTGGGGATGGCCTTCTGGGCATCCTGTGGGTTGGTCAGGTGATGCAGAGAGAGAGCAAGAGAGAGGGGGAGGGAGTGAGGGAGATAGAGAGAGTAAGGGATGGATGGAGGGAGAGCAAGAATGATGGAGGTGAAATAGAAAGGGAGAGAAAGGAAAGACACAGGAGAGAGAGAGAGACAGACAGAGAGACAGACAAACAGAGAAACAGGGAGAATGAGAGAGAAAGGAAAGGGGGGAAAGAGAGAGAAGAGAAATTCGGAGGAACATAGGGAGATGAAAGAGAAAGGGAGAAAGAAAGAAGAGAAAAGAGAGGGAAAGAAGAGAGAGAGAGAGAGAGAGAGAGAGAGAGAGAGAGGAGGGGGGGGGGGTGCAGACAGACAGAAGGAATAAAGAGAAGGGTGGAGAAAACAAAAATATTGACTTTAAATCAATCCACCTGAGATATTCACATACACAGTCGACCTGGTATCAGATACCATCACAGGCATGACTATAAACTCAATTGCTAAGTTGGAAAGTACATTGCACTCTTATGTATACATTGTTCACTACTACATGAAAGTATACATGTATTAAATTACTTTTCCAAGATAATATCAAAAGAAGACACTGAGGGATTACACGGTTCAGAATTCAAAAATTGACATGCAAGAAACAAATACTGGATGTTTAAAAATTGTTGCCATCATCAATAGAATAATAAAATCCCTTTATGTACATGTACACGTAAAAAAAGGAGGCCCCATATTTATGACCACAACATTATTAATCACAAAATATGAGATCGAGACCTGTCATGGTAACACATGCATAGTACTGAGCCCTAACAGGCACCTGCACAAACTCATGATTCACCTTTATAAATTTTGTCAGGTGTATTATTTAATTAATCACGCATATCACATCCCCACAGCATGTACATGTAGAGGTCATTAGGTAATTGTATCTTTCATATTATGGCAGGGATACCATCGCTGATTATCCTTTTCCTATCATTCCTTCCACTGCACTTTCACGATTCGTGGTGGAGTTTCCTGGCAGACACATCAGGATGATTACACACACATGAGGCCTGTTTTCATTAGCTCGAGATTGCCAAATATCCCGCTATTTGAACTATCCCGATCGCAAATTATCCAGTTAATTTGTGTTTTCATCAGCCCGAATTTGCAATTAGCGGGATATTTGGTCAAGATAATCATCCCAGGATATCTTGGGCTCGTTTGCAAAATATCCCGCTGTTTGTCCGGTGCGACTTCACCAGCCCGGAGACTCGCACTATGCAAGAACGCTGAGCAAAATATCTCAAGCTAATTTGTCGAGCTCTAGTTTCGAGGTGAAGTCTTGAGCTGATGAGGACACAATTTGTAGCTTTGGGATTATTTCCCAAATCAGAAATAGCGGGCTATTTGGCAATCTCGAGCTGATGAAAACAGGCCTAATGATTACACACACATGGTCATGCCAACTATCACACGGTATCTAAACATCCATGTCATGCATACCGCGAACAATGGCTACACCTAACGATGCCTGCTATGTGAACCCTTCAATTAGGAAGGCCCTGTTCATATTCTAAAAAAAATGACCTTCAGGGTTGTGAATACAACAAACGATGGCTATAACTAATGATGCATTTTACATGGACCCTTCAGTTAGGCCCTGTTCATATTCTAAAGATGACCCTAAGGGTTGTAGATATAACTAACAATGCCTTTTACATGGACCCTTAATAGGCACTGTTCATATTTCAACACCAACATTCTGTATGCTGTGCATACCATAAACAGAGCAGGGATATATAGATAGAATATCTCTAGACAGAGGATAGACATATGTTGTAATGATGTATCCTAAGTTAATCTTTCAATTAGGCCCTCTTCACATTGAAAATGACCTTTTGTGTTGTGGATACAAAGAAAAAGATCTACAACGGTGCCCAATATTTATGAACCCTTTAATTACATATACCTGTAGACCCTCTTCAAATTCTTAAATTCCTTTAGTGATCATGTGGATGCCATGAAAATAATGCCTCTAAACTGAAATCTTCAATTATCCAACTCCTTGATTGGACCATGTATACATTCTAAAGAACATTTTGGGTTGTGGATACAACAAACGATATGGCTATACATGTACATTGTAACTAATTAGGTAGGTTCTCTTCACATTCTACAATTACTTCTTGGATATTGTAGATACTGCTAGCAAATGACACCTCCTAAATGAAGTTTTGAACCCTAAAAGCTCCACCCGGGATTAACATTCATGTTGTGGGTATAAGTCAGATGGCTGTACATACATGTACATGTACATGTACATACATACGGTGCCTGCTAAATGAACCCTTCAATTAGGCAGACCCTTTCGACATTCTAACACCACCTCTAATTAGGCCTTATCCTAAAAGCTCCACCCGAGATTAACATTCATGTAAAATGTGGGTATAAGTCAGATGGCTGTACATACATGTACATACATACATACATACATGCATACATGTGGTGCATGCAATATGAACCCTTCAATTAGGCAGGCCCTTTTCACATTCTAACACTACCTCTAATTAGGCTTTATCCTAAAAGCTCCACCCGAGATTAAAATTCATGTGGTGGGTATAACTGAAATGGCTGTACATACATACATACGATGCCTGTTATATGAACCCTTCAATTACGCCTGTTCACATTGTCACAACACATTTAATCAAACCTTATTTACATTAACAGAGCATTTGGGGATTATGTGGATAATATGAAAAAGGACTACGGTATACTTAAATGGTGCCTTCTAAATGAACCCTTCAATTAGGTAGGCCCTTTTCACATTATTACAGATTTTTAAAAATTATTATTATAACACCAATGTTATGGAATAGACAAAACAAAAAATAACTAAACTTAATGATGCCTTCTACATGAACCCTTAAATCAGGACATCTTTGTGTTTGCATTCTATCGCCACCTTATTTTCTTTGTTGTGGATATCATTAATGTTGGTTGCACCACATGATGCCTATTAAATAGACTGTTCGCATTCCAACATCACCTCTTTGAATTAAGCATAAGGTCAGGCAGGTCATATGAGGCGTTGATTCATTTATACCAATCAAAGACCTCCCATAATTACAACAACGCACATCCAATTTCTATAATGCTAATCTCTTGGTACAGAAACTTCTTCTCGACAAAAGGGAGCACAGGCCTATCATTTAAACTTTTAAAGTGTCCCATTCCCCCCCCCCCCCCTCCCCCTAAAAAAAAAAAAAAATCTCTGTTGCTGTAAATCTTTGAATCTACACAAACCAATGAGAACATACTGAATAAAAGGACTATTAAACCTCTATACTGCTTTGCCTGAGTAGGAACAGATATTTTAATTGAAGGAATCAATTGGGCAATAGTTTCACATTTCATGCGAAACATATGCTTTAATATTTTGGAAGTTCTCTGAAACTTAGGTTGTATTTCATGTTATGGTTATACTGAACAATGAGTACATAATGATGATAGACAAATAATCTCTTCCCCTAGGTCCTGTTCATACTTTACTATTAATTCAATCCCCAACAGATTAAAGAGAGGTCTGGAGAGAAAAAGACTACAAAAATTGCATCCAATGAAATTCAAATTCTTTCCTGCATCCCGCCTCTATTGAGCTTGTGAGCAAAAAGGCAGTATCTAAAAAATGAAAGACTGAAAATGGAATATACACTATAGTAATATTTTAATGTGAAATGGGCCTGAATAAATAGCCTGTTTCCCAATTTCCATCTCCACCCAATTCTATCTCTTCCTCTATTGCTTCCTCTGTCTGTAATCACGGATAGCAGACTCGGTCAGGGACAACCATTTACATGATCCGGATAGCAGGTCTAACCCAAAATGAAAACAATCGGTAGTTATATCTCCACACAATGGATGGGTATCTTCCTAATAATGTAAAGCAATAAGGAGTGAAGCGGTAAAAATCACAAAGGAAGGAAATGTTTTGTGTAATATTAAAGTGTATCAATCACCTTAAAGGCATTGTTTAACAATGTTAAATCTGAGATGCATGGCCCTACATGTTATCAGTGTCTGTGATATGGTGTAATATTGATGCCTTAAAAAAAGTTGCGCTTCAACATGATCATGAAGTAAAAATCTTTGAGTGACCTTTTTACCATACTCATTTCCCCCCAATTTTTTTTTTTTTTCAATCATAAATATCTTGATAATCAGACAGGCTTGTAAAAGTCATGGGATTCCTGACTGACCTAAAGGTTTATAATTATGATTGCAGCATACGCTAAATCCAGGATTTTTTAAAGAATCTGGAGACAAAGGTACCCAATCCCTTTAAAGTGTACCAATATCCTAGACAAATATTTTGTGTACAGCTAGAATGTATCAAATCAAGCACTCAAAACTTCATAAAAGATCAATCATAATATATGAGTAACGATATGACAGCCATATGATGAAGCTCAGGTGGCGGAGGAAATGACTTTGGACTTGATCTAATAAATAAACTGCCCATTGCCATTTGCTCCGAGGGGTAGTTATGAGTAAGAGTACCAACCATCCCTCCACCATGTTATGAACCAGAGCAAAATAACAGTGATTTCCTATTGAAGTCTATTCATTCGGATGGTCATATCTCAGCCAATACTTAACATATTCAATTGGTTTTTGCCATTTGCACATTATTTTTGATGCTCTTTCAGAAAATAAAGTTCAAACTGAGAAATTCTAAAAATAGATTTTCATGATGTCACAGCTTCGGTGCTCTATATACTATACACCATCTTGTGACAATATATGTCCAATCTTTATCGGTTGCTTCTGCGTTCAAGGCAAAAGGAAGGCCGTCTAGGCAGAGGACTAAGGGATTGGATGCATCAACTCCCTTATGGCCTTTGTCAGGAAAGTGGAAATAAGTCCATCTTCAAGCTAAGCTCCATTTTCTTCCAATTATTACTCCTTTTGACAAAGAAGGAGTGGATAGTCTCTTTATTTATGCCAAAAACGATGATATTCAAAGAACAACTTACATGAAGATCTCCGGAGATGTTCGCTCCCGCTAAGATACCGGTGGCTGCTGGGAAGAAGATGGAGAAGACGGAGAAGAAGGTTTCTCCATCCTGGAAGCCTGGCTTCAGATTTTGTACAAAGACATCCTCTGTGCAAGGGAAAAGGGAAAGAGAAACAGAATGCTTTTCATTTTCTGTAATGCATACCTAGAGGCAGTATTGTGATAATTATGTTTAAATCCAAGCACAAAACTCATTTTTAATGTCAAGTGCTTTATCATCAACATCACTTTCATCACCATCATAATGACCACCATCACAAAGGTAAATAGTAATAGAGTGATACAGTGCTACATTCAATTGACTTTCGATAGAGAGGTTGAGGGTTTGAAACCTACCATGACATCAATATTGATTGGCACGACAGGAAGGAGGAAGAGGGAGTAGGAGGAGGAGGAGGAGGAGGAGGAAGAGGAGAAGGAGTATAAGGAGGAGGAGAAGGAGAAGGAGGGGGAGGGGAGGAGGAGGAGAAGGTGGAGAAGGAGGAGAAGGAGGGGGAGGGAAGGAGGAGGAGGAGGTGGATGAGGAGGAGGAGGTGGATGAGGAGGAGAAGGAGGAGGAGAAGGAGGAGGAGGAGGAAAAGGATGAGGAGGAGGAGGAGGAGGAAAAGGAGGAGGAGGAGGAGAAGAGGAGGAGGAGGAGGAGGAGGAGGAGGAGGGGGAGGAGGGGGAGGAGGAAAAGGAGAAGGAGGAAAAGGAGGAGGAGAGAGGAGGAGAAGAAGGAGGAGAAGGAGAAGAAGGAGGAACAGTAGGAGTAAGAGGAGAAGAAGAATAAGAAGGAGGAACAGTAGGAGGAGGAGTAAGAGGAGAAGGAGAAGGAGGGGGAGGGGAGGAGGAGGAGGAGGAGGTGGATGAGGAGGAGAAGGAGGAGGAGGAGGAGGAGAAAAAGGAGGAGGAAAAGGAGGAGGAAAAGGAGGAGGAGAGAGGAGGAGAAGAAGGAGAAGAAGGAGGAGAAGGAGAAGAAGTAGGAAAAGTAGGAGGAGTAAGAGGAAAAGAAGAAGAAGGAGGAACAGTAGGAGGAGGAGTAAGAGGAGAAGAAGAAGGAAGGTAGGAGGAGGAGGAGGAGGAGAAAGAGGAGGAGGGGAAGGGGGAGGAGGACGAAGAGAAGGAGGAGGAGGAGGAGGAGGAGGAGAAGGAGGAGGAGGAGAAGGAGGAGGAGGAGGAGGAGGAGGAGAAGGAGGAGGAGGAGAAGGAGGAAAAGGAGGAAAAGGAGGAGGAGGTGGAGGAGAAGAGTACAAGAATGCTTACTTCTGTATCCAGTGAATCCCTTGGCAGCTTTAGCCTCGGTTACAGGAAGGAAACTCCCAACAACCATGTTAAGAATGGCTATACTGAGTACAACCAGAAGGACCAGCTGAATCTGTATTTCATGACATCAAAACAAGCGGTAAGACACAACATTAATCAGAGTCATATGACAAAAATTAATCTCAAGTCATAGAAGTCCAAATAACATACTCAAATTAAAAATGCAGGACTAAGGGCAAAACAATTTTCAATGTGATTTGCTGAATGGGATAGTTAAAGGAAAGTTAAATTCTTAACATTCAAATTGGCAACACGTAGTCAAATTCAAAATTAGATAGCCTCCCATGCCATGCCTTTATCTTTGGTCATAGTTTAATTATCATTGGGAGCAACATTGCCAATTTAAATAGGAAAACTTGTATCATACAGCGCTCTATAATGTCTTTATTCAATCCATGGTGAGTGAATGAACTTGAATTGTATCTTATCTGCCAATTCCATACCTATAAAGATGATCGCTGGGAGCATGTTATCTATGTGCATTTGATATTGCCAATTTGAAGAGTATTACACAATAAATCTATCAAAAGATGGTGACTAGAAAGTAGAAAGATGGCATCTATGTTTCACTGGACGCAACATTGCCAATTTGAAGAGCAAAAGCTGTATCATATGATGAGTGAGTGAATATGTACTGTACTGATCGCTGGGAGGATGGTATCTATATGCATTTGATATTGCCAATTTGAAGAGTAAAAGCTGTATTATATAGTAAATCTATCAAAAGATGAGATGGCTAGAATATGGCATCTATGTTTCACTGCTAAGATTTTTTTCACTGGACGCAACATTGCCAATTTGAAGAGTAAAAGCTGTATCACACGGTGAGTGATTGAATGTGTACTGTACCTTAGCTTCCCATGCCATGCCTATAAAGATGATGGCCAGGAGGACGACGATGGTGATCATACCAATGATCCTGACATCGTTGACCAGGTCGACCATCTGGGCATCGTAGTCCTGAAAAGAATCATCAGAGAAAAGGGGAGTGTGAGAAAAGGAGTGAAGGAAATAAAAAGCAATGTATTAGTCCTTTCTCATATCAAGATTACCTTTAGATGCTCTTCCTTTATTGTACATTTGTGCTTATGTGAAAAGGGTAAGAAGTGAGATAGGGAGCAAACAATTTCCTAGATAAAATACGACACAAATATGGCATCTTGTTTAATATTCTCATGCAGATGTTGTGTCTCTTTACACTACAATAAAACTGTTGTGCAATTGCAATAGTCACCAATAAACCACTTTGGCAAGACATTAATCTACATTTGCCACACTCGACCCAGGTAAGGTAAATGGATACCTGGCAGGTAATAATTCCTTGAAATGGTAATGATAGCCATGCTAAAACCTCTTTGGAAGCGCATAGAGACGTTATAATATGATATGCGCTATGCAAGAACCGAATATTTTAACACTTTTTCAAATACATGGGGTGGTATTTCGGTAGCGTGTACTAAGTTAGTCCACACTTTTATGGAGTGCCTGTTGCCAACTCATTTACCCTGTACAGATTATTTTAATCCTTCAATGAAAAGTGTCCACAAAATTAATTTTGTAATGAAATGAGAAGAAAAAGATCATATGAGTATGAACTGAATTTCAATAAAGTCTTTGGTAGATTATCTTTGTCATGAATATTGAAGGAGGAAGATGAAAACTAGCATTCCATAGAAGTTTGAACTAAAATTCTTGTTTAGTCTTGACTTATGAGAATATGACCCATGTAATAATAATAATAATAATAATAGCTAGTTCTTATATAGCGCTTTTCAGAACTTTAAACCTAGACTCCTCTCTGGTTAGCATTCAATGGGTTAACCAATTACCCCCAAAACGTAAGAATAAAGTAATGAGCATCACTTTTTTTTCTTTCAAATCAGATTCCTTGGAAAGAATATCATGCTGTCTCTGCTTTGTCTTCTTCATTAATCCAACTTTGACAGAAAAGGGAAGAGAGAAAATCCAGCAGGAAATATTCTGGATAAAATTGTTGATACACATCAATCAGTATCTATAACATGGATTTACAATGTAGTATTAAAATAATGAACTCTTAAGAAGGGGATCTCAATTCTCTTTTTATCTATAGATCAGAACCCCTTTTAGAGTCTCTGAATATTAAGCTTGTCTTGTATATGGAAGCATTAACTAAAGTATGCACAGCTCTGGAAGCTGATGACAACAAGATTGTTATCATTGTAGTCTGTTTTAAACGTAAAAATATAAAGACATATATTGTAAAACATGTGAGAGGACGTGAGTATAAATCTTTATAAGTAAAATGAGAACAGGATTTTCACATACATGTAGTGTCAAACTGTTCACTGTATCATAATGGCTGCATTGAATCTTGAATCGGCATCGCCATAGGAAATCAAAATGGCTGACGAGGAGAGCATTCTTACCTTATTGTACAAGTAAACTTTCTTATACTAAAGGTCAGACAAAGTTTTGGTATGGGGTCATGAATTTGGTTCAAATGAAATATTGGAAGCATATGCGATTAGATTTTACAATATTCAATGACCGTTGTCGTAGTTGAAATCGAGTCTAAGGTCATGAAATTGTAAAGAATAAACTCTTTATGTTGTATAGCTCGCTCTCAAGGCTGATATTACTTTAGTTTTAAAACAATCTTTCTTGACTACAATTGAAAAAATTTGCTATTCCTGTTTGGAAAATATATATCAGAACTGCATATTCTAATATTTTCAAGGTCGCAGCTACCATGGAATAGCCTTAGGCGCTATTTGAAATATTTGAAATTTAAGTAATAATGACAACTGTACTTTTGTCTCACAAAATATATTGAAAGGTTGATTAAACTAAATATTCATATTCTACAAACTTCAAATTTTGTATAGCAAATTCATGTATGTACTGCATGTACACCCTCAACTAGAAATTATATATCATGAATTCATGATTATTGTCAAAAAAGTTTTGGATATTGGATCACGATCTCTTCATGGGAGCTAAGTAATTACGCAAAGCTCTTTATAACACCCTGCATGAACTCTTTCGAGCGATGATCGGAGCTCGATCAAATAAACCGAGCTTACTGAATTCCAAAGACAAGCCCAAGAGTCTGTAAAGCTGGGTGTAATCTAAGCTTCGAATCTCATTTTCTGCAGATGACAGTGCAATTCTTCATTTTAGAATATTGCCATGTTGTTTTCTTTGTTGAACCCTTCGTTCGAACTCTGAAATTCGATCAGCTGGGAATTAAGTTCTGTCACATCCAGCTCTCTCGTCCATCAATGTCTACGACTGATGGCACTTCCTGTCTTTGCCAGCGTGAAGGGGAGAGACGCGGGAAAGCCAAAGTCTCAGGTTTACCATTAACCCATCGGTTCTCAAGCTCAAACGGTTGGGATCATTTGGATTTCTACAAGCGGTGATTACTTATTAACATGTTTCCTGTGTGATAATTGAGTATTCAATGCGAAAGTGGGTGTTAACCGGCGATAACTACATGCTTGGGTTTTAGGTCGACACATCAAAAACATTACAGTGTGTCAGGCCAGAATTTAGGTGCTAAATAAAGGATTTACAAAGCATAAGTCAAAATTGATTTTCAAAACAAATAAAATGTATGTTCAATTTAATAGCGAGTTATAAATCACTTCAAGTATTTGGTTAAAAACTTTGGTACAGGCTGGATATAATCTTCTAATTGTTTAGTCAGAATATGGTGCGCTTAGAGACACCAGTATTAAGCGCCTTATAAATATTGTGTATTATAATTATTATTATTGAAACTACATTTAAATGGACATGTACATGTAGGCTGCACAAAAGTATTTTTTTTTGAGATGTTAAAGTGTACTGAAAAGAAACAGTTTGTAAACAAATATTTGTTACCGGTAATGGAAAAAGTTTTGAGTACAAGCCCTACAAGCTGAATATGTAATAAAAAATAATAGATATGTATGTCAATATGCATTAACTCACTTTTGGTTTTACAGAAAAATACAATAACTATGCTGTGATACAAAAAATAACTTAATAGGAGCAGAATTATATTTTTTTATGGTTTCCATATTTCCATTTCACAGCTTCAAAAGTGGGTTAATGCCCGTCCAGTTTATATTGACAGGGTCTTTGTACATCAATACCAAAAAATCAATATTAACTTCAGACATGTAGCAGTACAACTTCTCTCATTTCGGTCTCTGTATTTAACCACATTTACAGATTAAGGATGCAAGCCACAAATGCTGATGTATTGCATGTGATATCAGCTTAGAATTGATTGGTTATATTGGAAATAAACCCTGGCGAAATTGCATCCTTTCAAAGTTAAATGATTTATAGAAGAGAAGTGTGGTGGATTAAAATTGCATCCTTGTTGAGAAATCTGCATACAATAATTACTCTTGATACACAGTTAATTCCTCTTCAGACTTGAAAACTAATTTGGTTCACTTATTTTGTCAAAGAAAGTAAAGAAAGAATGCTTTAACACAAGTTAACTTCTGTGGGAAACAAGGACCGGGAATGTCCGTAATATCTCATTGACACGGCCAAACTGATTCAAAACCCACTAACTGACTCTTAGTCTTGGCCATCAGAGCTACGGTAATACTATTTTTTGTTTGGTCTATCCTTGGTCTGATGACAGTTTCTCCATTGTGAATGGGGTATGAAAAAGGAGCAAACTATATTGCTGTTCAAGAAACCATGGACTATTTTATAGGCACAAGTACATCATTAATGCTTCAAGTAAAATATTCCTCCTCATAAAGGGGAATCCAACCTTGATTACAAGCTACTTGATAACAACTACTTTAGAAGAAAGCAGAAAATCAGAGATGCATACATGTACTGGTGAAAGTATGTGGTGCAGGGGTCTAAAGAAGAATCTTGTTATCGGTTTATAAACATGAAGAATTAATCTGAATATCTTTCACAGGAGTACCCCCTTTAAACAGCCCATGGTATTGACTGTATACAGTGACTCAGTGCATCAATCTTCACCATGGCCGCATCTACAAACGCAGGTTCCTGCTTTGCACCTTATAAAGGTCGTACCTACCCCCTTTCCCTGTCTCCTCGCCCCCTACCACCAGTTTCACAAAGCCTGCATGAAGTGTCATTCACACGTCATGCGGTAAACCACCTATAGATGCTATTTCACATGTAAATGAATGGCAGAGGTGACACAAATGGCTCAGTACAAGTCATGCCCCTAGGCATACTAACTTATTTGTGTGTTGAAAAAGACGGCAATGTGAATGGCACTATGCTTGTGACATTTAATTTTGTTGCGGTGGTTGAATTTTTGTCTTCATTTTCTTAAAAGGCGGTTTCCCACACCAAGAGAAAACAAGGTTTTAATGGCATAATGATGTACACTGTATTTGATTTGTTTCAGTTCAATATCCTTTGTACCATTTATGTACCGTCTATGTGAAGCAACAACAAAACAAAAAAAACAAAAAATAGCTCCAGCAAATTAAGCCTAGATACAAATTCATTTATGTATAAAGGGAATAAACGATCAACGGATGTTGTGCATACTAGCTCATGCAAAAGTACAAAATTTACATTTTTTAAGCATTTGCTCCTAAATGGTATTCATCTACATATACAATTGAAAAGTGCTTTCATAGCAACCTGTATATTAAACCTGTTGATGAAGATCCCATTTTCCCTTGTGAACAGTATTTTTCACCAAAGGAGCGCATCTGATTGTTTCCTTTTTTACTCACTTTATCTAACTGCAATAATTATCTCACTAAAGACTGCATTCATCTCTAATTAATTCATTATTTCCATTCATTAGTACTGTATTCAGCATACTAAAACTCAATCTCAGTCTCAATTTCATTTTGAAAGTGCATCTGTAACTGAGTGAAATAATCATTTAGTTGAGATTGATACTTGATGGAATACCAAACTAACCTTTAGCAGGAGAGCGACCGTCTCCGAGAAACCAACGACGTACATAGCAACGGCGATGGTGTTAGCAACGGAGAAGATCAGCCCGATGGAACCTCCAAACTCCGGACCCAAGCTACGGGATATCATGTAATAGGCCCCACCTAGAAACAAACAGGAATAACACTGAAATCATCTTGGATTGCCTCAAAAAAGGAAGAGTCAATTAATCAATCAAAGCATGGAATGTTTCTTTGAAGATTTATTATTCAATAAAATTAAATTCAAATGAAAATTTAGTTTCTTCCATTCAATTTGACAACATACTTGACATCTGTTCAAACAATACAATTTAAACGTAGGAACGTAAATATAATCAAAGTATTGGAGGGAAGAAGGCGCAAATCCCGATATTAGCAAAGCTCGTAATGGTACGCCCGAATACACAAGTACATTTATACATTATAAATAGAAGAAAGGAAGAAAGGGATAGGCAAGGAGGAGAAGAGGATAAAGAGCTTGGAGAAAGAGAAAGAAAGAAGAGGACTTCAATTTGTACATGTACAAGTAATAATGGTCAGCTACATGTACTGGTACATGTATGAAATTAAAGTCGTCTTTAAGCCAATAATTTGTTATGATGAGCTTAAACAACAGACATTTTAATCGCAAATAAGTTATGTCGATTTATCAATTCTTTCACTATGAGGAAGAAATGCAAAATCCATGAAAATCAGAATTATAATTAAGTTGTTTTATCAGAAGTGTTACCTGAAAGGGAAATGCAAGCAATGTATGCAAAGACCTGACATGTATTCTGAACATTCTTGTTCGCAAGCATTAATATCTTGACAAAATATCTCACAATAAAATGTTCTTTCACTTGTTCTTCAGAAGATAAATGTACATGTACTGTACATCACAGTATCCTCTTTCACATCCATTTGTAGATTAAACAAAAAGTAAGCCTAATAATCAGGTTAATCTGCAAGTGCTAGACAGTAAAGTACTTGTGTTTATATTTCATACAATACAATGTGCGTCTGAGAAAACAGTGTATAGCATTATAAATAGCATACCAGTAAGAACTGAGAGGGAGAGAGAGAGAAAGAAAGTGAGAGAAAGAGAGAGAGAGAGAGAAAGAGAGGCAGAGGAAGAGAAAGAGAGAGAGAGAGAAAAGAGAGAGAGAGAGAGAAAGAGAGAGAGAGAGAGAAGAGAGAGAGAGAGAGAGAGAGAGAGAGAGAGAAGAGACAGACAGACAGAGAGAGAGAAAGAGAGAGAGAGAGAGAGACAGACAGAGAGAGACAGACAGATAGAGAAGGGGAGAGGTACACAGTTTTTGATGTGGCTCACAAAGCCAGTCCTTTTATGCATGCACTTTGAAGTGATCTATAAATAAAGGGATTGCATTTAAAATCCAAACAGTGGGGCCACATACAATAACCTTCACATTTTCTTCTGGCACTGCTGACATTTCCAACCTGTCTTTTATTCATTAATCACTTTATTCATGTTTTCAGAACCGAGCACAGAGTCTTTGATTCCTAGGAGCAAAGGTGCATGTACCAAAACAGGTTGTGAGTCAGCACTCGGGCCTTATTAGTCTCGTTATTTTAAAGGCCAACTGCAAGAGAGGAAGGAGAGTACAATAATAGGGAAAAGACCACAAAATAATCTTGATAATCCTAAAAATTAAGAATAAGAAGACAAAAATAAGAGGAAAACAAAATAATGAGCAGGATCAGACAAGCCGATTCTGCTCATGGTCCCTAATGTCTTTAATTAAAATCCAATGGGCAAAGATCTGGCCAAAGTTAGAGAGAGGAATAAAATGAAAACAGCAAAACATCGAATAAAAAAAAAAAGACACAAAAAGACTAAGAAAGAAGGAATAAAAGAAAGAGTAAAAGAGAGTATTAGAGTGGAAAGAAAGAAAGAGAGACAGACAGAATGAAATAAAACTATTTAAAAACAATGACACAAATCCACATGTATACAAATGTGGAATCATTTTGATAATCAGAAAATTAAGACTTACACGCCGGCATTTTCTAATTATAATTGTTTTGACAATTTGTCAATTAAAACAATTCCAAATTAACAAACTGGTTCAAAACAAGTAGCATTCAAAGAGAAATCTGGGCATGAAATTTTATTGATGAAAATACTCACCTGTTTAAATTGCATTGACAGGAAAATTGCAACTTTTTAAGTGCAAAAATAATTAAATTAGGTGAAAAATATTGATAATTGAAATACTTATTTGATCAAAATTTGTCAAAGGGAAAAGATGATCTTTAAAAGTGCATAAATTATTTGATTAAGAGGATATAATCAACAAACTTTTGCATTTGGCAATTTTTTTTGACAATTGACATCAGTGTGGATGATTGTATTCCCCCAGAAAAAAATAGAATGAATTAAAAAATGAATATAAAGTGACATTATCTATTAAACTGCAATAATTATCCCAATAAAGACTGCATTCATCTCTCATTTATTAATAAGCCATTCATTAGTACTGTATTCAGCATGCTATAACAGATTATCATGGAGAGTATTATCGCTCAAAAAAACAATTATGACATGAAGCTCTAAGCCAAATTTCATCTAATTTGATATATTATATAATAATTCAATATAAAAGTATAAGAACAATAGCGCATATCATGTGTGTATGTCTATCTAAAATTAACAGAGTGCAATTTTTTATATATGCAACCTACAGACATTTAGAATTTAGATTGCCATCATCAATTTCATGATGATGGTTTGGTTGTTTCATCAAACTCTTTTTGAACTCTTTGGTATTAACCATTCCACATTATGTGGTTTGGCTCAATAACTTGTGATTATGAGCCCTAACAAATATGCCACATCATGCAAGGGCAACAATTTCTGCACACGGAGCATCCATTTTTTGTTTCATGACTATACCGCATAAGACGCTCACAATTTCATACAGGAAAATAAGCAGTACAATCCTTACATTGGCAACACATTGGGAGATCCAAAGTAACTGCTTTTCTATCAAAATTTGCAGTTTATTCAACGTCCCAACAACATTCTCGTCCGAGTATATTATTTTCAAAGATATATATTATGTGAACAATGTAGCAATAAAAGGAAAATATCATTGTGGCCAATTTGAAGAACAATATGTGAACAATTTAGCCCTAAACATAAATCCTGACCTGAAAGGGCTCATCACAGACTTGTAGGATCATCTGTGATCTACATTATTTAACACTATTTTGAGCTTGCAATACTGGAAGAGAAAGTTAATCGAGTCTTCCTAAGAGAATGGTCTTCTTCAAAACCATGGTCTCAATGACTTTAATTGAAGGATTAAAAAAATCAACAAAACAAACAAACAGACGAAAGATAACCAGATAACCTAAACCGAGATCATGTACATGTGTATTAAGTTACAATGCAAACCCAAGTTATAACCAAGTAAACCCTGTAAAACCATGATAGTGATATACTATTCCCTATAAAAGCAATAATTTTAACAATGAAATATATACTGTACACCATTAACACCAAGTAAATTAATGCTATAAAACCAGTAATGTGACACTTTTTCCCACAAAAGCAAAGATTTTCATAATGAATTTTGTTCATCATGATCATCCACAGATTTGGGTATCCAGGAAACACGGATGGATGGGATAATGGATTGGAAAATTGATCGTGTCAATCTGGTGAAGGATGACTAGCCACAGGCAAGCCATAATTCTGGATGACTTTGCTTCATTGTGATTGTGAGTTGCCATGGTAACTTATGAAATCCAATCTTAAAGGTAATGCATACATGTAAAGTTGGTTAAAAGTAAAATGGGCTGAAAACCCATTTCCTTGATTAAAGGATTAAAGGTAATACAAAGTTTCGGGAATTTTGAAAATTGGGTGGATAGTAATTCTTTACAATTTTGATACATTTGGATGCCCCTGTGGATGTTTTATGAGCACTAACAAATTTAGCCTCTAAAACACTTCTGCTTTCGAGAAAAAATTAATATAAAAATGAACCGGTGCTTTGATTAAATTTTCAAATAGCGCCTATAGCCGTACAATGGTAACTGCGACCATGAAAATCTCAGAATTTCTAGTTGTAATATATAATTTCCAAACGGGAATAGCTAATCGGTCGATTTTAGCCAAGAAACATTGTTTTATAGCTTAATTAATATCTTGACCTAGAGAGGGAGCTATACAAAATGAAGAGTTTATTATATACAATTTCATAACTTTAGACTCGATTTCAACAGCGACAACGATCACTGAATATTGTAGGATCGCGTATTCTTCCAATATGTTCATTTGAACCAAATTCATGACCCCATGCCAAAACTTTGTATTACCTTTAAAGCCACCCTGATAGTTATCAATAAAAGCAGAAAACAAGAGAAACAAATTAGTGAAAGTTTGAGCAATATCCGATTAAAACGCATTGCTCAAACGTTCAATGACTTGGTGCTACAGTAGTTGAGTTCGATTTCAAACTGTACAAGGGTTCAAAAGTATTATTTCAATAAATTAACTGATTTATTCACACATGCGCTATGGCAATGAATACCAAAATTAATTTGCAACCATCATATTGAGGGTTCAGTGACACACAAAGACGTAACTCCATATTTTGCCAAAATTAGTATTTTTATGTTCAGAAATATGTGGGCTTTCCAGAAAACACAAAGACTTTACAAACTCCACCCAACACCCCATTGAAGTCAATGGCTAGTGAAACAAAGACTTAACTCCCTAAGGCCCAAGTGCTCAGTGACACATAAACCACTTTTTCTCAAAATGGCCAAAATGGAGTTACGTCTTTGTGTCACTGACCCCTCGATATGTACAAATACAAGAAAAGAGAATGGTGTACAACCACACTTTACCTCCTTTGACCTCCCCATTGGTACAGATGGCTGACATGGAGAGAGTAGTGAGAGTGGTGACAACAGCAGACATCAAGACAATCACACTTGCATATACTGGGAAAGAAAGGGCAAAACATTAACAATAATTACGACATTATTAGTGATGATGATATCAATAATGATCCTGATATTGATAATACATATGTACATGTGGTAATAATAAGATTGTAAACTGATAAAAATAACGTTCAAACTATGAAAAATGAGAGCAGTATGTGTAATGTTATGAAATCTGAAATAAAGCATTATTTCCCCCCCCCTTGATATTTCAGCTATTCCATAAAGCTGACCTGTATAGACCTAAAGCGATAATAAGATCTTTGAGGAAAATTATCTACACTATAAGGTTGCCTTTTTACCCACTGCTCTTCAACATTCAGAGTACATTGTATCTGAGCTTGTTAGAGTGTATTATTACACTTATCATCATTCAATTATAGTCTAGTGCTCCAATTCCAGGCAGGGAAGCTTGGCACTCGAAAGAATTAATAATGTCTCATGCATTTAATCCAGACCAGTTAAGTTCAGAACAGTTGAGTATACTCCATTTTAAGGGAATGTCCTATGAAGAGTCACGATTGATCCAAATCATTTATAAATCCTCCAATCAATCACAAGTTGGCAGTCTCCTATCTCGTATGTACATGTACCTGCATAAGTTGCGATTGATAGCAACTCTTTAAATTAAAGGAAACCAAAACCTTCATACTAAGTTACTTTTATTGTAAAGTTTATAAGATTTGAATAAAATCAGTGAAAATTTGAACAAAATCGGGCAAGGAATAAGAAAGTTAGAGCTTTTTGAAATGACTAGTCAATAGAGGGTGGTATTCAATTTGATGACATCATCTGTGAACAACTCTCCATGCATTTTGTACATAAAATTTCACAATTTTGTTGTTTTCTTTGTATTTATTTGTGTTCTTGATCCGACTTCATAACATGTGAAGTAGAATATCATTTTGCATCCTATATCTTGCTTTCAGGGGAGTACATTATCTCAATCACAAGAAAGAAGGAAAAACATGAAATTTGATGTACAAAAGGCATGGAGAGTTGTCCACAGATGATGTCATCAAATTGAATACCGCCCTCTAGTGACTAGTAATTTAAAAAAGCTCTTACTTCCTTATTCCTTGCCCGATTTTGTTCAAATTTTCACTGATATTTTTCAAATATCTTAAACTTTACAATAAAAGTAACTTAGTATGAAGGTTTTGGTTTCCTTTAAAGACAGGGCCCTGGTCATGAGAGTTAATTGTCAAAGATGAAAAAGAAACTTATAAAAGAAACAAATAGACACAGTTGTGTATTGACGGATTCTAGAATCATCAAAATACAGAAACAACAATACAACCTGTCCATGTCAACGGTCTATTACATATACAGCCCATGTTATAATAATAATAATAATAATACCGGTAAAAATAATATGTCTTGTTTACCCAGGGTAGCCTCATCGGTATACATACTGTTCTCCCTGAGGGCCCTACAATCATATCATATAATGTAAACATACCCAAGAAGATTGGATGACCACAGCAAGCATACAGTTTTCTACTTTAATTATATTCAATACATGTCCAGTGCGGCTGAATCTGTCCCTTTCATTGATTTTTGTTTAAAGTGCTTTCAATAGAGCAAAAAAAAGAGTAAGTGCTACGATAGGAATTTACAACATTTTCCACATTTTGGAGCTTTATATCATCTTTTTATTTGCTATTTTTTTTTTTTTACTAGTTCATGCTTTTGTATTTATTTTGAAAGGTATTCTGTTGTGAACGCACATGTACAGTGTATCTATTCCTTATTATTAGCGATTGGCAAATACGTAGTGCTCCACACTACATGTATATTTCCTACTGGTCCAAACTGAAATGTCTGGGATCTGAAATGTCTGCTCCAGGGGGGGGGGGGGGGTAAGGGGAGGGGTGGGGTGTATATTATGTCACACTTTGAGATATGGCAGATGCACAGGTTCAGGAGAGCAATTTTTAAGCCCATTTTCAGTGTTGAACTCCACATAATGCATAATTCTTGAAGTTCTTTTGATCTTAAAGTTCTTTGGGGTGGCTGCAAAATGCAAATGACTTGAAGCTGCCTTTAATGCCCTTTAAAGCTCTTCTTGAAATACTTTTTCTAGTTTTACTTGGTAATTAAAGCAATGAGTTTTAATACTTACATATTCCAGCCTGGCCCACAATCCATGTGAGACGCAGGAACAGCATAACACCCCAGATATTCAAGACACATCTTATCTACAAAGAATCCAATCATGACAATGCAAAGAAATTAGAAGAAGAAAAAAAGATGATAATTTCTACGACAGTCAAGCTCATTTTGACCTACATTTTATATATCTATTTACAAAGTATATACTATAAATTCATTAGAAAAGACAAAAAACAACAATGCATGAATGAGGAGACATCTTCAATATACCCGTACCTGTACAAGGTATTAGCCTTGTTGATGCTGCCACTGAATAGGTAATAACATGATGATGAATTATCAGTCTATAGAGTGTGTGTCAAATATCACAGATGATAATGAAAATGATATCTTTCATCGAAGGAACATCCTACAGCTGTCCTAATAATTAAAATGAGCATACTCACACTTTAATACACACACATCAATGTACGGTATACATGTAGCTTTAATTCTAAATATTTGTTACAGCCTGCCTTGCCCTTTAACAATTAATAATAATAATAATACATATGATTTATAAGGCGTCAAATCCACTTGACAGTCAAATGCTCAAGGCGCAGCTTGTGCAAGAGATGAAATACATACATGATACATTTATACAAAGTGTGATAGGAAAGGTACAGACACGAAAGGTTATGGTAATCAATTATAAGCTAAATTAAACAGATATATTTCTTAAGATTGTTTTTTAACACTTCAGCAGAACTGCTATTCTTAATCCATTGAGGGAGAGTATTCCATAATGAAGGCCCAGCATGAGCGAAGGTTCGCTCCCCCCACTTTGTTTTAACCCTAGGAGTAACAAGTAAGCCAGAGTTTTGAGAACGTAGCTGTCTAGAAGGAAAGTAATGCTTAATCAAGCCGATGTTATACTGCGGAGCAGAGCCATGTATACAGTGAAATAATAGCAAAATAATCTTGAAAATAACACGTTTTTCTACGGGCGACCAATGGAGTGATTTGAGGACTGGTGTGATGTGAATTCTTCTTTCTTCTTCCTTTTTTTTTTAATGAAAAACTACTGTATGCATGTGTATGCTAGGACACACAAATTATTTTAATCAGACTTCTTTTCACCTAAAAAGATGGAGGACCTCTTTGAATATCACAAGGGGAATGAAAATTTCCCTCAAGGCTCAAGCACAAAAAGTTCTCAAGGGTTCAAAAAATTGTGGACAGAATTTTTGAAAGGGATGGCATCCCTCATCCCTTTGGAGAGATCTTAAATAGTGAAAATGATTATTCTTACCAGTACTCCTTTGATCCAGCCAAACTTTGATGCAGATGAAACTTGAGGTTGCCGGCTCTCAGTATCAGAAGGAGCGTCCTGAGGTGTAGGGTCCTGCAAATATTAAATTTGGAGAAAGATGAATGTAGGGAAGATTGTAATAATCTACTTTACCGAAATTAACGTTGTAACCGCACTTTTTTTTTTAAAAAGTATCGATTTATGCCTCTCCACCTGGCACTATGCCTGGCCATGTCTCCCAGCTCAGTAATCGGTGTGTTAACTCACCACTCGGAAACTAGAACAACACTCAAATTTGTCTGTCATCTTGGTTTGAAAGTAATCTTTCTAATAGATCTCAATATGTAGTTTATAATAATAATTTCTCCAATTTTTCTTCTATTACGCACAGCGTACCACAAGGTTCTATCCTAGAGGTCCTAGAGGTCCTCTACTGTTTTTTAATTTACATTAATGATCTTACACATTCATCTGCATTTTTAATGAAAGGCGAAAAAGAGGGGTGCAGTTAATACACGAGGGCGGTTTATACAACGTTACTTACGGTATTAAATGCATGTAGTATGGTAAAAATTAAGTGTCATAAGAAATATAAAATAAGTACTGGGGTACATTTTATAACTTCTTTGTTGAGCATATCATTTTCATACACAGCACTTCAAAATCGTCTTGTAAATTCCTGCTTGTAGAATTGAAAAGGATTATATCGGCATGTAAATGTATGGAAGCAAATATATTTATTATTTGACAACCTGCCTGCTTTATAACAGCAGTGTGAAATATAGTTTTTGTTTTAATTTTTTTTTCTTTTAGAAGGGGGGGGGGGGTATTCCCTGCCCCTTCCACCCCCCCCCCCCCAAAAAAAGGGGAAAAACGTATCTCATACGGGTGTGAATCATGTATTCAAGTGACTGGAGTATACTATCGGTTATTTACTTTCATACACTGTTTGATTTGTATGTACATGTAAATGTACATGTGTATGGTGTTACAAATCTTCATAAAGCTGTACTTGTGGACAAATCCATGATACGTATTAATGTAACATTCCTATTTCCTAGTCTGCTGGTACTCGGAATTCAACACTTAACAAATAATGACCTTTTAACATTTGCTTCCGCCGAAAAAAAGTAAAGTAATGCATGTGTATACAAGATAGCCGTGCAGACTATTGATTTCACTCTTCAGCCCGAGGAGTAGCTTACAGGTTGCCCTTTAAACCCGGTAAATATCTTTGCACATGTAATTGCTACCACTCTAATTACTGCATGAAGGCCTAATGGGCATTAAATATTAAAGGCAACCCTTTTCTGTAAGGGCTCCTTTCAAATTTTCAAATGGAAATTGTCCTTTAGGAAGGAAAATACAATTTACAATAAAAAAAAAAAAGTATTCAATAATACTTCTGTCTCCTTTACGACGATGTACATGTACGTACTGTACATAATTGTTAAAAAAAAGAAAAAAGGCCCCTATGATCTATCTGAAGCTTGGTATTTAATGGGTTAATAGAAGTTGAAACAAAGTGTGCTGTGGACGTACAGTGCTAGCAGACTACTTTTTTAATCTTTATGAGGCTTTATAGTGACCAATGGGGGTTAACTGAACTGTTAACGTTAACGTGCTCCGCTCGCAGACTGTAAGTACACATGTTGGCTTAAAAGTACCCCATGGCCTTATCACTGGATGTGTCACATCTAATTTTAAGAACCATGGTCGAACCTCATGAGTAACAAGCCTTCGTCTGCAGAGATTCGAGTCATTCGACTAGCTGGGATTGCCAAGCGGGAAAACTTGCCCACAGAAGCCTGAAAGCTTGTTATGTGCGGTTCAACTCCCTCACAAGCTGACCAGACTACTCGCAAAGGCAAAGTAACGCTTCTTCTATAAATAGTGTGACATCATTTGAAGACAACTATAGGATATCACACATGTGGTCTGATAAGAACAGCTTAGAATTAGGCTAATGGTAGCTTAGAAATGATGGTAATTTATTTCAATACAACTGAATTTGGGATTTTAAATCTATTATATAAATTTACATACATGTACTTGTAGTACAAAAGGTGAAAGGAGACGGCTCAGTTTATGGCCAATAAAAGTGATTCAGGATACTGGTATCACACACCTGACAGCTTTAACTTTAATTTTGTAAAGACTCATACATATAGTTAAACATACAGGTAAACAATGATATTGATATTATTGTGAGCAATCATCCACAAGCATTGTCATCCCTGAGGAATTGGAAGCCCTCCAAAATGTCATAGTAAAGAGCAGAGTAATAACATTGTGCATTTTAATGTACATGTATGTACAGGTACATCTCACCATGCAAAAAAGGTAAATGGATATATGGTTCTCTTTAAATCATGAATTTGGGTTATTTGTGCCTTTTTTGTAAGTATTACATACAGTACGTACAATGTACATGAAATGTGTAATTGGAATTCACTGATTTGAAGCTTCGAAGCTTAGAGGGTGTTGCGTACCGGTACAATTAGTTTACTCACTGACAGGTTAATGTGTCTTTCAATCAACTGCAAATTGTCACACTTCAAATGTAAACAAATTACCCATACTTGAGTGTGATAAGTAAATTCATACCAATCGGGGGTCATTATGAATAAACATCTTCCTTTTGTGTACTGTATTTGCAGATTTTTTTTGTTCGATCAATTGGTATTTACAGGTCAAGGTCAAAAATCTATTTTAAAACTCGATCCAATTAGGATATAGTGCATGCAACAATGTACGGTACCGGTACGTGCTTGATGACCTGTTACCTTCCAATAATGTACTTGTATGTATTAACAGTAGTATGCTCACAGGAGTGTTTCACAAAGCACAAAGGCTAAGATCGACTTAGGTTGGACTTAAATATGACAGGCACTTCGTGCCACTGGTTGCTCTCACCATTGGTCTCTCAATTATGATCTTTAGATAATATTTTTTCCTTCAATAATAAACTATCAAGAAAGCTCAATTCTGTAGATACGTGTGACAATGATTTGTACGTCCCTTGACAGACCATTGCCAGTAAATGGTGAGAGCAAACAGTGGCATGAATGGCCTACCACCTGTAGTTACTGTACAGGTGTAAGTCCAACTTAAAGTCAATCTTAGTACCGGTAATTGTGAAACACTCCCTGGTATCTAGATAAAAAAATGTCTATGGTAATTTGTATTTCTCAACCAATAAATATTTACAACTACACTGGATATTTTTACACACTACATGAACATGTACACATACATGCACGATCAATCCTATGATTCCTATCTTTAATAGTAGCACCCACCTCTCTATAAATGCCACCTGTATTTTGTCATTGCAATCACCCACATACACATGTAGCCTCCCTCTAGAATGAAATGTGTGCCATTAGAACCTGTTTTAAAAGACCACCTGTGTGCAGCACTGGCCAATTTTTGTTGGTTTCTTTTGAAAGGCCCCAATGGACATATATTTGACTGTTTAACTCTTGCAGCGCTACCTGCATATCCTGCATATTATTGGTTAATTTCTGCATGAAAGTGATACATGTAGCCAGATATGTTTACATGCAAAGATCGCACTCGAGAATATATTAGTCTCCTGAGACCGAAAGTGCTTCCGCAATCAAGACGTCATCATGAGTATTCCCTGTTGCAGGCAGCCAGGTATAAGCCGCAGGTTCCTTATAATCTGAGCTTCATCCATCGATCAAGTGGGATTACAAATCGCGTATTCTGATTCAACATTTGGGTTAATGCCTTATTAATCATTTACACTGTACATAGCATACTGTACAGTATGATCATTGACCCCGATGTACATTGTACAGTACATGTGTGTCTGCATTTCCTTTTAAAAATTTGTTTTAATTGAAACACGATCATGCAGGGGTAAATTACACTTGTATGTGTGACAAGCAAGCCCCTGCCTCCCCCCCCCCCCCCCCCACCAAAAAAAAAAAAAGAAAAAAAAGAAAGAAGAAAAGGAGAGAAGTCCAATACATACAAAATATTTTTTTAATCCTTATGACAAGCTTATAAAAAAAAGGGAGATCTGATGACGACAACCCTGCCCTGACTATACCCACCCCCCCCCCCCCCCCCGGGTTCACCTGTCTTGAAGTATAGATTAATCAAATTGTTATTTGTAAAATTCAGCTTCCCACATCTTGGACAAGACAAGACTTCAGACTTGCTTCAATAGGATTATATTGCCTAAAAAGTGCCTGCAGATTGTCTAGCTGAGTCACTGACTGATAGAAGGATATACGGTAGTCGTTACTCGTTAGACCAGAGCATACTATTATTTCCAATCAGACACTTTATACATGTTACATGTTGAACAATATGAGTACAATAACAGCAGTAGCTCTTTACAAATGTACATGTAGGCTACAATGCATTCATGAGTAATGTGCAGTTTGATTATAAATTTTAGTACACCTTATTAAAAATTTTAAATGTATATGTACATGTAGATTTTGTGAAGAAATAATTTACCCTACTACATGTACTTTGTAGAGTATTGTCATTTACAGGTTGCCTTTAAAAACATTTCAAAAGGTCTTTTTACAAAATTACAAATGTAGGTGAAAACCGTTTCCTTGATACAAACAATTGATTGATCTTCCTTCATTCTGAAATTCTACAAGCTTACATAAAACTAAAGTATGGTTTCAAATACTGGTAAGTGAAAAAAATCTCAATAAAAGAGGCTTACAACATAAATTTCTTTAACTGCTTGTACTTTAAAAGTCTTTCATGGCTACGTACATGTAAGTCCTAGAGATTATATTTAATTTAATACAATTATTTTTTTTCTATTCCCCATAGTATCCACCCGCTCCCTTCTCCCACGCATTCATTTCTTGAGTGACACAAGCTGCTCTCGAATTTCATGCCCTGTAGACAAACATGATATTTTCTTTCAAACACCTTCAGAATGCAGATTCAATCATTCCGAAAAAAATCTTGTAGTGACAATCAAATTAAATATGCACCATCCACACATAAATATGGAATGTATTATACATGCCTACACTGTACATGTATGTTTGAGTACATTTAGAAAAAGGAATATAATGTTATCTGTGCGATATTCACACAGATCTGTGTACCGGTACCTGTACAGTACATGTACACGTACAAAAAAAACCAAGAATGATGAGATAAACCAAAATGAATCATTAAACATGCCTTTTGAAGGAAACATTACAAATGTATTGATTTTTTCCCTTTCAAAATAGCCTCCACTTGGACTCAGGATGCTAAAGAAAATGAGGCCAAAATCAGGGAAAATTATAATTTTAGCGGAATGTTTTTTTTTTTATTCATTAAAAAGAAGCAGACTGCCTCAAATAAGGAAGCGTGAAGGGATGCTAAGCAAATGTTTTTTTTAACCCTGATTATAACAAGATTCCTGATATAACGAGGTAATTTCCTTGGTCCCAAGGACCTCATTATAACAAGTTTCCACGGTACTGTAGCACATCTACATGAACTGCGACATTTCAAGATAAGTTTTAAGTTTCATTTCATTTATTTTTCATTAAAATTCGAAATAAAATACATAACAAATTAACAGCAAAATCGACAGGACCCCAAGAAAAGCAAAGCTTGTGAGAATAGGGCCCTGTACAAAAGTAATCATACAAGCAAATTATTATAACAAATATTGTAAAACTTATCAAAACAAACATACAGTACACCCACCGTCATTCATTCACATGCACACAGACACACCAACACACACCGCAGGCAGAACAAAGTACAGAAAAATCTACTCAGTGCACTTCATTTGTTCAAACAAGAACTGTTTACATGAATATTTAAACTTTGATAGGGTTGAACTACTTTTTAAATCATAAGGTAAAGAATTCCAATCATGTATACCCTGGAATCTTAAAGATCTATCATAGGTTTTAGTAAATTTCATCTTCTTTATTCGCTTAAAATTCAAAAGCACATTTAAAAAAAAAATCAAGGTTACAAAATTGAGGTCAATCTGATAAAGTGGAACCTGGGTATAAAGAGATCTGATATAATGAGGTGTCTATTTAAAGGGAAAGTCCACCCCAAAATAAGTTTGTATCGATAGAGGCAGAATAATAAGAAAATCAGGTGAGTGAAAGTTTGAGCAAATTCTGAATGAAAATAAGAAAGTTATGAATTATTGAAGTTGTGATCAATCAAATACAAATTGGCAACTCTGTGACTTATTATACGAGCTCTCCTTCATTTGCTTTGTGCATAATATTCCATAAAATCATGTTTCCTTCGTTATTGATGACGGAATATATATTTGTTCCTTGCAGGGGGAGTATAGAAACATATTTGCAATTATTATATTTAGGGTGCATGTATGGTTGAAATTTTTCTTGAGGGAAAATGAAAATTTCAGATTTTTTTAGTACTGAGCAAATGGAAGTTGAGCTCGCATGATACGTCATAGAGTTGCCAATTTGTGTTTGATTGATCACAACTTCAAAAATCCTAACTTCCTTATTTTTAATCGGAATTTGCTCAAACTTTCACTGACTTGTTTCTCTCATTTTTCTACTCCTATTAAAACTAACTTAATTTCAGGGTGGACTTCCCCTTTAATATAACAAGATGATTTTGCTGGTTCCAGCTCTATATATTCTTTCGTTTTTTTACCCTGATATAACAAGGTTCCTGATATAACAAGGTAATTTCTTTTATCCCAAGGACCTCGTTATAACGAGATCCCAATGTATAAACAAAATTCAAAACATTTATACAAACACACAGAGTTTAAAACATTTTCTTGAATGAAAAAAAAAGAAAATGAAAATGGGGAGAAAAAAACCCAATGCCTGGAATTAAACCTCTTCATTAATACATCAGTGAGTTTGGCACTCACACACACACATACTGTACATGTATATGAACAGCACATGTTTGCTCTAGGGACAAGTGTTTCAGGCTTGATTTCATCAAAGATATACATGTAGGGTTAGGGTTAAGGTTGCAAATGGGTTTAGGGTTAGGTTTAGGAATAGTCATAGTGTTTGGTCTATGGTTGAATGAGACCTCTATGATGTCCCAACTTGGATTATGTTTGTTCGTCATGATTGCCACGTCTGGTGTTTTTTAATAAACTAAAACTGAAACTGACAATGGTTAGAATAGGATATTGAATGCTGAGCACTTGCCACCAGTACACAATCACCTGACTTCACAACAGGTGCAAGGTGTGTATACTGGTGAAGACAGGCCGTGCCATGCACAGCATGGTTGTGCGACACATGCTCCTGTTGAACCCTGGACCCGCAGAAGCAAATGTTGGACCACAATACAGATTACCGGTACAGAAGTGTTTCTGGAATGTTCATTTGGGGTCTACTGTACGTGAGACGCTACATGTAGATTATATGTCTAAAAAAGCAGAATTGACTTTTAATTTTGTCAACCATCTTTTTGTCTATTAAAATAGAAGAGTTGCCATGCCATTGGGTCAATTTGAACACAAATGGTCTCAGTAAGACTCTATATGTAGTTAATGTAAGTTTTGCTTCAATTCTATGTCTTCACATTGCTCTGCTTTTTTTATTCATTTAAAAAAAGAAGAATTGAATAACAGGCAAATACATTTGTAGAAGAAAAATATAAAGAAAATAAAAAGGAGATGGGCCGAAAATGGAGTCATAATAGTGGGAGGGAATGAGGAACTACATGTAGGAATTGATTCCAAAAAGCTTAGAGAACGCGATTTACAACATAATTTGTTTCAAGATTTGAAGCCCTGGATTGCATTAAACTGGAAAAGAAGAAAAGATCACATCTGAGGAGTAAACTCACCTTGATAGGTTCGTGAAGATCATGCAACGTTGGCCTCTGCTTGGCAGTCGCAGACGTGGAGAAAAGGTTCCTATAGTAGTCTAGGGATGGCATCACCTCAATGGTGTTCTGACCAAAGGTTTGCATTGCCATGGACTGGTCAAAGTCCTCATTGCCCATCGGAGTCGACTGTCCGCCGGAGCTGGGCTCACTGTGAATGGGAGAAGTCTTGTCCTTGTTCTCTTTCGGGGCAGCTTCAGGGTTCTCGCTGACGATGTTCACCTGGAAGCGCCCAGGCCTCGGGCTAGGAGCCGACTTGGGAGCCGTGTTCTGCTTGTTGCTATCCTCTTGCTTGTTGAGATCCTCCATCTCCATCTCTCCCACTTCTCCACTCATCATGGGATGGTGGAGTGTCGTATTTCAAAGAAGGGGTTCCCTGCAACCTAAAAATGTGAAATGTTGAGACAATTTAAGCTCCAAGTAAAATACATGTAACTGGCTTAGTGAGCCTACATCTACGTACACTAAATTAACCGCTATTATCGTAAAGTCGGTATCCAATTGGCAACGCAGAGTCAATCATATACATGTAAGTATACATGTACATCGCATATGCTTGCGTTTACGGCGGAATCAAGATCGCCAACCGTCAAAAGAGGTGAGCATTTTTGTAATGAAAATTGCATGTTAGCTCATTTATCATCAGGAACATGTGAAAGGTAAAACAAAAACTCTCTGGTAACAATTTTTTATTTCCAGACCCGACTTCAAGTATTTGCAGGAGTATAAAGAAGAGCCCTGCAAGGTTCTTTGTATTTAGGGCTTTTGTGATTAAGTATACATTTTAGGTTTTTGTAAAGTCAGCATTAATTACTTTTCACACAGGCAAATGCGGAGATGCCAACCTCTTGACACAAGAAAAACAGACTGAGTATCCTAAAAAAAATAATCAGATTTTGGAGAGAAAAATCAGATTTTCACGAAAACTTGACACTACCACCGGCCAGTCGTCCCCAGGCCGGTACATTTTAGAAAAATGTTTTACTGGTAAGTACGGTCAAGTAAAATGTTTGCTCTTTGATTAAAATTTAATGAGAAAATTGTAAAGCAAAGTTTTTGTTGGGGTTGCATGGGTTTACTTGTATACGATTCCGCTGTTTTTATGGGTTAAATTTTTTTTTTTAAATTTTTTTTTTTTTTTTTTTTGTTAACGATGAAAAATCATATTTTAAGAGATGATATCGTATTATTGTATTTCACTCTTATTATCGTACTAAATAAGATTAAATCGTCTTGGTTGGCATCTCTGCAAATTGAAGCAAATGGAGACGTTTTTATATCAACATAATAATATCAATATCACCAAGCCCTGAAGTAGGCAGTTTCACAGCCTAAAATAGTCAGGGCGTGTTTCATGAGTGCATTTTAAACTAAAAGCTGTGACCCACTTCAAAAGCAAACAATATAAAATTGTGATTAATATTCTTGTAAACTTGGTTCACATGCAACATTGAACTACAAAATAATTTGAAAAAATCAAACAATTTATTAAAATTGAAAGTGTAAATGGCACCTATTTCACTTGAATGGTCACACTATTTTCTCCCGTTTTGTTCTTTATTTCTTCATCGTTTGTTGCATACAAATCTTCACCTTGGGTTACACTACGACAGCTTTTAAAAGCAATTTCAGACTAGAACAAAAATTGATATCATTAACGTAACTTGACAATTTCATGAAACTGCCTACATGTACACTGTACCTAAAGGTTACAATTAACAAGCCCAACTTAAGATTCTAAATGGACAATTTATAAAGACTAAAGAATCCTAGTAATACTAGGATAAATCTGACCTTAGTTCTTTGTTCCATTCGGATCAAGCAAAAGCAAACAAGCCAAAACTAAAATGCAGCCAACTCAGCCGCAGTCATTTCTTTTTCTTCTTCCCTTGACCCTGCCTAATTCACTCCTGAAGATTCTTGCAGATTGGATACAAGTAAAACTAAAGTTACAAGCACTGGACACAGAAAGATGTATATGGGACTACTCGACACATGCATCTGATACATGACACATGCGCGATATCCATCTGGTCCAAATAGATATAATAATTTACCAAATATATCAATTAGTAGGCAATTTCCCGGCAAAATTTGTGTCATCAAGTATTAGTCAAAACATATATTCTTTCACATGATTGGTAATAAGAGCTTCCATTGGGCCATTCCATGGTAACTCGCGTTACACCTAATGGGTACATTGACACGATAATGTGCCTATATCTTTAGAACTGCTAGGATCTACAAGATACTTTTTTCAAACATGGACAGGGTAGATATAGAACAACTGAATGAAACAAAAAAGAAAATTGAAGAACAAACATTTTTAGATTCTTGGATTATTGAATTTCGGTAACTCGCGTTACAAAAAAGGACATGGTCAATTTTATGAGACCCTCTTTTGGCAAAGTCTCCTCATACAATCTTGACAAAATCTTTCCTACTTTAATTTGATAGTAGGTTGTGACTTACAAGTATAAGATCACAATATTAAAGATAAGAAACAATGGACTAGTAAAATGCAGGAAGCAAATATGTCGGTAACTCACGTTACGGTAACTCGCGTTACATTTTGTCCGGAGGCCATTTTCACCCCTATGTAATAGATTAAATATCACAGGACCCCTTAGAATATGGAAATATATTCATCTTTTTTCCATTTAGCGCAATTTTCAGGAAAAAATATTACAAGAATCCTGTGTAATCTGCAATAAATTGTTTTTTTTTCATCTACAGTGTCAGTCCCACATGTACGTTTTTGATGATGGTTTGAGATCTTAGGAAATCAACAAAAATGAAAAATAAATTGTGTTGAATTTGAAAGGCCCTAATGTTTTATGAACATCCATGGCATAAGGTTAGTGATAAATCAAAGAATTAACATAAGAGGTACATTTCTTTTTTTGATGTCATGTCCTTCTTCTCATGGAATGGCCCAGAGGGGGGCGTTTACAAAACTGGTCTTTTCTTTTACCTTTAAGCTACCGGTACTGCATTTCGTCAGTCATTGACATTGTCGAAATGCACCCCCAATTAATACTAAGCCATTAATACGTCTCTTAGAAGAGAATTCCATTTTCAAACATTCCTCAGGAAAAAAAATGAATCAGCATTTCCAATCATTAGAGATACAGACCAGTTATGGTCATGCGATTGCATTGTGAAATCGATCAGAAAAGGTTGATCATTTATAAGTGTTGGTGTCTACCGCAAGGTTCTGGAATCATCAAAATGAAAAGAAATTTGGCCCAGTCTTGGTAAAGTTACAAGCACTGTACACAGAAAGATGTATATGGGACTAAGCGACACATGAACCATATCTATCCAGTCCAGATAGATATATGCCTACGGTGATATATTATCACATATATTGATAAGTAGGCGGTTTCTCACCAAAAATTTGTATCATCACGTATTAATCAAAACATATTCTTTCCCATGATTGGTAATAAGACTAGAGCTTCCATTTCCTTTTTTGAGAGAGGGGCGTTTCCAAAACTGGTTTTTACCTTTGAGCCTCAGGATCTGATCAGCCACCGGGTGTTGCCAATATGTACACAAATCGTTAAATTGAATTTGTTAGCTGTTGCTTCAATTCAAGACTTATGTATTAAGTCAAGACAAATTAATTCATTCAATACTATACTATTACTACAGTATACCAGTAGGGGCGCTGTTCCAAGAATGAGGATCGTCCGCATCAATAAGGATATCCCCGCACAAAATACATCCTAAAAAACAAGGATCGTCCACAGTTTTGAGGATGTTTTTTTTCTTCGGTGCTCTGCGGATGTAGGGTTCCTGATCCATATGTGGCAATGTGAAAACAGGATGCGAACAAAGGATTTCACGAAAATGCTCTTTTTTAAAATGACGCGATTTGTCCGCGTTTACGTGGATATCCTTGTTTAGGCGAACAATCCTTATTCGGACCATAGCCCCTACTACTGACTGTAGAGTAGGGGCGTTGGTCCGAGAATAAGGATTGTCAGCATAAATGAGGATCGTCTTCGCAAACACAAACAGACACATCCGATAAAAAAAGATCGTCCGCATTTTTGCGGTTTCTTATTTCTGATCCGCACGTTGGCAATGCGAAAAACGGATTCAGCAAAGATTTTCTTGAGGCATTTTACATTGAATTTGTAATTGTAAAGAGACTCTCACACTATGTGCGATAAATCCTCTGAAAGAACAACAACCCATGATAAAGGTAGACGGTGAACTGGCAGTATTTTGTTACGCGAACTCTAATGAAAGTTAGACCTCTAGATCTACTAGTACGTCTAGTAAACTAAGGAACAAAATTAAATTGGAAATGGTATTTCATATTCTCATGAGGTATGTGATGACAGCAAGGCAAGTAACATAATATTTGAGGCAATAAATTGGTCTCAGGAACTACTAGCTACTGACTGTATAATTTCAGCCAGCGGAAATTCTTTTCATCATGCCCCGCAACTTTGGGGGCATGAGAGGCACAGCGAGCGACCCACGAAACACACAAACAGCTCGCTAAAATACCCTGGAGAATCATGTTCCATCTCACCGTATCGAAATATATCATGCACTCATAAATCATGTGTATCTGTTCCTTACCTTCAATTTGACTTGATTCCGAGTAACTGGCCGATATGGCGTTAAAAATAGTTTATTGTGATTAAAGTCCGCTCCCAATTAAATGACAAAGTCCAACGGGTAAGTCTCAAATCAATTGTACGGTATCTTTGAAAATGTAAGAGGAAATAAAACAGCACTATCAAAATCCAGGGCGCGTGCGCCGTAATAAAGTGAATCTCATTAGCGAATGTGCTATTTCTAGCACGGCAAATCAGCATGACGTCATTCGGAACGGAGTTCCACTGCAGCTATTGGTTCCGTGGTTGAGTTCGTGATTGGTCCGTAATTAGAACCAATCGGCTTAACTGAGATGCGAGTGAATTTCATCATGGCTTATTCCAAGAGATTTTAATCATTACCTTCATAGAATTCAATCATATCTTCTATTCTTGTGCATTACAAGCCCGATTACAAGGCTGCCTACCTAACTCAAGTTGAATCGAACCGTTTATTGACACAGTCTGGTTAAATTATCTCTCGTTTTCTGCTCGGCTTAGTTAGTGACCCTGGTTCGGCACCGGTTTCGTCACCGGGTTCGTCATCAAAACAGACAAAATGTAAAATTAGAATTTTTTTGTCTGAATAAGAGATTGTTGTTGCACGAAATCGGTAATTTCCATCTTCCCTGTCTGACATTTAGACCTGCAGTGCGCCTTCAAGCTAGTACTTTCGGCACCTTCTCAAATATTTATCGATATTTTTTTCGAAGTTGAGAGCATTTAAAACTTCGAATCAATCCCCGGGGGATTAATGAGCAGGCCAGCTAGGGAGCTGAACATAATGGTTGAGTCCAGGGACGGCGCCAGGTTATTTTGTTAGGAGGGGCGAATGGGCGCGCCACGCAGGGGGGGGGGGGGGGGGGGGGGGGTGTCTGGAGGATGTGCCCCTCTCAGAAGTTGGAAGATTTGTTTTAAATTGGTGCATAATTTTTTAATACAATTAAAAAGAAAACAGTCTTAAGTTCAAATAACAGGAACAAGAACGCACGGGGCGTCGGACGGGGGATGTGCCCCCCTCAGAAGTTGAAGATTTTTTTGAAATTGATGCATACATGGCCCAATTTGAGGATATTATGATACCTATGATATCTTTCCCCTTTTATCTCCTTTGTTTTCCTTCTTTTTTTTCCCTTCTTTTTTCCCTTCTTTTTTTCCCCTTCTTTTTCCCCCTCTTTTTATCCCTTCTATTTTTCCTTCCTATTTTTGCCGGGGGGGGGGACCAGGCCCCCAGGCCCCCGCCCCCCCCCCCCTGGATCCGCCACTGCCATGCAGAACCATACTTTGCAGAGTGTGTGCATGATCTGAAGATTCATTTCCGGGTGAGGGAAGCCAGCGAGCCGCCAAAATTTTAAAGATTTGTGAAATGGACATTGCATGCGACCGATTAGAGACTTATTATAATAGCCAAACCAGATGTGGATTTTTCCGATAGTGATTTCTTCATTTCTTGGGAAGATGGATTGTGTTTTGAAGGGATTGTAACAATACATTTTGCTACATTTCACTCTTGACTTACCATATTCAGGTGACAGTCTGCTCTATGGTAACATAATTATTACATATGGGGCATTATTGTAAAGAGGAATAATTAAGCTTTTCAATGATAACAACGTCAAATATGATAATATTATTATATATAATAATATAGTATCAAGAGAGATACCAACACTCAAACTTGACTTGCAGAACTCTTTTTGAGGAGTTTTGATAGGGGTCTGTATGTGACTGCAAAAGGGCATACTTTGTTAGCGACAATGCGAAATATAGTTTTAAAAAACGGCACTTATCAAAAGGCTAAATGTTATTTGAAAGGAAAAGTGACACTTTTGTAAAGTAATAAGGGGAACTTTTTTTTATATTTGAAAGGCGCACATATCATAGATGAAAAGAGGTATTTATGAGAAGTGCAAAGGGACATTATCAAAAATGAGTAGGGGCATGTAAAACATCAAAATTAAGGCAATTATTAGAGGTAAAAAGGGGCATTTATAAGAAGAGATTAATTTCTTACATAAAAAGGGCACTTGTCAAAGCGAAAGAGACACTGATCAGATTTACATAGGGGCACTTGATCAGAGGTGAGAAGGCGGCATGTATGAGAAAGTGGAAGGGGCACTTATTAAAAATGAAAACTGGCACATAGAAACAAGGGCACTTCTGAGAAAGGAAAAGAGGCACTTAAAAGAAGGGGAAAGGAATTTATTACAAAGGTCAAGGGGCACTTGTCGAAGTGAAGGGGGATAGGGAACCTGTCAGATTAAGTTGAATTTGGGTACTTAATGGGGGGGGGGGGAGGGTCACTTATGAGAAAGGGGAAGGGGCCCTGGCTTATTCGAAATATGAGCACTTTGGGGGTATTCAAAATAGTGTGTGACTGGACTGGGGGGGGGGGGGGGTTCATCAAAACATTAAGTTGGCATTGAAACCTTGTGTAGTTGCAGGAAATCCTTCAAGAAATGCTTTGGAATTTGAAAAGGTCGATATGCCATTGCTTATAGGATCAAGAATTATCAACAAATGCACAAAAAAAATAAAAGGGAATTATGATATCCGACTGGGTATATTCTTTCTATTATGCCTTTGAATTTATTTTTTTCCAATAACTTTCTTGACAAATGATTATGGCTTAACCAAATAAGTGAAATATTGGTATCATGTCTGTTATGTCTCATTTTTATCAGTCTAAACCTTTGGCTAACATTTTGCATGTGTCAATGATTTCATTCATATCATAACATTCCAAATATTTTCTAGATGGGTCAACCGAAAAATCTTACCACACCACCAAATGCACATATAGCCATTGGCATTAGCAACAGCAATGCTAAATTAGCAATGGGTTAGTTAGTTTGTTCCAAGATCATTAAATGTTTCATAATTATAGAGAAATGTGGAACTTCAGTAAAGTACATTTTCAAAGAAAAGAAATTGACATTTTGTAATGGAAGAATAAAGAAAGAGGGAAATTGGAGCATGGGAGAGAGAGAGAGAAAGAGAGAGAGAAACAGAATTGGAAAGAGGTAATGAGTAGAACAAAACACATAAGCTGCAGAAGATATTACAAACAAATACATGTGGAAAATAATTACTGATTTATTTTAACATGCATTTGATTTCAGACAGAAAAAGGAAGTGTAAAAAACTCAAGTTTACACAAATTACAGAATGCAACAAACAGATTGTCATAGCATAGAAAAGGCAATTTTAAGGCAAAGTATTTCACAAGTTAATATTTTACTGTACTAACTGCGTATTATTATATGGAATCCCATTTTTAAGAGATCAAAACCCTGAATGCATATGAATTAACATAGAAAGTATTGTGAACATATAAATAGAAACGACTGATTGACTGACTGACTGATTGATTGATTGATTTGAAGTTGCAATTCGTGTGTAGGTCTCCTAAATCAATGCCAATTTGGAAAACAAATTAAAAAAATAATACTAAAATAAACTTAATTTCTTTAATTCTAGGAAAAGTCTCCCCTAGACTACCAAAACTCTGACAACAAACCCTCTATGACAACTAAAACAAACTAATAATGCATCATACTGCATTCAAACACACACACACACAGCAAAAATGGAAAGAAACTGAATCTCTAGCGTGTTGTTTTCATAACTGGCACTTTGACCTATGGTATTTTCAATTTTGTTACATGACTTGTGTACAAAACTGTTTTATAGGACTACAAAATTGGTTAAAAACAGCTCAAATTACAATTCATCATTAAATTTCTGTTCCTTCAGACATACTCACTTAATAACTATAGAGCAGGCCCTTTCATTCTAGCCATTACAATGATTAATGACACAAAGTCTAGAGAATGTTACATCAATGTACTTTCATTTCCCCCCTTAAAATCATGAAATACATAAAGAACTTCTGTACACTATCATGAATTCAATACTAATATCATCTGTTCATAAAAATTAATTGACAGGATATCAAAAATAAAAACATTTCAGTATCATCTAATTTAAAATCTTCAAGGCTCTCAGGAATCAATACATTTACTTTCAATATAATCAATGAATCATCTTTATATAAAACTTCTTCTATGAATATAAATCATATAACCTATACATCTGAAGACATAATCTCAGACCATCTTGGTACTCTGGTAATGCACTGCCCCTTCTGCTTGGATGCTTATGATAATAATAATCATAATAAATTATTATAATAATAATTTAAAAAAAATAAAAAATTATAACCATTATAATAATAACAATAATAATAATAGTAATAATTCTAATAATAATAACAAAAACAATAATCTGGTTTATAATAAAAATACTTCTACTAATAATAGTACTCTTTTTATATATCCTAGGGTAACCTCTACAGCATCAGTGCTGTTCTTCCCAAGGGCCCTGCAATTCCCATGACCCTACCAGCTATATCAATTTAAACTCTTGCATTAAAGGTAATACAAAGTTTTGGTATGGGGTCATGAAATTGGTTCATATGAAGATATCAGAAATATCTGATCCTATAATATTCAGTGATTGTTGTCGCGGTTTAAACTGAGTCTAAAGTTATGATCGAAATTATAAATAATAATGTTGCATAGCTCCCTCTCAAGGTCAAGATATTAATTAAGCTATACAACAATGTTTCTTCACTAAAATCGACCAATTAGCTATTAGTTTGGAAATTATATATCACAACTTCATATTTTGAGATTTTCATGGTTGCAGCTACCACTGTACGGCCGTAGACGCTATTTAAAATAGCAGAAGTGTTTTAGGGGCTAAATTTTCTAGTGCTTACAATACATCCATACATACATACATATAATACACAGGGGCATTCAAATATATCAAAATTGTAAAGAATCCCTATCCACCCAAGTTTCAAAATTTCCCAAAACTTTGTATTACCTTTAACAGTCGAGTGAATGAACACTTACCACAACACCTCATCAATGCTGCCCTCTATGTGAAGATGGCATATAGTTCTATCAAAGATCTCTCTACCCCTCAGAACTTGATACATCTTTCTTTTTTCCACAGTTAGTGAAATATTATCCAGCTTTGGTGAGCATTTGCTTGTTGTGCTACAAGCTTTGTCAGACATTTGTCATAGCTGGCGCTGTTACTCATTAGGTCAACACTATATGGGGTTCAAGATTCTTTGATTAATACTAGCTTACAAGCTAACCCTGCACATGTGCACATATAAACCATTAGGGTTAGTGATCGGATTATAATAAGCATGCAAACCCACATTTCATCAACCCAACGTAATATAATGTTGTAGTTGTGGGTTCGAATCTCAGTATTTATTCAGTTCTATTTGTTGCATTTATAAATAGTAAGGCAAAGCTATAAATAATCAAAGTCTAATTGTTTGCGAGCGAGGCACAGCTAGCTAGATTCTTTGTGAGCCAGTAAAAAATGTGACCTTTACTGTGAACTCACTAATAATGAACGAATCTTTGAGCCCATGCCGGTAGTGTCGACCCATGCAATACCCTGATGTGGTAAATGTAATGTTAAATCCCTCATATCAGTTTATTATGACTGTGCACACTACAAGCAAGAAAGCGAAAGCTAAAAAAACAGGTAATTTTTTACTTTTCATGAAAAAAGAACATTTCTTAATGTTATATAAAAAATGAAATAATAACAGTCCCATTTATATAGCACGCACTTTATAAGAAATTTTGTACTCAATTGCGCTTAATACAAAGTATCACATTATTAATCCCGGCTGTAGCTGAGCTGCCATGATGAGGTGCTCCTACCGGGTACCCATTTACTTCACCTGGGTGGAGAGTGGCAAATGTAGATTCGTGCCTTGCCAAAGGACATTGGTGCCGCAGCGGAGTTGAGAGTATCTAATCAGCCAACATCTTCCAGCATCTCTCCTCTGCTGATGTTCCCTTTCAAACTCGAATGAAGTTTAGCCTACATCACTATCATTTGTTAAGACTGGGCCCAATTGTTTGGTACACCCCCATCTATGAAGAATGAACCACTTCAAAATATTTGGAAAGGAAGAACTGTAATAATTTCTGAATTCGCCAACACTATCCAGCCATTTTTCTCTCATAAGTGTTGAGAGTATTAGATCAGATATCAGGACTCGGGAGCGGGTCCCATAGTGTTTCTGCAAGCCCAAACTCTCATTATGTCCTGTCACGTCTGCTGTATTTTATGAAGTGCTGCATTGCTGAGCGTTCTGCAGTCCAGAAGCATTTCTGGAAAAATAAAGAACACACACCAAAAATAACCTATTAGATGATAATAATAATAATTCAATCAATTTATTCAAGCTATTCCAAGATACTCTCTACTGCGCTGTGATGAAAACTATAATTTGTTTAGACTGGGCCCAGTTGTTTTATACACTTCCATCTATGAACCATCTCAAAATTTACAGATCAGGAGAAGTGTAAGAGTATTTGGCAAGTTATTAATTTGCATTTGCCACACTTCACCCAGGTAAGGAAAATTGGTAGGCCTACCTGGCAAGTTTAGTTTCTTGAAATGCTTGGGGGCTATAATGGCAGCTGTGCTAAAGCCAGGGTAATGATAATGGAGCGCCAATGTGCAGACACGAGCGCTAAACAAGACACCACTATTATTATTATCATTATTATTATTATTATTTTCAGAATCTTTTCTTCACTGACCTCTGATCTGTTTTTCTGTGTCATCCATCTCTTTCTTCTGCACTGTGCCTGTATCCCAGAATCCTTTGTCCACCCAAGACCCTGATGATTTCTGAGTCACATGATCTCCTGAACGGTCATTGGACTCTGTCAAAAATGAAGAAAAACTAGATGGAATTTTGACTGCGCGCAGTCGAAAATGATGCCTCCGCCATAGAGCAATTTAAACAAGTTTGGAGTTTAAATCTCCAGTGGTTCTTGAGATATCATGATAACAATCTCAATGTATGGAATTTCATAAGTTGACCTCTGTGACCCTTGACCTTTGACCTACGTGCTCCAAAATCTGATCAGATTGTCTTCCTATGGTGATACACACTATCATTAAGTTTGAAGTTTAAATCTCCAGTGGTTCTTGAGATATTATGATATGGTGATACATACTATCATTAAGTTTGAAGTGAAAATTCTCCAGTGGTTCTTGAGATATCGCGATAACGATCTCAATGTATGGAATTTCATAAGTTGACCACTGTGACCCTTGACCTTTGACCTACGTGCTCCAAAATCTAATCAGATTGTCTTCCTATGGTGATACACACTATCGTTAAGTTTGAAGTTTAAATCTCCAGTGGTTCTTGAGATATTATGATAACAATCTCAATGTATGGAATTTCATAAGTTGACCTCTGTGACCCTTGACCTTTGACCTACGTGCTTCAAAATCTACTCAGATCGTCTTCCTATGGTGATACATACTATCCTTAAGTTTGAAGTTTTTACATCTCCAGTGGTTCTTGAGATATCATGATAACAATCTCAATGTATGGAATTTCATAAGTTGACCTCTATGACCCTTGACCTTTGACCTACGTGCTCCAAAATGTAATCAGATTGTTTTCCTATAGTGATACACACTATCACTAAGTTTGAAGTTTAAATCTCCAGTGGTTCTTGAGATATCATGATAACAATCTCAATGTATGGAATTTCATAAGTTGACCTCTGTGACCCTTGACCTTTGACATACGTGCTCCAAAATCTAATCAGATCGTCTTCCTATGGTGATACATACTATCCTTAAGTTTGAAGTTTAAATCTCAAATGGTTCTTGAGATATCGCGCTAACAAACTCAATACAAGGAATTTCATAAGTTGACCTCTGTGACCTGTGACCTTTGACCTACGTACTCCAAAATCTAATCAGATCGTCTTCCTATGGTGATAAATACTATTCCCGAGTCTTAAGTTTAGATCTTAAATGGTTCTTGAGATATTGTGATAACGGTCAAACGGGACGGACGGACGGACGTACGGACGGACGTACGGACGGACGTACGGACGTACGGACGGACAACCCGAAAACATGATGCCTCCGGCACCACCTTCGGTGGCGGAGGCATAAAATCTCCATGATACAAGGATACTTGGATAGAAGCAAATATGTACACCTTTTTATTATTAAGTACTTGGCGACACCTGTGCCTGAGAGGAAAAAGGCAAATCACTGTAACCCTCTGGTCTCTCCTACTGGTATTGCTGATTGGGAATGTGCAGGTGGACCACTACACCAGGGTTCCCCACACTCATATACAATAGTGCAGTGGGTTCATAACGTACGAAGGTGGTGACTCTCCTCTACACAGAGGACTCCATTTAACGTCCTATCTGAAAGACAGAGTGTTTTTCACTGTAACATAGTCTGCGTCTATGAAACAGGGGAGGAGCACGTTAATACACAATGCAGGCTTCTGTCACCTGCCTGGGTTGCATTCGAACCCACTATCTTTGATTCGACAGGCAGACACTTTATCAACTGGACCATCATGCCTCCCCTAAAAAATGTTAGGAGGGGAATGACGAATCATAGTACCGGTATACAGTTGAAACTGCCTTCATTCAAGGAGAAATATTAAAACTAAGTTTACTATACACAGGGGTGATAGTGAGCACTAACTAAAAAAGAAGGTTTTTCTCTTTTTCTTCAACCATCCTCCCCCCTTGAGTAACAAAAAAATTAGGGAAAAAAAACCTGGCATCTAACAACATTCACCTGTTTTGAGTAAGAAAATAGGGACAAAAATAGGGGTAAAATTAGGAAGAAGAAAAAAAGAATTGGGCAAAAAAAGAAATCAGGTTTTTTTTAAATTTTTGAATCGAGAGAATATATATAAATAAATATCAGGCCTGTATACATACCAACAAACAAAACAGAATGAAAAAAAAAATGAAATATGAGATACCGGTATGAAATGAATAAAAAGAAAAAATAGAGAGAAAATTAAAGGTAAAGACCAGTTATGGTCACGCGATTGCATTGTGAAAGAAACGTTGTGGAATCGATCAGAAAAGGTTAATCATCTAGCATCTAGCATCTGCAAGGTTCTGGAATCATCAAAATGATAAGAAATTGGGCCCATTCTTCGTAAAGTTACAAGCACTATACACAGAAAGATGTATATGGGACTACCCTATATCTCTCACAGACCATGAGAGAAACAAATTTACCAAATATATGAATTAGTAGGCGGTTTCCCGGCAAATTTTTTATCATCATGTATAAGTCAAAACATATTCTTTCACATGATTGGTAATGAGAGCTTCCATTTCATTTTTTGAAATTGGGGTGTTTCCAATACTGGTCTTTACCTTTAAACAAAGCAAAACATGAGCAAAACACAAATGAAAAGGTGGAGGTAATCTTACTTGCTATTTCTCTGTCAAGCTGACGAAGAGTCGTAAACACCTCGCTTCCCTTCCCACACAACCTCTCTCCGTCAAGCACTTTCAAGTGGCAGAAGTGAGACATTATCGTAGACCTGTAGGTGGCGCCATTACATATTGGATTGGTCCAGTCTTGCAAGGGATCCTGGAATCGCATGTCTTCCAGGTTTTGGAGATTTGCGAGGGCATAGATGGATTCAAAACTGCAAAGAAATTAAACAGAATAGCGGTTAATCCAACATGTTTTGTATGTCCTCTGAACATTGTTTGTATTTCTGAATGTTGTTTTTAAACAAATGGTTGAACCAATAAATTAAAAAGAAATGAAAACTAATAAAATTGAATTCCTCACATTAAAGGCTATTGGAAAGAACAATACTTTGTTTATGCGTTGATGTTGATCGAAGTCATTTGTGACATACTCTGATCAAAGTTGGGTCTTTAAGATCTCGCAATCTGTATAATTGATGTAGCAAGAGCAGTGAGGTGATAAATAGACTGACAAACTTACTAATGCAATCATTGTTTGGGCCCTGGACGTCACATATGATATAAATCTTTGCAAAAAATGCTGATATAAATTCCCATTTACATGGCTTAATCTGGCTTTATCTGGCTTAATCATAATGTACCAAAACTGGATGATCTTTGATTGTTCATGGTGCATCGTAATCAAATTCAGATAGAACATATTTAGGTAACCAAAGAAAGAGCAAAAGTGGAGGCTTTCATTAATTTAATCACATGGTAATAATATATTCCCTTGATAAATTTAAATTGAATTTGATATAAACCATATCTGTATTTTCTCTGATAAAATATTTTCATTTCCAGAAATGTCATACAGATTCCAGGAAGAAAGAGAAGAAAACTATCGCATGATGCCTTCTACAATAAAATGCTTGGCTCACTAGCTGATGGAAATAAGTGTCCTGTCGTAAAGAATATGAAATCCCAGATACCTTGCAATCAGGTTCCCAGCAGCATTCAGACTTCTTAAACTCTCCAGCTCCGTCAAAGGCTCTGTAAATATCCAATAAAGATAAGAACAATAACAATAGTAACTATAGGAAGTCTATGTACAATGTTGACACAAAAACACTCAACTGTATTAACAAGAAACAAAAATGCAGCACCTCATAAAATGCATCAAATCATGTAATGTTGTAAAGTAACGTTTAATTTAAAAAAAAATTGTTTCATAAGCACATAAATTCATGCAAGGCCATGGAATTTGACTCCTTCTGGGCCACCAAGTTTTTAATCAATTATCATAAATGAGAGCAACGTTGAATAACAAGTACAGAGCATTGAATCATTGTTAAATTGGCACCACGTAACAGTGAATATACCTGTTCCTGAGAAAGAAAATTAAACTTTTCTCAGTCCCATTATAGTTGTTGAAAATTAAATTCCTTGGGCTGGATTTCCCTTTCAGGAAAGGGGTTAAATTAAATGTGCGCACCTGAAACACACACTTACCAAGACTTGATATTCTGTTAGCAGCTACGTTCAGGAAGACGAGCTGCTTGAGAGGGGAGAGGGCCTTCAAACTTGTCAGGTCGTTCCTACTGATGTCCAATCGCTGAAGGCAAGAACAAGATCCAATAGGTCCAAGATCATCAATATCTGACGAAGTATAAAGTATGAGAGAGAGAGAGAGAGAGAGAGAGAGGGGGGGAGGGGGCAGAGAGTGAGAGAGAGAGAGAGAGAGAGAGAGAGAGAGAGAGAGAAAGAGAGAGACAGAAACAGAGAGGAGAGACAGAGAAATAAATATAGAGAGAAAGAGAAGTTCATATATCTTTGCAGAAGTTTATTGATCAATCTAATTAGTCATAGAAATTATTAAATAAAGTTTTGAGAAGATATTAACATTATCTCCCGGCACCCCCCACTCAGTGTTATTTAGGATACGCATATGCATGTACCCAGCACCCCCCCCCCCCTCTTTTCAGCATAAGTCCGGTGTGTAAAGTTTCTTTTGTTATATGAGCCTTTTCAGCACCCCCCTTTTCAGCATAATTTGAACTATTCGCTTGTGAGCCTGGGAGTGTACTCGGGTACCTCATTACACTGTTGTGCACAGCCTTAATTTGAACATACATCAGACTCTATTAAATCATCTGGTGAAGTCTTCTTCTTCTTCTTCTTTGGGTTAAGTCCAGCTCCTTCACAGTTGAAGATTCTTGCACACTGATGAGTGTGTGTGTGTGTGTGCTTACGAGAGCCAGGTGCACGGTGCAATGCTATTAACATGGTGTAAGTAAAAAGTTCCCGGACTTAGTTGCTGCCTCCCGTCTGTTATGATCTTTGATTATTGGTTACCTTGGTGTCTGAGGTTGAGGCTAAAGATACTATCCATCTCGAACTCTCCACTCTGTATCTTCAAGAGTTGCGGTGTGATACAGGTTCCATGTAAAGAGTTATCTGCCCAAGGATACAAAAATGTAAAAAATGCATCAGTTAGCTCAGCGAAATGTAGCAGCACGAAAGATACTTCCCAAACGCAAAATGCATAATTGTTGGAAATTCTTGTTATGACCGAGAGGTACATGTAGAAGCACATCGTTAGGATTTAGAGCTGGTACATACATAAACTATCTCGATTAGGCTTAATGTTTACCTAAACTTTCATTCAGATACCGTATGTCAAAAAAAGAACTTTTAAATTCACAAACATCACCAACCATTTCTCATTTTGCGTTTCGGATGCATCTTTTTGTATCACGTCATTTCGTTATGCTAACTTAACTACCCAAGTATTTAGTAAGTATTCTTTATGATTATTATTATCAGTATCTAAAAACTCACTGTCATCATGATTTCTTTTTACAAAAATGACAGTGCTACTAAGATAGGAAGAGAACACAATTCTCAGCAACATATCAATGAAGTTGGTAATCATGTGACTCGGGTCAAGAGGTCTGTGTGAGATAAAAGATAGAATTTGAAATCGCATCTTAGCTGTGTTAACAAACAAACACACCCGAAAAAGAAACCGAACCAAATTAGACTACATGTAGATCTAGGCCTGGTACAATACACCTCGTCTAAATTATCCATAACATTGATCTAGACAGTAGACTAGACTAGACCTAGATCTATGTGTCACTGTAACTTTACAACTGAAGATCCACAAGGCATTTTTTTCTTCTTCTCATACTTAAATTACCTCTCCTGAAAGTCAACCACAAAGCACAATGGGCTAATAATAGATCTAGACCTGAGACTAAGTAATAATATCTTTTTAATTGTTATCCCAAAAATAAGTCTTTTTTTCTTAAAAATCCTAGGAAAAAAGAAAGAAAGGTTTATTCTACTTTAATTCCTCGTTGGAATGGTCAAGCAAACAGAAGAAGGAGGGGAACGACGAGGACGAAAGGAAGGGGAATTCGATCTGTAGAGTACAGGTACGTAGAACGTAGAGCATTTCATTTCACTGATCCTGGATTCCTGACAAAAGTTGCACCGCAATGCCAGTGCCAACGGCGACCGTGACGACGGACACCGGAGCCCGCCCCGGCCTACTCCCGGAGCCGCGGGGTCGGGGACATGTCACAGAGGACAGGGCCAGTCGTGGGAGGAGCTGCTGCGGAGTCGGAGATTGCCGTTATACAATTTGTTAGGCATTCATTTGAACTTACCTTTGGTCTTTTCTTCATTTTTATCACCAGCTCCGTCTGCCATTTTCTTGTGCACTTCCGAGTCAGTCTTAAACTTATTAAAAGTTCAAACAATGCTAAAAATATATCGAACAATGTCACGATGATGTTGACGTTGGTATGGACGCCGCTCTACGATTTTTTTTATTAAGGTCTAGCCTGAGCTTCAGACGATAAGATTTCGTTTTATTATCTTGTAACATTTCAATATAATATAATTCGCACAAAATAAGCCTATATTGCAAATTTAAAAAAAAATAGTCTATCTCTTCAACAAAAAGTATGATAAAAGTTCATTAAGTAAAGCGTGCATATCAAATTTCTCAAACAGACTGGGGTGTTTGGTGCAGATAAAGAGCTAATGGTAGGCACAGACTGGGTATGAAACTAGATTCTGATACGATTTGGAACACCTGTTGGATGTTGATGCCGTCTCCAACATCAATGACTGCTTCTCAATGAAGTTTCACATTTTAATACAGTAGATTAAGGTAGATCGAGGCAATCCCAACTCCCTGGTACTACCATGCAGGGGCGGTGATCCCGGAAAATTTGAAAAAGTGCAAAAAAAAAAAAAAGTATTATAATATTAGCAAATACTGACTAAAGCACGGGTGGCCAACCCGCGGCCCTCGAGCTCTTTTGGTGATACGCGGCCCGCGGAGCATTGAAAAAGTAATTATAAAAATAGCTCATGAAATGCGGCCCACATATCAGCGATGAAATGGGGTAAAACATAATACACACAGCTATCTCTATTTCCATAATTTATTTTCATCATTCACAGCATATTGACTTACTCGTTGATACAAAACTCCTCAAATGTCCTCTCATTACATTACAACGATATTGACATCACTCGCCATGTTAATTTCAGTTTGTAATTTCCGCACGCAGTTTGAAAATATAAAAATGTTGTGAATCGAGAAATATGTTTGAAATGCCATACTTGCCTTGAAACCCCGAGGACCACATGCGGGGTTGTACCGCTCTAATGGGTGACTTTTTCAAAACAAATCTTCAACATGGGGCCCTTTTTTTGACAAAAATATCATGTTTTTTCAATAATTTCCAAAATTCCGAAAGACACCCCAAAATTGTGAAAAATGGGCCTTATTTCGAGAAAAAATCCCCCTAAATGACTCTTTAAAATGGGTAGGGATTTCGAGGCTTGAGCGGCACATCTCCGACCAAACCAAATCTGAGTACGCCCCCCCTCCACCCCCCGGGCTTGAAACTTACAACCCTTTTCTCCCGCCAATGAACTTTCTCATGAATCTTAATCGTAAACTGGATAGTCCCCTTTTCTTTACACCGCGTTTAATTAGAAGTAGCCCCAGAAATCACACTAAATCTTTTTTCCACTGATGTTGTTGTTTGCTTGTTTTTGTGTGTGCCAAGTTGCAGAGTGTGTACACGTATTAAATGAGTGTGTTTGTGTGTGTGTGTGTGTGGGGGGGGGTAGAAGACTACATATACGACCCGCCAAGTTATGACAATCGTTAGCTGTGGCCCGCGAGTTTTAAAAGGTTGGCCACCCGTGGACTAAAGACATGCAACACACTTAGGCTCTCTCGTTCACTTCTATGCTCCCTTGTCCCTCGTATTTGCCCCCCCCCCCCGGTCATAAAAAGAAATCGCCGCCCCTTATACCATGGGGGGGGGGGTATCCAATGGATGACATGTGAGAGAACTTATAGAATGATATGAGTTATAATATAGGGGAGTGTGTTTAAACTGCTGTGTCGTATTTTTTGTAAATGTTGCCTGTCCAGCTCTTCCTATCGTCCTCCGCGATCTTCCTCTCCGTTTTCTCCATTCAACAGGATTCAAACCCCTCCCCGCCATTTAATGGGAAGGGAATGTGAGGGGGGGGGGGTATTGTGCTTTACAGTGCTCGATCTGTGGAATTACTAGAAGAAAATGATCAAAATAGACCTGAGAAGTAACCACAATTTGAATTCGGAAGCTCTATCGCTACCAGTATGAATATAAACGGAGTGTATTATATAAGATGAAAATAAATTAGACTTCCTTATTGTGACCAAAATGGTATATGTGTGATCCCTTGGTTGTACACTTCAAGTAAACCGTTTTTAGAAATTTCTTTGCCAAAATAATTACACACTCTTTATTTTTAAGGTTGGTATTGATATTGGTATCGTAATTTATTTTCCATGTCACAATATTGAAACAATACAAAGAAAATGCATATACATAGTAAAATCAATGATTGGATTTCCCTTTAATCAAAATAAAAAATTATATGTCTATTTTTTTTTAGGGCTTTTACCCACTTACCATCATGAAACGCTGATAAAGTTTTTCTTTCCAAAGACATCAACGAATACAAAATTATCTAATTCTCTCTCACTTTCCTTTTCTGTCCAATACAGTTACATCTTAATATGGGCCTGTCATAGCGACAGTTTCTCATATCACATTCTCGATTTACCGATGACATGATTTTGGTTTAGTCTGCCAGTTTAGTTATAAGTGATTTCGAGTGATTTGATCATTCTCAGTTGAAGTATAGAAGGGAATCGTGGGAATCGTGAAAATTTCAGCTATCTGTTAAATTCTGAAAGTATGGATATAATGTGGTTGGTAGTCGGGGCTGTATTGTTTTATGGAAATAGAGGTATGTAAACATAATATTTATCTTTCTCTGAATTACCATGATAAATTAATGGTTAGGAACCTATATACTGAAAATCAAGGATTAAAGAAATATATTTGTAGGTATGTATAGGCCTATTTTAATGTTTCATTGTAAATTATTTTAATTTTGTTAATCAACTTGGTTTTCTAGAGGGGATCTGGTTTACTGATAAAACAAAATGATACGTATGAGATACATTTCACTATAATGCAGAAAAGGCAAACAAATATTAGAAATGTTTGATTTAAAAGAGTGGCAAAGAAATGCAACATTAAAATAACACGTGGCTCAATTGCGAATAATCAACAATAATATTCGTAAAACAAATACATTTATTTAGGAATTCTATAAATTGAATTGTTTTATATATTATAAAACACACATAAATCATATAGGCTTATTCAAAGTTTGCCACTATGCCATTTACATGCACCCCGATTCCGTTTCGTTTGTCACTATTTATCTCACGGGTAGATAGCTCAATTAGGCCTCCGTACTGAAGTATCAGAGCATAGAACTGTAACGATTGAATTTAGGGAAAGTAAATGCCGTGAGTCTGTATATCTCGGTTGATTTCCAAACTCGATGATCGGTCGCTTTATCGTACACAACATGGGTGACAAACTAGAGTTGATGAAATAACAGGGTTAGAATGATAAAAAAAAAATCATGCTCATGACAAATCGTCCAAGCAATGAATAACGAATAATGCAGGGTAATGTATTAATGCTACAATAAAATGAAGGGTGATTAATAATTAAAACTTTTAGTGTAAGCTGTCAATAATTTGATCATCTATATTAGAGTGGTCAAGTGTGACGTCATCAAAAAACTATTTTTTAGGGTTTTCAAATTTTAACTTCATTTTCCGAAAGAGCATACAAAAATAATTTCAAAATGTTGAAAACCAATTGAATATGTTCAGTATTGACTAAGATATGACCATCAAGTAAATAGGTTTCAATAGGAAATCACTGTTATTTTCTTCTTCCAGTGTAACTGCTGCTTCAAGGTAAAGACTTAACTCCGTTTCATTGACAATCAGCCATATAGACGAAAGACTTCATATATGGTTGATTGTCAACGAAACGGAGTTAAATCTTTCGTCAATTCTGTTTGTTACTACGGCAGGCAGCCAGTGAAAACGAATTCGTGTAATACAATTATGGAAATGCAATAGCGTTGCTTTCAACAAACAGAACTGTATTATTCCTAGCTCATTTTTCCTGATTAAGGTGTCATATGAAAGGGCAAAAATGAACTTTATTAGTAATGTGATTTTCTCTTTGAAATTCAGATACCGTCTGCCAAATGACTTTTTGGTACCCTTTGTTCAAATTGATTTAAATCACTCACACATGAAATATGCATCATATCAGTAACATCAAATGAAATAAGAGGATCTAAGATATTATGTGTCATTTGTCATTTTATAATTGTGGTTAAATTATAATAAAACATCGATAATTATCGGTTTCGTTTTTATCTGGGAATAACTGTATAAACACGAGATTAAAAAAAAAGCCTTTACAAATTGAATCTCTCCTTACAATTTATAACTCGAGATCTACTTATGTTTAGTTGTGACTTGTGAAAAGATATTTGACAGATATAGATATAAATAAAGAGCAGGATTTGTCGATTCCAAAACTGCTCAATCTCTTAATCATTGAGAGAATAAACTTGCTGACAAAATAATTAGACTCCTCAATTTCAGGCAAAATCAATGACGAGCATACACTTTAAATGCGTGTAGATCCATACCCTGTGCTAGTACATGCTTATGGGTGGTTCTATAGCTGCTGCTACAAAATTTTGGAGCTAAATCCGATCCTTTTTTTCTCTCTCAAAGTAGGAGGCGGGGCGGGGCGGGGCGGGGGGGGGGGGGAGTCAATTCGGCCTCGTACATTGACAGAACTATGGTTGATTTTCATAAGAGTGAGGGGAAAACTGATTTACACAAATTGTTATAATGTTTGAATATACATAATTAGAATATATATATAGAGAGAGAGAGAGGGAGAAGGGAGTGATTACTTTGTTAACAAGTTCAACCCACATTAGGGGACCACGTTATGGAGTCGGTATCCGCGCTAAAAAGAGTGGATTCTACTCCAAAAGAGCAAACCAAACCACAAGCCTGAAGCGGAATCCCATAGACGTAAACTTTGGAGAGGAGAGAAAAGTGGAGTGTTAGAAAGGTTTTAAAAAGATTTCCACTCCACCGCTTGTGTGGGAGAGAGAGACGGAGAGAGAGAGAGAGAGAGAGAGAGAGAGAGAGAGAGAGAGAGAGAGAGTTGAAAAAAAAGCGTAATAAAATTGCAACTTCTTCATCAATAATTTGTTTCTTTAATTCTCCATGCCATTCCATTCAGCTATAATAGCAGCTCCTCAAGTAGCTACGTTCAGCCATGGCTACACCAGCACAGAGACTGGCTCTCCGTTCATCCATTGCATCACTCCTGATATCAATGCTACCGTGGCGTCGGGGCGTTACGTGTACCCCCACAACAATAGAAGCGACCCTGCAGATGACCCTCCCCCAAGATTCATCGACCATGGCAATGGATACTACGTCACATCCCTCAACACATCCTCACATCGATCGTATGGTGTATTCTACTGTGACGTCACATTTCAAGATGGACAACGCACAGTGGTCCAGACAATCTTTGTCAGATCCGATGGTAAATATAAATATACTTATCATCTCTTCACTTTTTTTTGTTTTTTGTTTTGTTTTACTTTCCAAAGAAAGAACGTCATACATCGATAATAGAATGAAATATAAACTTGTTTAACAGTGGTGTAGCGTGGGCCGAGCCATAGACGAGCTACTGGCATCTAGAAGGGGGTGTGGGTAGGAGGGAGGGGCAGGGGATGTAATGAACCAACAATGCCATCGACTAATGGGTGGGTGTGGGAGAGGGTTTTTAATCTTTTTTTACAATTTCAATTTTCTCTTTCTTTAGTTTCTCCAAGGGTGGAAAAAAATAGAGGGGGAGGAAGTAAAGAAAGAGGAAATAAAAGTGTAAAAAAACAGATGATAAAACGCTCTCCCATCCATTGTTGGTCCAGAGATCGAATGGGCGTCAATCCATCATCTGGATGGCGGGCGCGGGAGGGGGGGGGGGGGGGTCGGGGGAGGGTGGTGCTAGCTTGGAATAGGCCTGTATTAATCTAACAATATTACCTTTATAAACCACATCTCCTGTATCTATAGTTCGTTTCAGGCCATGCAACTGACTTTTCACTAAGTCCTGCACTTCATATATAATAGTGTTTGTCGACCTACGATTTACAGCATTAATTCAATTTTTAAAATGTTTTACATTTTTGCTGATCTTTTCATTTCCAGCTAAGTTTGTTCCAACAACAGGCAGGTTTACCAAAACAGTCAACAAGGGCGACGTGAACGTTACCGTGGATTTCACCGAGGTTACTCCGAGTGATGCAGTACAGATCTGGAGGTTTCATGGTACAATGGCGGACCCCTCGAAGACTCTTTTCTCTTCCGCTTCTACTGATCGACAAACGACAGTGTACATCATCCCAGGAGAAGTAGATACTCCCAACGCTGGTGTCTATGAGCTTCACTCGGAAGGCGAAAGGGAGCTGGCACGCGGGGGATTGCTGAGACTCATTGTCAGAGGTACAGTCTAGAACAGCATCGATCTTGGGCTTTTAATGTCTCGATCTTGGTCTCGCCGCCGTAACATAATGTTGAATGAATGTATTGAGTTTTTCTCGTAGTCTTGGTTGATTTGGCTACAACACGAGACCAACAACACCGGTCTCGCAGGGCTTCTGAAAAATTATCCGAGGGTTCACGAGACTTATATTGTCAATCTCAAGAATCATTTTATAAAAACATAGAGTTGTGGTTACTTCGTTTCAGGGCGCCTTCTTAACTACAGAAAAATATGAGAAATCTGACTTTTTACAACATTTACCAACACTGTGTTGCTAACTTCGAATTTGAGTATGGGTTTTTGGCGTAGCTCGGTTTTGGTGGCATGTGCCCCTCGAATGACGTGAAAAGGGGAGATAGAGGAGAGAGAGAGAGAGAGAGAGAGATATATAGAGGGTGGGAGAGAGAAAGGGAGGGAGGGAGAGAGAGAGAGGGAGAGATAGAGAGAGAGAGAGAGAGAGAGAGAGAGAGGGGGGGGGGGCAGGGGGACTGGGGGACTGGGGGAGGGGGCAAGAGGAAGAGGAGAAAGGAACGTGAAAAATCAGATGACAGAACACCTACTATCTAATCAATTTACATTCCAACCACTTAGTATAATAATAATAAATATAATAACGTTTTATTTACCCAGGGTAGCCACCTCAGTTATGAAACTGCTCTTCCAGCGGGCCCTGCATAACATAATATGTTATTACTACCCTTCTCCAATCTATTATGCTGAGCGCCTAGCTAGAAGGCAGAAGGTCCCATTGTTATAAGTCTTTGGTATGACTCGGCCGGGGTTCGAACCCACGACCTCCCGTTCATGAGGCGGGCGCTCTAACCAATGAGCCACCATGCCCGGTGCCCCTAGCCCCAATATTATTATGCAATTACATTTTCCTCGATCTCAAAACAAAATATTCAAAGAAAAAAACCTGAAAAAATCAACGCTACTGCTACTGGGCAATAGCAATCTCATTCCATTAATAATACGAGAATAACGGGAGAATGATTGAAATTTGTCATCTAAATTTGAAAACAACTCATACTGTCATTGCTTGTATTTCAGCCTGTCCTGCTGGTCGCTATAACGCATCTAGTGGATGTGTGCTTACATGCCCATCGTGCTATAATGGAGGGGTCTGCCATGGTGAAACAGGGACATGTATCTGTGGCCTAGGATACCGGGGAGATAACTGTCAAATTTTTGTTGGTAAGATCAGGGGGGTGTTTCACAAAGACTACGATCGACTTTAAGTTGGACCTAACTATGGCAGGCCGTTCATGCCACTGTTTGCTGTCACCATTTACTGGCACTGGTTTATCAAGGGACGCACACATCATGGTCACAATTTACATTTTTTGATAATTATTATTAAGAAAGGAAAACATATTTATTTGAAAATCATAATGGTGAGAGCAAACATCGGCATGAACAGCCTGATTAATTAGAGTCGATCTTAGTCTTTGTGAAACTTTCCTCAGGTTTGGTATTTTGCGTTACATTGGGTCCATGCTCTTTGTAGATTTTTGTGTGAATTCGGTATATCAAAGATATATGGAATGCTTTAATATTCGAAGCATAGCTGTTTCTATACTGGCTCCCGGTGCGCCTCGTGGTCATAGCAGGATGCAACGTCCCCTTGAGCCAATAGAAACAGCGATGCTTCTCATAGCAGTTAATATATCAATACTATGCTTCAATGAATGTGACATTTACCAAAATGCATCATTTTATATTGTCAAGATCGACAAATTCATGTGGCTTAGGGGGGGGGGGGGGAGAAGAATTATTTAAGACACGTGATAGTAACAGGCACTGTGGAATGGCAGGTGAAATGTTGCTATTGAGTTCTAAATTTATAACTGATGTAATTTATCCAAACGTGCTAAAAGTAATTATTTAATATCTAGGCTGCGGTGAAAACATCACTGAAATTTGCCCCTGGTTTCATCGGGGATTCCAATTCTGCACACTTGATCCCTATGGATGTTCATGTTTACCAGGATACGAAGGATTGGACTGTTTAACAGGTATGTCGCATTAAAGATACTATGTCCCTTTTGCAGCCAAAATCATATTCTGTAGAACTTTGCAGGAATTATAAATATGTCATGTATGTCTAATTAATGAAATTTATATGTTAGCAGTGTCCTAATATTCAAATTATGCAAGGAAACCCGTTAACTTGCTAGACTTCACTGTCAGACACTACTGAGTGGTAATAATAACATCCATAAAATGAGCTGTAAAGGGTACATGAGCATTTGTCTGCATCAATAACCCACTTCTTGTAATTGCCAGAATTAAACTGATTGAATCTTTGCGCAGCATAAAACGTACGACCATTCGGTACAATGGTCTGAAAATCAGACTATTACTTACTGGCTCTATAGCTCCTAAGTCGATTCGACAACTAATAGTCGTTATTTTCCCACTTAAAGACATTTTCGAGCCCCCCTTTTTTAGGGAAGTTCTAAATTAGAATTATCTTTCAAATGCCTTTGAAATTTGGGGCTAGCTGTACCGAGACATGTCACTGTGTGTCAGGAGAGTGTAACTTGTTCACGGGAGTCTGTACGCGAGATTCTACCGAGTGTAAACCATATCCATGATTTGACAAATATTATTCTACCTTAAAACAGAGTGTAACCGGGGTCAGTTTGGTGCTAGCTGTACCGAGACATGTCACTGTGTGTCAGGAGAGTGTAACCGGTTCACTGGAGTCTGCACGGGAGATTCTACCGAGTGTGAACGAGGTAGGACAGGGGTAAACTGCCAAGGTAAGACCTGAAGAAAATTATTTGTATATTTTATATAAAGTTATGCTGAATTTTTTTTAATGTCTTGTCAAGCAGTTATATTATGAAAGAAACGATTTCAAAGTAATTGTGAAAGGTTTTGTGCAAGGTTCTGGAGTCATCAAAGTGATAAGAAATTAACTAAATTTTGCTAAGATTCATTTTGTATGGCACACAGAAACTTGTTTATGGAACTACACAAACACATTTGCAATGACAGTTTTCTTTCAGAATGTTTCTCGTTATATTTCCAATTAGACGGAAATTATTTTTCAGGGAACGTTTCTTTAATGATATATTCTCACAAAGAATGAGAGAGCTCAGTCACCTTAAAATATCATTACCTTAACCATAACTCAACCTTATGTATGTGCTAAAGTATAGTTTTGGCTTAAAGAAGTACGAAATCTACTTATTTATCTCCTGTTTTTGAAAGAACAAAAAAAAGCAAATAAATCAACCCTTTGCTATAAAAGAACTACTCAAATGTATTCCCTTTATTTCCAATTTTCAGTAAAATCAGACAAGAAACCGAAGAAAGTTATGAATCTTTGAAAGAATTGATGAGTTATATAAAAACAGGAGATTTTATTGAGTAATAGCCCAAATTAATCAAAATACTTTCGCCACATTAAAAGACATCAGAATCTGCTGGAATATTTATTGAAAGGAAAAGTAGAAGGTACCAGGCTAAGAGGGGAATCCAAGAATTAACTGGGAGGGGATGACACTGCAAGAGTGCACAAGGATGGCAGAAAACAGAGATGTGTGGACAAAATATGTTGCAATCAGCCTCCGAACTGGAAGAAGATACCTTGCTCGATTTCATAACTAAGGATCAACATTCCTCATAACTACTCTATAGCAGACGGTATTGTCAACACATTTAAGCTTAAAACTCATGAACAGGAAACAACTAAATAAAAACCTTTGCGGTCAAAGTTGCATCACTCATGACGATTCTTTTTTCTTCTTTCGTTGTGATTGGCATCTTTGCGTAACCAAGAATGTTTTCTTCAAAGGCGCTAATTTGCTTGCGTTTTCACTTTCTAAATCTTGGACGGAAATGTTAATCTTCTATATATGGTAGCACATCGTTCGTATATAGGACCCTAAATGGTTGCATCTAGATTTAAAAAATGCGAAAGTCAATGAGTCATTGAATAATCAAATCGTTATGCTTCTTTATACAGTGCGTCCCAGAAAAATCGAAACCGAGAATTATCGATGTCACATGACACATAAATGACACATTATTTGTAAAGCTTAGATCCTCCTCTTTCATTTGATGCCACTCATAATATGCATATTTTACGCATGAGTGATTAAAAACAATTTGAAGAAAGGGAACCAAAAAGCCCTATGGTGAACGGTATCTGAATTTCAAAGAGAAAATCACATTTCTTTCATATGACAACTCAATCAGGAAAAATGAGCCAGGAATAACAAAGTTCTGTTTGTTTAAAGCAATGCTTGCTTTCCTTGATTTTATTAAACGAATTCGTTTTCATTGGCTGCCTGCCCTAACAACAAACTTAGAAGACGAAAGACTTCATGCATAGCTGATCGTCAACGGAACGGAGTTATGTCTTTGATTATTGCATTACCATATAACCCTTATAATTGCCCTTGTACCTTTTACATGTTTAGAATTAATTTGTATGTACTTTTAAATTTTAATGTTCTTTGAACTTGATTTAAGAGCAATATGTTGAGTAAACTATTTAATATTAACCATTGTGAATAGTAATAAAAATAACAGTATTGATATAAATTATTGTTATCATAATATTGATACTAAAATAGTAAAAATAATGATAATGATAATAACAATAAGATATAAGAATACTACAATAGTAGTATGGTGTAGTGGTGTAGTCAATGAGTGCTAACTGGCACTGCTCGTAAGAAAATAATTTCTGTTATTTTTACTTAATCTTTGTCATTATGATCTTATTGCTTTAATTATGACATGTTATAACCTATTTTGTTTCCTGTAATTTTGATGTTTGCTTTTTTCTATTGTACAAAACCTGTAATTCGGCTAACTACTACTACTACTACTACTACAACTCTGTTTGTTGCTATGGCAGGCATCCAGCTTTGTATGACAATGTTGTTTTGCTTCGTTTGTTTATTTTCTTTTTTTTAATCCGCTTTGAATCGTATGAAAAGGCGCTTTATAAATGAAATGTTATAAATGAAATGTTATTAATTAAATGTAATTTTAGCTTATGCCATTAAATAATTAAAAATTTGACCTATTTTTCAGAAAGCACATAGATTTGACCTAATTAAACCGCCATATTTGACACGAAATATAGATTTTAAACAATACATATCTTAAGATGATTATAACCGGCTTGAACATGGAAATTTACATAAAAAGCCTAAACCAAAAGCATGCTTATGATGACTATTTCATGCATTCTGTCCAATTTTTTTCTCCAGAATGCCACATTGGAAGATATGGACCAAACTGTGATCGTGAGTATAGCCTCGTTTGTAAAAGAATGGATCGAAGAGTTTAGTCTTTAATATCCATTGGGAAATCTAGCATATAGGTTTACGCCAGTAAACGTCTTCTCATTTGAAGCCAGACCCCCCCCCCCAACTTCAAATCAAAAGACAGATAAGTAATCCAAAATTGTTTTGTTTCCCAATAAATTTTAGCTGATTGGACACATAATAAATAAACTAAAGATAAACCTATCTGTAGAGGCGAATCAAGCAAAATAGTGCCTTGATCATAGCATGCCTGGTAAATGATCTAATAAATGTTTGCAAACAATGCAACTGAATCTGTCTTTTATTCAGGTATTCACAATGATGTGTATGCGACTGTGTGTGCGCGCGTGTGTGTGAGAGTTTCTGGCCCGGAATACCCGACAACCCACCCATCTCGGATGGTCGGTGACAGCAAAATATAGCTTTTATGTCATGGTTATATACCATAAACATGAATTCATCCCTCATGATGTCCACACACGCACACACACACACATTCACACACACGCGCGCGCGCGCGCACTCTAATCACTCACCCACATTGACCCACTCACACATCAGCACACGCACACAACAAAGACGCACGACGATTCCAAGTCCCCGTTTGTATATAGTTTCATTTGTATGTACTTACTTCTTGCTGCAGTGTTTACCTTGGTGTATGACAACGCCAACAAGGGGGAGTTCGCCGAGTTTTACTGCACCCTCGAAGGTGTAAATTTCATCTCTACAGCTCAACCAGTTTTCAAGCTCTACGGAAAATTCGATAACGAAAGTTTCAACGAGATAAACATCACATCCAGTGAAAAAGGCATCGACAACCAAAATCAAGAAGTTAGATTTTTGGTCAATAATGTGGTTGGAGGGATATTTTACTGTACTCTCTCTGATGTCAACAACTTCAGGACTGAGGATCTAGTAGCCGATGGTCCATTAAGTGAGTGAAATATTATCTTTTGGTGGTAAAAGGAATCTCCTTCACAAATCACCTTCATAGTAAAGCCATACATTCGCTCGGATTCCGGGTAGATTGTTACTTTTTTAAATTGATTTGCCAAACTTTCCGTGTCTACAAAAAGCTCTGTCCATGCATATTGTCTGCCGTTTTCATCCGTTTCCTGCATTTTGATCTTTGCAGTTTACATCAATATACATGAATACTAGAAATCCAGTTACTCATCAAATTATGTAATGAATTATCAACCTAAAGTTTGGTAATTTTCAACAAGTGTTTTATTATGCAGGGTATACATTTACACTATTCCCAACCCTTAAATCGATTTTTAAAATTAATTTGTCAATCTAGTTGAGCTTGGAGTGAGGTTACATGTATATACATAACTATTATATACATGTATATATATCTTTATATATTTTTGTTTAATTCTCAAATAATGCTCATTCCGTGACAACATAGGTCATTTTGGCAGAAATAGGGCCTAGGATGTCGTTTAGAAGGAATGTCTATTTGTCTTCCGCTACAAAAATGATTTGAATGTAAATCAAGTTTATTAGCATCTGTGAATGTACAAATTAACAGTTCTTGAACTTGCCAGACTTTTCCCAGACTAGACTTCCACAGATCTGAAGTGCTAAGTAAATTTTTGTTAGGTTAAATGTACGTTTATGATTGTGAAATTGATTTATTTGACCGAAGTTCCACCCGAGATTCCAAGTCCACCTGTTGTGAGTGGATCGACCAATGACTCCGTAACGCTGATATGGAACGTCTGGGATGCTACAACAGATATTGGTGATCCTCCTCTAGAGAGGTACCGTGTGTTCCACAGGCTGGTCAGCTCACCATCACATGACCTTCAGGAATTGGTCAAGACTGACCTCCTAGCACCATCTGAAACAGTGGCTGGTCTAAATCCAGACACGAACTACGTGTTTGGTGTAGCAGCAGTGAGACCTGGACCGGGAGGCCAAGGGGCCAGACTGGACGTTCGTGGAAGAACGAAGTGTACTCGTAAGTTTCCGTGGTTAGTCTAGCCTAAGCGTGACAATCATTGTTAAGACGAGATGTTTATTCAACCTTCATATTAACCACTCATAACATGGACCCTGATACTGACGCTGATAAACAAACTTTCATTAAATTCAAAAGAAATTTCATTTCCAGTTAAGAGGTTGCATTGTGAAGAAAAAAAGGAAATGGGAAAGATTTATTATGTAGTACCTATGAATATGTGTATACTGTCATAACTGTGAGGTTTCGGAATCATCAAAATGGTAGGAAATATACCCATTCTTGCTGGAAGTCATGTGAACTGCACACATAATGTGTATATGGGACTACACACGCACGAATGTTGATGAATGTTTTGTCCAAACTTTCGCAGCTATATCTCATAACATTACGAAAATGAGGAATATTTAAAAAACAATCCCTTCTAGGGGATATTTGTTTTAAGGTGATCTTACAAACTAACAACAAAAGAACAAGAGAACTCATAAATTTTCTTTGCTAGAATTCAGCCTTATGTTTAAATGGCTCTGATTTCAGTAATTTCAATAGTATTTTAAGATTCATAGACTTTTGTTTTTAAGATTGATCTAAGCGCTCATGTTTTATTCATAAGCGCTTAGATCAATCTTGAAATCAAAGGTGAGGGGATAAACATATCGGCCCGAATTCACAAAGGAGGTTTGTCGACAAACCTTGGTTTTCGTACGTCATATGACGCGTTTTACGCGTTTTTTACAAACCTGGTTTGTAAAGAACAAAAGGAGGTTTGGCGAAACAAAAGGAGGTTTGAGCTCAAACCTTGGTCTGTGCTCAAACTTTGCTTTGTGAATTCGGGCCATAAAGTACACGAACAAATCATTCACGGACCATGACTCTTTTCACTTTGTTCATTTTAACAGCACCCTCCGGTATTCCAGTGTCATTCACAACTTCTTCGTCCAAGATTCCCGGAACAATACTAGTCACTTGGCAGGTGAGAACATAATTATGAACATCCCCTACCCTCAACAAAAATAAAATAAAATTAGAATGAGAAAAAAAGGAAAAGGAAACATGAACAGAAGATGAAAGGGTATGTCCCACCAAGTAATAAAGGTATCCCCTTGTTACCGACGCCTCTTTTGAATCTGGACAGTTGCCACTTTAAGAAATGTTTAAGTGAAACAAATATATATATATATATATAGTATTTGTATGCTTGTATTATCGTGTTACCAAAACGCCTGTACCAAACTAATTTACAGCCGTCGATACTATCAAATCAGTATTGTAAATGTATTTTTGTGTTTCGATGTGTATACCATACAAAGAAATGAATTAATTTGAAATATAAATCTTAAAGTATTACCGGGCAACATGCTACCTCTGCAAAAATGAATAAACAAATTAGTTCTTCAAAACGTTAGTTCTTCTTTTGTTTTGTTTCTCCGTTTACCGTCATTGACTGTAGAATCCGCCAACTGCCGACGCCAATTGTCGAGGTGGGTTCACAGGTGTCAGAATACACTGGGAAGCCGTTGGATCTACTTCAATCCCCGAGGGTAAAGTTGATGTCCATCTGAACGCATATAGTGGGTATTACTTGACTTCACTGGACGCGAATACCAAGTATGTTTTATCCGCTGCAATGCTAAACCGCGATGGAGAGGGCCGGAGGAGTGAGCAGTCTGAGGCTGTACTTTTTGAAGAAAGTAAATCCATATTTGTTTTCTGTTTTTGTTTGTATTTCAAGTTTTCATTTAATGGTGGGAATGATTGTAGAGAGAATAACGTTCATAACTACCGCCACAATCATCACCATTACAACCATCATAACCACAACTTCATTACCATAGTCTCCCATTAAATATTCGTTCCTGCTCCTAAGTCCAATCATTCAAAACTTATTTGGTTTCTTTGTGATTGTTTTTTGACAAGGCGTTGTGTGGAGCTGTGTGAGATGTGAACGAGGTTGTGTACTGTATGAACCAGGCCTGGTTCATGTGGTGCACAGCTTTTTGAATAACTTTACACAGCTTAACACACGAAATTTACAGTGTATGCGCTTGGAGAGCAAAATAAGTATTCTATTTTGTTTACTAATGTAAAGCGCTTTGAGCATGTTTATGTAAAGGCGCTACATTAATATCAATATGTACGTATGCATGTATCATCATCATCATCGTTATCCTTATAATCCTCAGGCTCTTTAGTCTGAAACCTTATTTATCTGAAGGTCCATTATCAATTTCCTCAATAAACTTATCAATAATAAGTCTGATTCGGATGATATTAATTAATATTGATGTGTGGCATGATTAATCTTGTTAGGGATGTTATTTGGATCTGCAAAGACCGAATCAATACCCAAATCCCAACTGTTTCATTCAAACATAAGCCGTTGGCGCAAGTTGACTGTTGCACCCTCTTAATGTCTCCTGGTCATCAAAACGTGAACACATACCACACAAAAATTATACCAAATGATTCGGGATGAAGCACTCTTTCATAAGATGTATAATAGTTTATTGTTCATAGATTATTTTTAAAATAATTAGCAATTTTCTACTAGGTGTAAACTTTGTCTGACTCACACTGTATAGTACCATTTTCCTCCTCATCTACGGTTTGATCCAAGCTCAGGTGATGAACATGTCTTCATGGAATCATCACTTTTACTTAAAACTGTAATGTTGTTGGTGACGTATGCATGGGACAAAAATACCTTGCCCGTATAGTTCCCGAATAAATAAGACCTTCACATAAACAAAAAACCCGATTGCAGATGCCATGATCTGCTGATAAAGATTGGAACCATTTTAATCACCTTCCAGACATTCCAGAGGCAAAGCAGTACTCACTGGGTACTGTTCTATCAGCTAGCATCATCCCTTCAATCATAGCTCCCCTTTGTGCCATCTTCATTTTGATCTTCCTTTTTCGAAAGTAAGAAACAATTTACTTTTATCAATTTACCAATTTGATTTTTTTTCTTCTATACTTTTACCTTTTATCGATTCAAAGAAATAAAAGTGATTACTTCGCTTTAATGCTTTCATCATAACAATTGCTTGGGATTCGAAAATAAGTATTCATGCAAAACTATGTGTAACTCGCTACTAAGCCATTCCGGACTTTGTTATTTCTGTGATTATTTTTGTGGGGGGGGGGGGGGGGAGGGTAATCACTTGTTTATACTAATGATAATATTGGAATGATATTGACAGCGTACCAGTCTCAAATTTTAATGAACTGTGATGTCACATGTCAAATATTGTTTTGTGTAATCTTACAGACGTTTATGTAAAGTAGGATCCTCTGAACAAGAAGAGCATGAGATGGCCACCGTACGAAGTACCACACCAACCGATCCTCCAGGAACGGATGCATACATGGAACTGGAACTCTATGAACGAGTATCCGACGATGGAACCGGTTACCAAGAACTTGATCTGAAAGCGGGTCATTCGAAAAACCGTACCCATGATTCGACAGATTATCTTAATGTTCCGAAGGGTCCGATCGGTAGGAAAAATTTCTTAGCTCGGAATAAGGCGTCTGCCGATAGCCAGACATGCCAGAAGTGCAATAACTCTAAAGAAAATGCTACAAATTAGCGTCCGTCCTGTCTTTCTGGCACCCCCAAAAACGAAGTGTAAATTATTTAGAGATATATTCACATGACCAAAACTAAATGAACTGAATTACCATAATTTTTTATTTTTTTATTTAGCAGCTAAGTTTCCATTGATACATATATATATACACACATGGCATTATCTGTTACATGTATTAGAATAACAGATCCATATAATTTGAAAATACATAACATCACAAAGGTAAACGTTTAAAGGTTGAAAATAGCATATGCTACTTTGCTAATCGCAAAGTGAACATGCACGTGCATTTATAATATTCCCAGATCATATCGTACGAGATTTAACAACAATAAGGGGTGATGATATATATATATATATATATATATATACACACACAAAACAATAATGTAGAACTGTCTAAAAAACAGATTTGAAATTTACACATTAAAGCACCGATGGCGTGACTGTGAACATTAAGCACATTATGTCCAGCTGTTTACAGTTGAAGTTATTTGTCTCGTCTAACAATTTAGCCATGCTAGAAATAATCGTTGCTAGAAGTTGCTGAAGAAAATCATTGACATATTATTTCAGAAATTTACAACAGAAGTTACACAGTTACAAACAATACATTTTGACTCTAAATCAATAAGAGATATTTGGCTTTAAATATCACTCTATTTGTACAAAGAACAAATTATTACCGATTTCAGTCATGAAACATTTATGTACAGGTATCTTGGTCTAGTGGCTACGTCACCAGACGCACGTGTTTGAAAGAAAGTGAATTTAAGCAATCTGACGTAGAATATGAACAAAAATGATTAATGAAGGCTCACAAAATATCACTGGTGGTTGGGGGAAAAACACTCTTGGAGAGGAGCTCAGTCAACCATTATGTACAGAAGATAAAGACCGAGTAAAGCAGGCGTGGTTGAGGGTCGACAAACGAGGCAAGTCCTGGGCCCTGTGTCATCAAACTTGTTATAAATAAGAAACTTGTTATCAATAACTAATTACAATCACTGTTATAAGCTTCTAAAATCGTGGCATCTGATTGGCTGAGAGCTAATTTGTCATCGTATTTTAGCATTTATTATCGATAACAAGTGTTTAGAAACAGGGTTTTGGTGTATTCTGGACCACGCTAATAAAAAGCCTTGTTCACGAATAGCAGGGTTTTGAACGCAACCCCTCGACGTACATGCATGACAGGCGGCCAGTTGGACAGTTTTGCAGTATGGGTCCAAATCGGCGCAGAAAATACAAGCCGGGCCGTTGAGCTTTGTAGTCTCTGAAGTCGCTCGAGGCAGACTTAGGGTCCAGAAACCTTAGTATGTTTGGAAGAATTGCCTCTCCTGGAGCAGGAAGAGCGAAGTAACTCGTAGATGAAGACCAGTATCTCCGTCGCTGATATGAAAGACATTCCTATGTAGAGACCCAATAATCCACCTAAACTTCCGAAAAGAGATTCCACCTTTTAATAGAGAAAAAAATTGATGTATACATTTGAGATATCTCACGCGGTTGGTCTCTAACATGCGACATAATTAATCTTCCTGTGCTGTATTGTATTTATAGTGGGATATGTATGGTCAGGCGCGTATCTCACATCTTTAAAAATTACAAAACCTGGTAAGGGTATGAGTAATTTAGCTGGTAATTGTATATCTTTTATGTAATTTTTGTAGAGATTTGTGTATACTATATAAACGTTGAAATGGAGGACAGCATAATATTAGGAAAGATATTTCGAGGATGAGAATCAGAGTAAGAATGATTAATTTAACACATCTCGGCATACCCTAATGCTTTTACAAGGGAATACTGCTCTAAATTAAACCATTTGTTCACTATTAATTTTTAGAATATAAGACATCATAACATACCGTTATCAATGGACTTTCCACGACATTCTCGAAGTTGAGTTCTTCATAAAACACAGACAGGCGCACAAGATTATTTCTAATAAAAAAAGGGGTAAAGTAACGAAAGAATTCGGGGTAAATCCATTATCATTATGGCTATTATTATCATTAATACTAACATTGCTATTTTTATTTTATATATCAATATTATTATTATTGATATCAATATCATTATATGTATCAACATTACTACCATTGCTATTATTATTAGTGTTGTCATCATTACTATTAACGGAAAATCATGTCATTTCAGCAACATTTGTAAATCACTGGTATCGAATTAGAAATAAACCACGTCTGAAATTTATTTGGGGGTCAACTGCCCCCCAAGCCCCCCCCCCCCCCCTCTTATCATCATGCAACATCATCATCATCATCATCATGGCTTTAGCTTTTAACTAACGGATCCAAGATCCAAGATCGTTTTGAATGGGGAGGGAAAGGGGTATACCAATAACACATTTTCCACATCAGAAATGTGAACCTTGCTCGGGGAGGCCGCATGAAGTATCAACCCTGGAACGGTTTTGTACGAATGCCCCTGCGCCCTATAAAGTCTATCACTACTGCGAATCACAATGGGTTATAGGCTACCTCTATGCCCCAGTCTAGCGAACAAACATCTTCATTGAATGCATGTACCTGTTCAACTGTTGATTTAATACTGCTATGGTTATTCAGACTTTGAGTTAAAAACAATAAAACAATTAAAGACAAGAAATTTTTCCTACCTCGATTGCGCCACATTTGTAAGAATTCTAGCTGCTTTCTTGTTGATCATGGCCAGTCTGTCATACAAATGAGCCTTTAAAACATAATTTACGATACAAAACATTTATCTCATATATGTATCTTATTCGTATGATTCAGACTAATTCTTCTGTTGGGTATGAATGAAGAATTGGGTTAAAACCAATTTAACCCGGATGACCGTCCATCGATTAAAATAAAAACCTTATTCGATGAAAATACAACTTTATATCAATTGAAAGCTAAATAAAAGTAGAATTCAAATATAAAAGAATACAAAATACTTTCCTTTTCAGCATTGCACAAAAGCAAATAAAAAACACAATTTCCGCACCACTCCAAATTACGGGTCAACAGGGGTCAAATTTGCCGCAATTACGGTGGTACGGTGACCGTACGGTTTCGAGAGTGGTCTTTGACCAAGTCGCTCTGCGGAATAAAATTGGCCGATGTGACGCGTTAGTGGTACGGAAAAAATGATCGCGAGCGGCTAGTGAATATACTAATCGTTAGCTTTCTTCTGGTATTAAACTTGTTTATTGTTGTCGGAGTTTACCCATTCACATAATGGAACTACCTGCCCGATGAAGTCAGTGGCCCGTGACCCCTGCACTAAACACTGTATGGGAGTTAGTTTGAGGTCTACTTCTTTTACGAGACAAATCCAAGGAAACGTTTCCATATATCATGGCAGGTACAATTCGGCCAAACTGAATGATGACAGACAGAAAAAATCTGAACGCATGTAATCAGAATACAATAAAAGGAAACATTTTCTTCACAAAACTTTGCAAAGAAATTGAACTTTATATTTGCAAATATTTTGCTCAGCAATGTTAACATGTATCGCCTCTCAAGTAAACATATTATGGAGAGAAATAAGAAATATAACGGAAAAAGCTCACAGCAGCTATGCGTACCCCAAAATACAAATATTGCCATGTTCGGATAATGCAATACGTCATTTGTTTATGTTAAAGCATTTCAAAAGTTGACAAACATGGCTATTGCAAAACAAAATATTTGCGATTGTGTTGTCATAATAAACCTTCCTCCGGATGTAAAAAATATGTAATCAACTACGTGAGGGGGAAATTATGCTTATATATTAGCCAATTATGCCATTTTTACATCTATTATCCATCCTATCTGTGATTACTAACCTCGTGTCTTGTGGCAGGCCATCTTGAAATTGCTATCCTCGGGTTGAACACAGATTCACTGAAAAAAAGAAAGTCATAACATTTTACAATGTTCTGATTTATTAGAAGTTATTTCTCATCGTATATTATGAACTATACTGGAAGAGCGATCCTATTCAGGGGATTTTACTTATATGATATTTTTCCACTGGCATCACAAAAAGAAGGGAAAGTAAGCTTACAACTTATGTTCATCTTTACCGGGTTTCAACCTAGTCTGTAAAAGTAGCAGGCTAGATCTAGAGCCGGCTCTTGTTTCGTGCGGTTCTCATCTCGTAACATCGCGAAATGTGGCAAAAAGCATTTAATGTAAAGGTGTTATGCATTGTGGGTATAGTTCACAATTGATTTTACTTCAAAGATTAAGACAAAACTTTTTTTTAATGCCGACGTCGATGCATATAATATCAGGCGACAGAAACGCATCCCCAAATGAACATGTTGATACATAAACTTACCTACAAGCGTTTGAACAGTTACAATTAAGTCTGTTTCTTATGAAGTCGCTAAAGACTCGGTTCCTGCAATTTCCTAAGGAAAAGAAGTTGTGAAGAAAACAAAATTTAAATAATTTTGTAAAGTTGTCGTAATGGAGTCCACTTGACTGGAGATGCAAATCATCGGCTCAGCGATCTCTCCTGTCAGGTGTTTAACGGTTCCCCGCTATATGAAGCCGATGACCGATGTAATGATATTTATGTAAAGCGCTTAGAGATATCGTCGATATACATTTTTTTAAATTCAATTTTTAGTGAATTAAAACTGAAGACGTCCAAAAGTTATGATTTTTCCGATGTCATGTTTAAATTTTCATTTTCATGTGGATATTGAATTATATGAAAGTATTCTAAAAAAAAAAACGTAAAATAGAAATGTCATAAGTGGTTCATTATTTAATCATTTTAAAGTACTGCTGTTTACATTAAGTATGAGGGGACCCTGAAAATTACAAGCTCTGCTTTTAACAGGATCTCCTCGTCTTTCTTTTAGTTAACTTTGTTTTTATCATTGCCACAATTTGTTTGTTTTTTGCATTGAAAGTGTGTAATGATCTAATGTTATGCTCTATGTGACATTTGAAAGAAAGACGAATACATATCTAATCTTATCTCATCTTATGTTTCCTTCAAATAATACATGAATTAGATATTCTAGATAATGAATGAAAAACAGAAATATTATTCACACAAATCTAAATGTGCTTTCAAAGTGTATTTGTTTGTTTTACCTTGTTCTCTGTTAGTGACCTGACACATGGATCCAGTGATGAGAATATCCGTGACGCATGAGCACTCAGATTGCAGGGTTTTCTGAAGACAAAGCTTTAAACATGAACGCTGGGAGAAGTCGTATTTTTCCGGATCATAATATGACGTATGTTTTCTCATACAATCGCCGTACGGCTTAGGGAGTCGAGAAATGGAGGTCTGTCGTAAAGATAGGGAGATGAATAACAATACAAATATTATTATTCTTACTGCTAGTACTTCTGCTACTACAACTGCCACTACCACTACCACTACCACCACCACCACCACCACCACCACTACTACTACTTTTACTATTCTAAAAGATAATGGTAGTATTTATTTTTGTTTTTTTCTTCATATTCATCTCTAGAGACGCTAATTACGCGTACAAAATAATTTCGTTTAAATATTCGAATGCAAAAACAAAACCAATCCAGCAAACAAACAAACAAAAACAAATAAACAAACGTACATCAAGTATATTAATACATTTTTGAACTCTGACAAAAAAAGAAGTGTGTATAATGAAATATTAGGGTGGATGCCGATGCATGTGTGGGTGTGGTTATGTGCGAGTGTGTGTGTGTTTATGTGCGAGTGTGTGTGTGTATGATTGGAAGTGGTTGCACAGTTTTAAGAGAGGGAATAGATATAAGAACAAATTAAGATTCATGAAAACGGGAATTCAATGGTACTGCTTGTTAAATAAACATCTTTTCTAGACCAACGGGTCGGTCATAAGTGCCGACTCGTTCGCCTATTTAGCGAATCCTATAATTAATGTTCGTGATGTTTCCTGTTTCGAACCAAGATGAAAGCGTTATTAATTTGAGAAATTTGCCAACTGTAATTTTGTATCTTTTTTCTATCTTTTTATTAATATGATTTTGCGGTAATTAGGCAGCAAGATGAGATAAATGAAATAAGATAAGATTATACATATAATATAAGATAAGATGATATGATATGATAAGATAAGTAAAGATTAGAAAACATGAGTTTAATTTTTTTTTAGAGATGGTAAGATAAGGTAAGTTAAGATAACATATAGGCCTACATAATTATAGGCCTATCTGTATGCACTAAAAGAAACTACGGACTTTCAGCCTTAATCTGTTACCTATTAGTTATAATTACTAATCTTATAGCAAATCTATATGCTTTAGATCTAATTCATATACAGATTTTAAAATTCAACGCAAATTTGTGAACAATTCACAATGGTTGAATAACATTTTGGAAAGTTTTGACGGAGATTTTTTCTAACGTGGGACTGCTCCAATACCTTTTTGATTCCGATGGAGGTTTTAATGCCAGGTGCTGCCTCGATGCCATCGTCCTCGGGGAACGCGTAGATTCGGGGGTCGTTGATAGCGACTTTGACCCCAGAATCCGGGCTGAGAACACCGATGTACTCGGGCTGCTCCAGCATCAATGTCAGTTGAAGGCCTGGTTTATAGGAGAAAAAGGAGAAGAGGAAAAGTACTCCATATTAAAGCGGTGTTCTATTAATTTCTTGCTCAAATGGGCAGCGAGGTTGACAAACTCTCAGGAGAAAATAGCACAGGAATTTAGCAAGGTAATGGAAAGTTTATCCTTTTTTAAGGTGGTAAACCTTAGCAAATGCCATGTTATACAGTTTATTGGGGGCGCAATATTTAACAAGAGGCTGATGAAACACAATATCGAGAAAAACAACAATAATTTATACATAATGTTAACCCGATATACAAACAGTACCTTTTATATTCGGGTCAACATGACAAGATTCTCAAGCAACATATGGGAGCGCGCAAAGCGACCGAGATTTAGAAGAAAAAAACGTTTTATACCCACAAAACTAAGAGCACATTTTTTTTTTAAATTTGAAATTTGAAATTTGAAAAATTGACCGATCGATATTTCGTTCCGTTTGGGGGGGGGGGGTTAAGGTCACCCTTTTTTGTCTACCCATTAGCACAATTTTTTATTTTTTATTTTTTTTAAATTAAAAAAATTAAAAAACAACACACACACAACAACAATTTGAGGGGGGGGGGGGTTTGACCCCCCCCCTGCGTACGTGCCCGGACTAAATTATAAGGTTGGTAGAAGCTTAGACTGCAATTCAATTTTCTTTACCATACTGAGATCCTGTTCTTGATGTCGGCGTGCGCTTCTTTCTCTTCAATTTATGTGCGTTGTTAAACACGAAACAGTTCCCATACTCAGCGTTCTGGATGACGGTGAAATTTCTACGGGAAATAAACAATAATGAAAATTGAAAGTTTCAATAATAAGGTTTTATATAACAACCCCATTCCACATGTGCACAATTCTTTCAATAATTTCAAAATTCCATTAAATATTTATGAACAAACAAATGCCTATAATGATGTAGTTCACAAATCTGCCAAGGGGTTCCTGGTCATATTGATTGAAACATCGCCAAATTGATGTACAGTCGTAATGATTAATCTGAATTTGAAATCCGATAAGATCTACGTTTACTCATCTGAATTGAGCATTCAGTTTAATTATTGATTGCACGAAGAACCATTGATTACATCACGCAGTTTAATCAAACTGTACCCTTAAATCGAAGAAAATTGTATTCCAAAGGCACACGAATGTATGGGAGCTTCCGATTAGAAATTCGAATAATCAAATGCTTAGGAAGAAAGCAAGTTCTGGATATCAGCCAATTTTAAACAATGTATGGTTCCTTTTCTAGTCCAAATATATTTTAAAATACGATAATTCTTTTTGCTTTCGTTACTATCTCCCTTTCTTTCTTTTTTGTTTTCTTGTTCGGTGTGTGTGTATAGGGGGGGGGGGGGGTGGGTAGGCACTATTGCTATGATGCTAATGGTTCTATGACGGTTCTGGGCAATAACCCCCGGAAAATTATTCCCAAGAAAACCACCCCCAAGGACAAATACCCCCGAAAATTCACCCGGAGAAATACCCCCCGAAAAAAAACACAGTTCCCATACTCAGCGATCTGGATGACGGTGAAATTTCTACGGGAAATAAAGAATAATGAAAATTGAAAGTATTAAAGGTAATACAAAGTTTTGGGAAATTGTGAAAATTGGGTGGATACTGAATCTTTACAATTTTAATATATTTGGATGCCCCTGTGGATGTATTATAAGCACTATAAAAATTAACCCCTAAAACACTTCTGTTTTCGAGAAAAATTAAATATACAAATTTACCGGTGCTCCCGGTAAATTTTGATAAATTTCAAATAGCGCCTACAGCCGTACAATAGTAGCTGCGAGCATAAAAATCTCAGAATATGTCGTTGTGATATATAATTTCCAAACGGGAATAGCTAATCGGGCGATTTTAGTCAAGAATTATTGTTTCATAGCTAAAGTGATATTTTGACCTTGAGAGGGAGCTATACATCATAAAGAGTTTATTATTTATAATTTCATAACTTTAGACTCGATTTCAACCGGTACAACGATCAATGAATATTGTAGGAACGCATGTGCTTCCAATATATTAATTTGAACCAAATTCATGACCCCATACCAATACTTTGTAATACTTTTAATAACCAGGTATTATAAAACAACCCTATTACACATGTGCTTAATTCTTTCAATTAATTAAAAGATTCCCCCCAGAAAACTACCCCCCAAGGACAAATACCCCCGGAAAATTACCCCCCCCCGACGATAATTACCCCCAAGGACAATTACCCCCCGGAGAATTACTCCCCTCGATCTCGGGGGTAGTTGTTCTCGTGGGGGGGGGGGGGGTAATTGTCCTCGGGGGTAATTCTTCGGAGGGTAATTTTCCGGGGGTAATCGTCCTTGAGGGGTAATTGTTCCGGGGGGGGGGGTAATTTTCCGGGGGGTGATTTTCCAGGCGGTAATTTTCCAGGGGGTGATTGTCCTGATACGGATTCTAACGTGTAGTTGATATGTTTTCTATTCACATCTCGACCGTACATGTACATCTTGATCGAGTATTGTTTCGCTTCCTTTTTCAATAAAAAAGCAAAATATAGCTATTTACTTATAGCTGCATGCCTCTGTATCGAAGGTGCATTGTAGAATGAAGTCTTTGGCCTGGTGTCCAAGCATACGCATCTCCTCTCTTGTCGGTTTGACGTAGTTCTTAAAATTAGTATAGTCGCTCGCCTTCGAATGATTGTACAATGCTTCCCAGTCGTTTGGGTCTTTGATGTCCTCGATGTCGGTGTAATCATATTCATCGTCTGAATCTAAATCATACAAAAATAGGATATATCCTTGGTTATCTTACATTGTTTTTGCATTCATTTTCTAATTATGTACAATAATATAACGTATTTCCGTAGTTAAATGTCGTAATGCTATAATAAAAGACGAGATGTAAATATTACTTCTGTAAAGAGATTTTGCAAGTTTATTAATAATACACTCTTGTGAGTATAATTATAAACTAGAAATGCAATCGTGTCAGAACGATGTGCGTGCAATGACGCCATGTTTTTACGTGTCAAAGGAAAGAGCATCTTTCGGACTAGTTACGCAGAGTATGAAGTAGCATTTAATGTCATGCTTGACCGATTTAAAAAATCTGGCTTCTTGATGCTCTGCACTTGGCCACTTAGAATGTGCCTGTAAAATTTCGAGAAAAATAAAGATCGTTCTGGGGTCCGGAAACGTGAACCCGATTTGCCCCATAGACAATGCTAGTAAAGCATGGGCGGAAAACGTACAGGAATCGTATTATGACCGGACTTTAATTTTTTTCTCTCTCTTTATGTCTCTTTATCGGACGTATTTGGTATCATTGGAAAGAGAAAGACAAAATGGCGTCTTAAATGGCCCCCTTGACCAATTTTAAAAATCCTGCCGCGAGGTGCCCTCCGTACTGCAACTCGGAATGTCACTGCAAAATTTCAAGGAAAAAAAAAGGATGTTTAGGGGGCAAAAAGCAGTCTGAGAAATGACGTCATAGCCGATACGTGTTATAATATTGGGCGGAAACTCGGCGGAATTCGTATAGTGACCCTTGTTCAAATGTGATTTACTCAAAATTGTCTGTGTGAACACATACCATACTTGGTATCATTCGAAAGGGCACTTCATTGCGGTCAGTTTGACACCATTACATAATGCATAGTAAATTCATCATTATGGGCGATAACTCTGCGAAGAGGGCATTACAATTTACTCAACTTGGCAGACAGTTGTCAAGTATATGGATACATGTGTCTGCCAGGTTTCATTGATGTAGGTATAAAGATCTCTATTGTAGAGTAAGTTGAAGTTATTTCGGAATTTTCTTGAAAATGGCAAATTTGGAGGGCAATTTTCTCAATTTTGGTCAGCGATAGGGTATATAATTTCGTATATGGCTTAAAAGGACACATCTTCAAGTATCTAAATCCAAAAAAGGGTACGGGTCTGCCAAGCCATAATGGAGATACGGCCACAGAAAGAAAGCCAATTCCCAGAACTTTAGAGGGCGCTATTTATGTTTTGCAAAGCCATTGGAGCGTGAAATTTGGCATGGCTATGAGCAATTATGAGATAAAGATACTGTAAGATTTGAATACAAAACGGAATTTATATGAGCAAGTTATGGCAGTTTTAGATTATTTAGGGGTCAATTTTTCAAGAATTTGAGAAATTGTTGACGGAGACGGTTTCAAATTTGAATTTTGAGTATGAAGATGGCATTTTGAAGGGCAGGTTATTCGTCGCAGATTAAAGAATATTTCTTAGACTATCTAGAGAAAATTGTTAGAAGTTTGTAGGATCTAGGATAGTGGAGATAGGAAGGAAGATAGAAAGGCCTTAAAATGGACCGGAAACGGACAAAATGGCGCCTGGACGTTTACGCATGAGTGATTTCAGAAAACGAAAACGTAGGTGACCTAGATTGGATATCAGGGCCCGTATTCAATAAACTTCTAAGACATTTTTCTTAAGTCTAAGAAAATGTCTAAGAATTTGTCTAGGTTAAGAAAGTTGCCTTAGCCGTATTCTAAACACGTAAAGCAGTTTGTCTTAGCTAAGACGAAAGATAAGACAAATTCTTAGACCCGATGACGTCATGTGGGAAAGTTGATGTGTTCGACTCGAGCGAATTAATTGCAACTCGATTTGCCTATGTAATTTGCGTGTTAAAATAAAAATCGCACCGCACGAAAATTATACACTAACATGTATGGGAGAGCGTAAGGGAGGAACGATGCTCACATAATTATTTCGGGATTGACCAACTGACACTAAAACAGTCTAGTCAAGACTACCTGAGGCTAGATCTAACATCCACTGTAGGCTTTTTATACTTTTCTGTCAAACAACTCCGAGGAGCCCAACCGGGCTCACTTATTATGTCGCAGCCGCATGGTCTGTGAATATGAAGGGAGCGCCGTCGCTAGCCGGCCGACCAGCGCTAGCATTGGATTTGGAGCTACCCTTTCATTGTTTTACATCGTCTACTGTTATGATGGCCTAAAATTAATCAAATGGCTAGATGTAACCTTTATCACACTCATACTATAACAAATTTTGTCTCACCTAATATTATGCCGATAGCACATTATTCCCTGTTTCCATACTTTAGCGCCAAAGACTAATAAAGTAAGAGACGGTTTCTTTATATACGACAGACATGTCATGATTTAGTGTTATGCATGTATGCTACTGCTACAAACAAACATACATAAGTACAGTACACAGAGCCTATGGCGCTCCTGCGCGCTGCGCCGTCGACGCTGTATTACGCGAAGCTTACGTTGTTATATAGGTCAACTGATAACCTGCGCTCGCGCTGCATGCATTGTTTTTATTCCATTTGATCGAAACCCGAAGCGGTTGCTTGCAGCATCACTGAGCTGCCGGTGCCAAAGCCCCATTTAAGCATCCTCGTAGTATGCTTAAATATAGGGTAGATTTCTTACTTATCTTAGATATCTCGATTGTATTAGAATACGACATGCTACTTAAGTCCTTTTTCTTAGATAAAATCTAAGAATCCTTCTTAATCTTAAGGCAAATTTCTTAAGTCCCCATTGCTGTTATAGAATACGATTTTTGGCTAAGATTTTTTCTTAGCCAAAATTTAAGAAAAAGTACTTAGATTTCAAGCTTAAGAAGTTTATTGAATACGGGCCCAGAGATTACGCCTACGAAGTTTGAAAGGAATCGAGCAAGAGAAAAGGACCTAGATAGGAATGACAAGCACTACGTGCAAAACGAATGGGATTCCGGACGACAAGAAGAAGAAGAAGAAGAAGAGGAAGAAGTAAGAATATTAATAATGTGAACGAAAACAAGGCAATGAAGAAGGTCGTCATTGCAAAAAGGGCCCACACGGAATTTAACCTCTGGGGTATCTATATCCTCTGCATTCTGAGGTATAGTTTCAATTATTCTTCGGTGCTGGAGAAGCCTTCTTTTTCGAGCTACGCCATCGCTGTCTTGTACAAAATATGCAGCAACTACGTCAATTCATCCCCTCTGCAACTGCTCTGCGTCGTGATCGTATTGCAGATCTGCAGCTACGGCTAAATTTCTCAACAACTCCTATGCTCACTCTCTCAAAACCGTCAAAGTACTAAAGCTAGACTACGCTGTTCACTCTGTCAGAGCTAAGAAATATGATGTGTACAACTTTTCAAGTGTCCTATATACATTCGGGAGCTCGCCCGGACGTCGCCCGGGTGTCGACAGACGTATTGATCGTCGATCGTTTACCGGCAGGTGTTCAAATTGCACCTCCCGAGCCCGTCTAATGTGTGAGTAGGTAGATTTCAAGCGAAAAATATGTTCGAATCTCTGGTGGGTTTGAAATTCGGAGACTTTCTGGTTATCCACAAAGTCGGCCGAAGACCGTTGGAGATGTGACGCAGGCAAGCCCGTAGTCGAATGGCTTAATGCCAATTAAAGGTTTTTTAAGATTGATTTTTATACGTTCTACATGTACACTAATTTATTTATATGGATGATTGGTGCATTTCGAATTGGCCTTATAGGTTGATGCTTCGATAGTCTTTGTGATCTTGTTATTTGCTTTTTCATGTCTTTACATTCTGAATATTATTGTTATTCCATAGATTTAGACTGCTTGATACACCTTACAAATTCATTGTTATTGTTATTCTCAACGAGGATTCGATATGCTTAGTTTACATTTGTCCCGGGCACCGTACGATAAATTGGTGTACGATTTTGCGTGCGATTTGGGGGCATCGTAGGTGGCTACGGGCTAAGGTGTCGTACGGAGCCCGTGCAGTTTCCGTGTAGAGGTTACGCGCAGAAGGCGCGGTTACCGTACATCCGCCGTGCTGCAAGCTTAACGCGAGGCCTCCGCGCGATGCCCATGCGGGGATTGTGCAATGCCGCCTACGACATGCCTATGGGTTACGGGCTTACGAATTTTTTCAAATTTGTATAATTTCCACTGAAACAAAATCGTAGAGGCCGTGGAGCCCGTAAATCCGTACGAAAATCTCACGGACGCCTCCTGCCTCTGCACGGAGCCCGCACGGAAAAGGGAAAGGGGAGGATACGGGCTACATAGACTAATCAGAGGTCAAATGTAAACTAGAGAGGTGAAAAAAATGAGTGGAATCAAGCCCCTTTTCTTTGATCCCATGCTCCAAGCCGCCGAAAAGTTAATCGTTGCGCTAATCTGCAACTGTTGACAAGGTGGTGAGATAAAAGAGCGCCTGAAATTTCAGGATTTAGAATTCCTACATCAGAAAATGGTATCCCAGGAATTGATTTCTCATCAAGTGTTAAATGTGTAAGACCGCTTGGAAAGCGAACTTTTTTTTTCAAAACAAAAAACACGCGAAAACATGGATTAGCAAACTTAAGTTATGGATTAAATAACGAGACATTAAAGCATGCACAAATTAGCGCATTATCCTAAAATATAGAGTTTTTGTCAGGATTGTTTTACCAACTCTGGCACACAAATTATAGGAAGAGCGGAGTACTAAATTTGAAAAATCGTTTGATGCACCATTCCCAATACGATCCCCATATAAGTTTATAATTTACACTGACATTTTGCCGGTAATTTGATATCTTGTAATATCTTGGCCTGGCTTCCAAAATTCACCGCAGTGGAAGCGCGGCTCGGAGCATGGAACTCAAACGCTTTAGAACTCACGATGACTACATAATTTGACTACATAATTGTTACGCTTTAGAACTCACGAATGCGTTTGAATAAATTACAAAAGTTTCCACTCCTTTCTTTCACATCCCTGTGTAAACTAGGCATTAGAGTATGCATAGATAGATTTAGATAGTGGTTGCTATTTTACCTGACTGCTAGAAAGCATAAATGCTTGTTAGTAAGTAACCAAAAGACCGACGGCTTTAGGTCCTCTTCGAGGGACCTGGTAATTAGGATTATTGCCTTACCAAAGGGCACTAGCACATCGACTTAGTATCGAACCCGGGTCGCCGGATTACGAGACCACTGCTCTACCGACTGAGCTATCGCACCTCCTATGATTAAGGTTTAAACGATTCCTAAGATACGATATCGGATATCTTAAAACACAATAAGGAATGTGAACTTTTTCCTCCAGCTTTAATAGACTCGTCCCCATCCGCTTTTCTAAATATCCTTCCAATTGTGAAATAAGTAATTTTAGCACTCGTTCCAATTCTATTGAAACTTAAAATACTCCGTTACGAAAGCTGTTAAAAATCTTGCAACTGATATCCCACATGTATAACACTTCTGCAACGTACATTTGATACCACATCTCGGTCCTCTATTAAACATAATCTTTTGTATGTTCACAAAATAAATCTCCTTCAATCAATCGTAAACAAAAAAATCGTAACTTTACTTATTGAGAGGGATAGTTGAGTTTTGGTATAGAGGGCGCTACACAAAACATTTTTTGGGGGTGAGATAACGAAAAACTGAGTTTCAAATTAGAAAGAGCATACAATTTAAATGACAAAATCTTTTTTGGCCCACAAATATTCGATAATTTTTAACCAGCCTTTGAAAAACGAAATAGCGCCTTATACGTTTTATTCCAGCAAATGTTAGTTTCTTGTTGGCTTTTACGTGTTGGTTATAATACGCACAACCAGCCGGCCCTTGTATTGCTATTATTATCAAATCATTAAATTAACGGTCATCGTATTTTTTTGAAAGTGGAGCTGAATTGGTATGATCGGATTTGATCTAAATTTCACACATTTTAAGGGTCTAAAATTACCTTAATAGCAGTTTTTATGGTCTAAAAGGGCACTAGAAATGTCATAAATAGGAATAAGCAGGCGCGTAGCTACGGGGGGCACGGGGGGGGGGGGGGGCACGTGCCCCCCCTAAAATTTCCAGGATCGGTTGAAATTTTGTAGACCCCTTTTTTTGACCTCGATCGATTACATGTATGTGCCCCCCCAAACATCAAACTCTGGCTACGCGCCTGGGAATAAGGGCAACAATCATGCAATGCACTAGCTCTGAAGGCATTTGCGAACTTAAACAAGAACTCAACTGTCCGTTTAATGTTACTAATAGAAACAATGGGTGGTAAGACACAATTAATTGCATCAAAATTGGAGATACAATAGTTTTGTGTATGATTGATTGTAACAACAACAACAAACTAAAAAAATACTCAACAATAAGAAGACTCAGCATTGAGTGCACGACGGCCCCGATTGGGAGGAAAAGTGGTATCCACTTCTGATGTTTCTCCATCTGTTGTTTCTCCTCCTAATGATGATGGCTCTGAGAAAAACCAACTATAATCGGAATCTTCCAGTCCAATCCCGCTAACAGCGTGATCTTGATCTAAGGCTGCCAGTTTCTCGAAACGGGTACCTGCTCGAGAATGATATTATAACAAAAGTAAGGTTGATAAAATCATTGCCTTGGTCGTCTTTTGACCAAATTGAGATCTTTGCCTGAATCAGGTCTTTTTATGACTAGCCACCTATTATTCAAGGACTTAAGTCAATTTTCAGTCCTAAACTATGTTTATTAGTTAAAATATTAACTGCCTAAATCAGGTGAAACAAAAATGACAGAATTTGCTCTTTTTTTTTTTTTAAAGTTGTAAAACTGAATTAGGCAATTAAAAAAGATATTAGGTTGACAAAATGCTGATCGAATCAAGTGTATAATTAAGTCGGTTTGTTTACCCGTAAATTAAAATAGCCCCCATAACTGTAAACTGGGGGGTGTTTCATAAAGCTGTTCGTAAGTTACGCACGACTTTACGCACGACTGGTGATATGTTCTTGTGCTACATGTAAATGATTGAGAATCTGATTAGCACCCAAGAACATGTTCCAGTCGTGCGTAAAGTCGTGCGTAACTTACGAACATCTTTATGAAACACCCCCCTGGTGTATTTAGTAATTAAGTATTCAGTATGATGTGAGCGCACTGCGCAGGCAGTGACGCATCGCAACATGCGCATCTGAAAAAATTGATGACGCAATGTTTACGCGCAAATTAAAATGGAGCCCTTAACCGTGAAGGGGTGTATTACCCTTCAACATCGATCGTCGTAGCATGTTCAGATTACAAATAGTGACGGCGGGGAATTCGAGCTTCGATTTGGTGATGATTGAGATTTTCGTCGTGGTCGGTCGGTTGATGAAGGAGAAGACGAGCATGGAACCCTGATAGAGGAAGACACCCGCAAGTATTAAGGTGACCACGCACCAAAACAGGCGGGAGTGCCATGGGCGGGACGCGTTCAGAACTCGAGGGATCCCATGCGTGGTCGCGTTGTCAACGAACTCCTTGACGATCTTCTGCGTGCCTTCTTTTGGGTTCTCGTCGTAGTCTGGTCTGCCATACGCCTCTTCCGAGTAGTCATCCATTTTCTCCGGGTTCGTCATCGGATCTCGTGGTAGGCCATCCATGGTTATGTTCTCTTTCCCGGATGTAGATCTACGAGATAAAAGAAAAAAATCAGTGACAAAATAACCAATGATTTGAAAATTATTCACAATCCTATTTTTATCTTTTGCCTTGCTTTTTGTCTATGACATGCATCATTTGTGAATTGTGTCGATTATAAATTCTATTGTAACTTTTGTTCACAAACTCTTTTGAGAGGCGGCTTAATGAACCTCAAAAGAGATTGGCCCGCGAACAACCTCCCCCCCCCCCCCCCCCCCCTGCTGAGGATAACACAAAATAATAATTGGGGACACTGATACTTATGGTTGTCTCTGAAAGGGGTACGGCCGGGGTACACCATCCGTTCCAAGAGGCACGTATTGACCTCCTGCTGTAGATTTGCCCTGGTGAAAAATGCTTATTTCGCCTTTGCTGTCCCCTTCCATACTGTAAATCCATCTGAATCTCGGCCCTGTTTCATAAAACTTGTTATCAATAGCAAGTTGTAATTATTGTTATGAGCTACTGAAATCGTGGCATTTGATAGGCTAAGAGCAAATTTGTCATAGAAATTTAGCATTTGTTACTGATATCAAGTTTTATGAAACGGGTCTCTGAATCGTTTGCAGGAAATGAGGTCAAAGATGAATGTTTGGTCCTCATTTCAAATCAGAAGAGATACAATATCATGGTACGAGCGCGATAAAAAAAAATTGACATGTTGATTTTCTATGGACATGACGCTAATATCCTTGACATCCCAGAGTCAATAACAATTGAACAGAATGGGGGGGGGGGGTACTGTGGAATAAGAAAACAAAATAAAATCTACGAGGCCGTCACGATCATGTTGTGGAAATAAATGCCTCTCCCAAATATAGAGGAGACTCGTAATACAAAGACCTTAGAGAGAGAGAGAGAGAGAGAGAGAGCGAGCTTTATATTAGTCGGTTGAAGGCCTGTTCCCAATTGTTATGGGCATTTTCGATTAGGTTTACGCAGTTTTACGTCCGTAATTACATAATTTTAACAAAACATTTCATCATCGCTGCTAGTGGATGATTGACTCTATAAGCAGAAAAACCAATCTCAGGCCATTTCCTCTTGACCTTGAATGGCGACCTCACAACCTAAAGCGTCAACTTAACCGTAATTAATTACATGATTTCACTAATCATAGTTCGGTGGCTGATATCCTACTATTAGGAAATTTGAATGCTAAGAGAACACAGTCCTTATAAGGACACGAGGCGAGAGAGGTATTATATTATGGGCTAATGTGAACTTTCAAACACTTTTCTATTTTAACCCTAATAAGGCCGGGCTATTTGAGGTCTTAGTACGGCCGGGGGGGGGGGGCATTATGGTCCCCCCCCCTTAAAATCTCGGGCGTGAAACGGCCGATCTCCGCGAAAAATTGCACGCATGTCAAGTGAAGTGTATAGAATAATATGATAATTTCAATTTTTTGAAAAATTCTCTCATTTGCATATATATGGTAAATTATTCAAATAAGGTCATAATATCACATTTTTACCCATAAATCATATATTATTCATATTTAAGCATTCTTTTTCACTACCTATATTCATTAGACCATTTAGAATAATAATACGACAAAAAAAATTGGAAGAGCCAGCTTAATATTCCTTATGTTATCTCTTGTTTTGATAATTTCTTATGTATTTCATTTATTGCTTTTGTTTTTTTAATTTAATTTCTTACTACAATTCAACTATTTTGACTCCCAAAACAACCACCTAAACTTTAAACAAGACCCAATAACCAATGTTTGATCTATTTTTGGGAAAAATGACATTTCCACATGTTTTGTACACAAATCACAAAAATGAGCGATTTTCGGGCTGACATGCAAAGACAAAAGGTCACGTGACCTTGTAATTTTCAATTTTTTTTTTTTAAAGATGCGCAAGACTCGAAAGAAAGAGGTCAACGAGCGGCGGGGCGCCATCCATATGCGTTCCCGAATATTCAGAAAAATTGTGGAGGGGGGGGGGGGCATAATGGCCCCCGGCCTTATTAGGGTTAAGATCTAATCAGCTACCATTACATCCTCTGCTGTAAGCATGCTTTACGCCTTTTCGTTGAAGCTCATTTACCAATGACAAAAATTAATCGAATGGCTATTGCCTATAATTGCCTAAAATGGGAAAGCTCTCATTTTGTGAATTTGTATCGTTAATTATTGTTAAGTACCTGAATGGAGAGTGTATTGTGTAAGGAAGAGTGATATGAAGGCGGATTGCTGTTTACTCGTTGATGGGCTAAGTGTGTGTGTGTGTGTGTGAGAGAGAGCGTGGGTGAGTGTGGGTAAATGTGGGTGTGTGGGCGGACGGGAAATGATGCGTGCCGAAAGGGAAGAGGAATATAATACACTGTTGCTCATAAAGTTGGAATATTTTTTTGTTTACCCCAATTTATGGAATTATTTTGACAATGATTTATTCCTAATAGATCTAGATAATAGTATTCATTCTCAGATGTTATTGAATAACAATTTGCCCATGTTTGTTTTGCGTGACTGCTAAAGCAGTGTATGCTACTATGCTTATCATAAATTACAGTAATGAGGATTAATACCCAACAAAAGGGCACTAATATAGCACATTGACACGGTTTTGATCCTAGGGCCTCACAGTTACGAGGCCATTGCTTTGCTTTGCATTAAATTATCAATAATTCATTGCATTTTACCCCGGTCCCCAACATTAAGCGACCACTAGAGCACCGACAGCGTCTTTAGCCAGCCATCCAAGGTGCGTGTGCTATACCAATGGCCGATATCGGGATCAGACGCAGTTTTAGCCTACGCCGGTCATACGTCACACGCCCATTATCGGCGGCGGCACTTTCAAAACAATGGTTACGAACACATACGCCAATTCAGGTATTCAAGGCCCCTCAAATTTTACGAAGTTTCTCTCTTTTGGTGAATCTTTCATATGTGGCTCTTTGGGCTATGTAGGAAGATATTAACGCCCATTTAAACCACCAATCGATTTAGTTTGGGTTTCTTTCTCCTGTAATGCATTACCAAAGAGCAATAGCTCATCGACTTGTTTTCGAACCTGGGACCTCGCGGTTACGAGACCACTGCTCTACCACTGAGCCATCACGCCTCCACGGTCGGATTATCGATTCAGTCGACTTGAAGTGCCCATACGTACAGTGAATACAAATTTCGAAAATTCAAAAACTTCTGTATATTTGTCCGATTTCGTTCAAACTTTCGGTTTGCTTCTCTGATTTGTTTTCCTCATTTCTTCTATCCATTTTATGATTTCCTTCAAAGGTACTATGTCCTCTTTGCAGGCCAAAAATGAACAAGTTAAATTCCACCGGCATTTGAAAGATAATACTAACTTAGAACTTCCCTCCCAACGAAAGGGCTTGAAAACGTCTTTTTGTATGAAAATAACGACTGTTAGTTGTCGAATCGACTTTCGGGATTGTAATCCGTTTAGTAAATACTAGTCTGATTTTCAGATCCTTGTACCGAATGGTGTACGTTTAGTGCTGCGCAAAGATTCAATCAGTTTAATTTTGGCCATTCCAAGAAGTGGGTTATTGATGTAGACAAATGCTCATGTACAATATTATTATTGTTTTCATTATTTATGAGTATACTATGTATTGTTTATATCTGGATTCATTTAAAAGTGTTAAAGCGTATAATTATATTTATATGTCTATGGAATTATTTTTACCTTGTAAATTCACTTGCATCAGCCTCCAGTTGTATTGTTGAATATTCGAATAAAACCTTATTAAATCAAATCAAATCAAACGGATGATGTCATAAAATGATTGAGATCTGGAGCATTTTTTTTTAGGGTGGAGATAAGCAGGTCTGAGAAAATTATTCAAAACAATATTTAAAAATCTATGAAATATATTTAGATGTTTGAATAACAAAATATGAGCTGTTTGCAGCCCTGCACATCAACACGAATCAACTTACGTTTGTATTTCATCCGACCTGTTATATCAATGTCATTGTGCAGCTTCTAGTGGAGAGAAACCCGTTCCAAAACCCTCATCAATTCAGGGTCAATAAGCTAAATCTATTGTCAAGTTTAGTCGTCCAATAGCCTTCAATAAACTTAGCAAGGTACCAAAAATACTGTACGTAACAACTTACAACAAGAAGTACAAGGAAATCACTTGATAAAGTGTGTTCTGATTTAAGTGGAATGTTGAGGCGTGGCAATACGACGTATGTGAATACTGTACTGTCGTTTAATAAAAATTGCAATTTATGGAAGAGATCTTGGAAGAAGCAAATAAATCGACGACACATGACCGTATTTTTCCCCTTTTTCAGAGAGCAATTTATAGATGTGGTAATTTTGGTTTGATTTTTGTCTCTCTTCCATTAAGTATTTTATGCTGTGTTAAAATGTACAATGTTTCTCTTTTGCTTGTCTTTCCACGCTTTTAAGTATGTAAACAGTTTGTATCTCATAATGTATTGTTTGTAATTTATGAAATGGACCTTGTGGCGATTAGCCATGTTTCAAAGAAGTTATCCGATGAAGTATAGTACTACTTCTACTCGTAAGTAAGATGAGAACCATATACTCTATTTATTCTTATCCTACGTCTGTTAAGCTTGAATATTCCATTGATATACAACTTGATCTCCATCACGATTCATTTCAATTATATCTTTTTTCCTGAGAGTAAAAACTAACAAACACAAATACTATTTATATTTAGAAAATGACAGTGTTGAATATAAGGTAAACGCTCTATGTTTCGAACGTTGTTGGTCTTTGTAATTATTCAATACTAAATTGTTACGTGCAGTAATGCCCAGCGCAAACTACACCATTCTCCTGCGATCAGATTTGTGAAGAAATAGTAATTATATTATATATGGAAATGTAAACAAATATCATCTTCCTGATTTAGGATATAAATTATAATAAGAAAATTAAGAACCTAATTAGAGTGCATATCGTCAGGATATCAGCTGAATCGGATTCAAATCGTAAAAAATCGCACTATTGCATGG